TTACATTTAAAATTTACACAGTTAACATTTCAAATCACAAGATGCTAAAAGCAGTCAATGTTGGATCAAAATCTTGCTAGTTCCATTTTTTCTTCAATCTAATTCTCCATTCATTACAAGCAGAAGCAATGGATGCAAGCATGAATCCTCTCCTAGACAATTTAATAATTGCAATAAGAAAATTTAATGAACTGAAAGAATGAAAAAAGATAAATGAAGAGGTTACCATGCTAGCATTGATCATTGGTGTCTGTATAGCGTTGACTGTGCTCACTATAAAACACTGCAATAACATGGATATTTTATGGATGAAAATTACCAATCACGCACCAACAATTGAATAATTAATCAAAGTGTAAATGAGTAGTAATATGACTGCTATCTCACTTCAAAATAGATTTAGAAAAAGATACAAAACATGTGGCACAGTTTGGTTAAGACACAAATTCTATGATGGGACCCACAACAATTGTCCTCAACCTCTTTTATGAGATCCACTAGAATGGATTCCTCACTTATTGTGACCCCTCGTCATTCCTAACACATTCCACGTAATAACTTTTAGTTTCCTTAATAATTCATGAACCTTCTAACTGAATCATCTACCTCGGCATCTATGAAAGACAACAAGTTTGGATCTTGAATATACTTCCGAGCTATGGCTCCGGCATTTTGAGGCAAATAATAGGCTGTCAAAAGACATGTTAGAAAGGTTAATGGTGAAAACATATGAAAAGACTGATATAAAATTCAAATATGGAGGGAGGAGCAGATGGTGGTCAATAACAACCCTTATCAGTATAGTGTACAGCTATTAGGCAATTAGCATGTCATGCTTATTGGTTAATAGAGATTGTCTATCACATGAATGTTCTACAAATATATATATATATATATATATATATATATATATATATATATATATACACCAAGAATGGTTGATCGCATCCCCTCAACATATAGTTGAGTGATGTATTTGTTCATTTTTTTCACCATTTGCTTCCCCTCAACAAATTTTTTAAATCATGAGTTAAAACATAACTCCTCCAAATCAATCAAAATATCGAAAAGATAAGCTAAGTGGAAATAAAATACAGTATTCCCTTTGGAATTTATGTTCAGAGCTTTAAACTTGTAGCCTTTCAGTTTAAAATAAATAAGAATAAAGTACCTAGTGTCAAGCATTCCAGGGGCTTCTGAAAAAACTGTCCAAAAAGGTAGAGTGGCTCTTCTAGTGACTTCAATTCCAACGAATTCAGGGCATTGAAAATCTAGCATAACACAAAAAAGCTCTTAAAAAAGTGAATTTCAAGGAGAGGCAAAAATGCCTTAAGGGGGCTGCAGTCACCTCAATTAAGACAAACCTTCCAGCATTCACCGTAGAATTTAAGAATACCCTCCTTTTCATGGGGAAAGTAACTGATCAGTTCATCAGTGAATTTATCATATTCTTTATGCACTCGAATAGAAAGGTTATTTGGTAGATGGAAGTGAACGGTTGTTGGATCAGGAACCACTTGCATCTGACAACCGACTGCTTCCAATGCTTGTGTTATCAAATTGAGATTACCCTGCACAAATTTAAGGCACATGGTGTTCATGATTCTAAGAAGCATACCATTCAACATAAAGAATAATTTGTAGTATCCAAATCTACTGTTGGCTAAGGTATTATTCAAAAATGAGCAAACTACAGTTAATTGATAAAAAACCAAGCTTCACATAAATACACAAATTTTCTTAATTTTAAACTAACCAAAAGAGCAAACTAGATGCAATCAATTTGTTCATGACCTCCAGGCACCAGCTAAGCACAGTAACACTAATGGCAAGACAGACAATAGTGTGTTTACTCATAAATATGCCTCCAAAAGAAAATATTTGAATGCATAGCAACCAGGGAGAAACAGAAAATCTCTCTCACAAGCAAAACATCCATATTCCTTCACTGTAACATTCAGCTCAGAGAGCTCACCCATAAATGTTCTACACCATCATCTCATCACATCACTAATGAAATTAAAGTAAATGATAACATACAAAAACAAAAAAATAAATAACTGACCTTATCACTGAAACCAAACATGACCGAAGAGCCCACATCAAAAGTATAGCCATCCCTCTGGTAAAATCCAGAGCTTCCACCTGGAATCACATACTTCTCCAAAACCAAAACTCTGGCACCCTTCACTGCCAACTGTGTCCCTGCAACCAACCCTCCAATCCCAGACCCTATAACAATTGCATCAAACTCTTCACCTTCACCCTTCACTCCTCTCTCAGCCACATCTTCCACACTCAACGTTGACTTTGGCCGCACCACTGACACCTTTTTCCTTCTGAGAACATTGGAGCAAGACCCAGATGGAAATTCACTCCATCCACGGTTTTCAAAGGCAGAAGATTGAAACTTTGGCAGAAAGTTTGAATTTTGAGAAACAGACCTTGTTGGGAAATGATGGGGAATGTGGGTAAAGGGGCGTTGAGAAAGGGAGAGGAAAGGGGAAGTGAGCATGGTTAGAAGGAGTAGAAGGTTGTGGTTTGGTGGAAAGTGTGACAAATTGGCATTGACGTTGGCATGGAGGGTCGGGGTAATGTTTTGTAATGGCGTTGATGTGTTGGATTCCACTCCCTTTGTAAAATTGATTCCTGCCGAACACGCAGACACATAACGTTTTGTTTGTCATTTGTTTATCCAAAACTCGCAAAATATTAAATTTAATTAATTTAAAATAAGAAAAAATCGTTTAATTGTTATGAATATTTAATAAATGCATTGAATATTCATTATACATTAAAACATTTATATTTTACATATAATGTTATTAAAACATCTCTAATAATGCATTTATTATATGCATTTGTAAATAAATAAAGGCTTAATTATTTAATTGGTTCCTATAATTTACATTTTTTCATTTTGGTTTTCCTAGGCGTGGGAATGAATAAGTGGGTTTTACTGTCAAAAGTCTATTATCATTTTCTTCACTTTTATATTTTCTTCTTGTATCCCGTATTCATCTAAAAAATAATAAATTTATTTTTAAAAAATAGAATAATATTTTTAAAAATATTCTAAATTAACCTTTCTAAAAAAATTGGAAGTATTTTAGAATTATCTTTTTCGAAAAATTAATTCTAAAATAATTTTGAAAAGCTTCTAAAAAAGTCAATAAATTTTAAAAAACATTCAAAAAAATGTTAAAAGAGTAAATCTAAAATAATAATATATTTTTTAAATTCTAAATTAAATTGTCTAGAATATATACAAAAATATATTTTTTTTTATTTTGGAATGGTGAATCCCTAAGTATTATAGAAAAATTTTAAAATTAGTGAATTCAGAAGTTTTTCGGATGAAGGGATCTGGAATAATAATTAATAAAATAAATAAATTTTCAGTTATATTGATAAAGTAAATTTTGGGATGGATGTTATTTCGTTATTACTCTCAACATCATAGAAATTTTGAATTAAGGACTCACTTTTGATTTTCTACATTCACTTTTTTTCAATCAGACTAACACTTTTTCTTGACTTTACCTCCAACCAAAATTTGCTTAAAATATATATATATATCTTTACCTTATAATTCAAAAGAATAAAAGAGGTATAGGGTCATAAAAATGCACACAAAAATTAAAAATACATACAACAATTTTATTATTTTACATATCTTATAGAAGTGCAGAAAAAAATAATATATGAGGTTTAGATTTTTTTTTAATTAGAGAGATCAAATTTTAAATTATTAAAAAATCATGTCAAATATGATAAATTGACATGTATATATAATATTATTATATATTTTATAAAATATGTATAACTATTATTATTATTAATATTAATAATAAGTTTTATAATAATAATATAATTTTGAGCCATATATTTTTTTAGCTCAGAGTAATAAAATTGACTTAATATACCATTAAGTTCGATCGACTAAAAATTTAAAGTAAATTGAGTTGATAAAAAAAATAATAAATAAGATGAATTCGTATCATACTCTATTTTTAGAGAAGATAAATACTTAAAGAAACGTAAATGATTATATTGTTATCATAAGTAATATCATAACCATACACTTATTTTCTCTTTTAATAATGAGTTTTATCCTTTTTATGGAATCATGGATTTGCTTAATGGCTTAACATTTTTATAAAACAAAAAGTCTTAAAAGTTCTTTAATCTAATATCTTAATCGTATAATAAACTGGCTAGAGTTAATTTTCATGTAAATATTATTTGATTTAAATCTCTAATTTATCATGATTTCATGTTTTAAAAATACTTTATTAAATTTAAAAAAAATTATATATAAACTACAACGTTGTTCCTAAATAACATGTTCATGTTACGGCTTGTTGGCAAGAGTTCTTAGGTTTTCTAGCTGGGAACCTTTAAGATTGATAGCCAACATATTCCGAGGAATATGCTATCTATTTATTTATTACCAAAATTCCATGGAATATGCCATTACTTATCAAAGTTACCAAACATTTTCTCCTTTAACTGAAATACGATAAGGAAAATGAAAAACAAAAAGAGGCTTTTAAAAACTGTACCTAAAAAAAGTTGCATCTTTTTTTCTTTATCCATGTTTGGTTCGGTTTGGGTGAGGTGACACACTCCGACGCGTGATAATCGATGGAATCGAATCCCATTTGATAACCTAAATTGAACGGTTGCCCCTTTTTTCATTATCTCATGCCTACTCGCGCGTGTGTGAAGGACACTCTTTTAAAATAGTTTGCGAAAATAAGTTTTTTTAAAATAATATTTTTCTTAACATTTATAATTTCAAACTTTTAGCATTTTTTTTCTCAAGTATGTCTTATAGTTGTCATAAATATATTTTAATAAAATTTAATTATAGCATCTTTTTTTAATACTGTTATCCAATCAGAAATTATGATATATTTTATAATAAACTATAATAAAAATAAATTAAAAAATATAGTGTGATATAGTTTTGTGTGTTCTCGAGGTGAGGTTTGCGAATGACAGGTACAGAGGAAGCGGTAATCGGTTTGGATCCATCTCTTCTCTGCAATCGCTTCTTCCATCGTTGCATTATATTTTCTTAATTATTATAATATTTATATTGAATATTATTACTATATAACCACTCCACCATCTCAATTCGTTCACTCAAAGGTGTTCTCATCACTCTCACCTTCTTCTTTTTCATCACCTTTTCTTCAACTGGTAATTTTTTGTTTTAGTTTATTCATATCATATGTTAGATGTTGTTGTAGAGAATTTTTTCATGTAATGTAATAAGAAATCTGTGTTTTATTCAAATCGTATCCGGCAGAATTAGTTTGGGTTAGCGGCAATTACAGTATCGCGATTAGAATTCATTTCTGACTCGGTGAAATGGGAAAGATCGGTGAAGTAAAAGAAACTATTAGATAAGTAGATGTATAAATAGATAGATAGTTCTTTCTTTCATTATCATCGTCATCGTCAGAATCTGTGTTAAATTGAGAGAGGTCGTGCACTCAAATATATACGAAGTTACTTGCTGCTTTGTCATTTTAATTTATTTGTTAATTTACTTTCATAAATGAATGTGCTGCAGAAAGTTATCGTATAATAATCTTTCCCTTTTCTCTTTGAATCTCTGTTTGCAGGATTGAATTGGGGATTGAACATCATGGATCGACTAAATTCTTCCCCACGGCTCATGCTTGTTTCGGATCTCGATCACACAATGGTATGTTTCTGTAAATGTCCCCCTCTTATTATTATTATTGCTGTTGTTGTGTTTGTTGTTATTATTATTTAAGATTTTAAATTGCGGTCATAGTTTCGTGGCATTTCTTGATATTTTGGGAAATTGCGGAAAAATGTGTAGCTACAGTTGCAGTCTCGACCACCCTCACAATCTTGATGTTCCGGCCTGAATTGCAGTCTCTGTTATTTAAAACCTTTTTATTAGTGTTGGTGGTGATCGTGATTTGAATGGTTTATGTGTTTTGGTTGCAGGTTGATCACCATGACCCTGAGAATAGTTCACTTTTTAGGTTCAATGCGCTTTGGGAAGCTCATTATCGCCAAGATTCTCTGCTGGTGTTCTCAACTGGGAGATCACCTACACTCTACAAACAATTGAGGAAAGAGAAGCCTATGATAACTCCTGATATAGCTATTATGTCTGTGGGGACTGAGATTACTTATGGGAAATCAATGGTGCCTGATGATGGATGGGTTCAGTTTTTGAACTATAAATGGGATAAGAACATAGTCATTGAGGAAACAAGCAAGTTTCCTGAACTTAAGCATCAGGTGTGGTTTATAGGTGGTGATGGTGACTGTGATGATTTGTTTCTTGATTGTATCATTTGATTCGGGTGTATAGTTTGTCTTTTTTTATTCTATGATAAATCTTTCCTTAAAGTAGCATCTTAGAATGGTTTGATTCGTGACTGATGGTGCAGGCAGAAACAGAACAACGGCCGCACAAGGTCAGCTTTTATGTTCAGAAAGACAAAGCTCAGAGTGTGACACAGGCTCTTTCTAAGGTTTTGGAAGGGCGTGGGGTAAGCAATAATACGTTTATATTCATTGCTTTCTTTTCATATAGAGCTGCGATGTTTAGTTTGAGTATGTAATTTGGATTTTTTGACACCTTAATTTTTATGTTTGATATTGTATATTGTTCCATAACATTGCCTAATTTTTTGTCAGTTGGATGTTAAAATAATATATAGCGGAGGAATTGATTTGGATGTATTACCAAAAGGTGCTGGCAAAGGTCAAGCTCTTGCCTATCTGCTCAAAAAGTTTGAGACTGAGGGAAAGCCACCACTTAACACTCTTGCTTGTGGCGATTCTGGAAATGATGCCGAGCTGTTCAGCATTCCAGGAGTTTATGGAGTCATGGTTGGTGTGGTTTAGCTTGTTTTGTTGCCATATTTTTCCTTGTAGTAAAATATTGAGATTGACTTGCGTATTGCTTTTGTTTTCGTTTGTTGTGTAGGTAAGCAATGCCCAAGAGGAATTGTTGCAGTGGCATTCACAAAATGCAAAAGATAACCCCAAGATTCTTCATGCCTCAGAGCGCTGTGCATCTGGGATAATACAAGCCATAGGTCATTTTAAGTTAGGCCCAAACCTGTCCCCGAGAGATGTTTCAGACATTGGACGAGAAGGTTCATCTCCAGGTCTTGAAATAGTGAACACTGGTTTGTTACTTGAAAAATGGAGGCGTGCAGAAATTGAGAACACCGAGCTGTTTATTGCCGGTTTAAAGGCAACCGTTGTATGTCTGATATTCTTTATCTTTACTGATTACCTATTGTGTGCTCTATTTGTGTGTGCAGACTATTGAGTATGTGAAAAGCTTTCCACATTAAGTCCATTTTACCTAATCATTTTCTATTCAAATGAAATTTATACGTTTATCTTTTTCGCTGCATTATTTCTGTATTCACATTTCATGGGCAAACAAGTTCTGGGATTTATCAACAGGAAATTAAATAGTGAAGTTGAACGATTTTTCTTTTCATCCACAATTCCATATCTGGGGAGCAATCAATCAATTTGTCCAATGTTTTTACATGTTTTAAATTTTTTGGTATGGTGTTCGCTTTGCTTTGGTATAATTTCTAGTTACGCTGTTTTGAGTGCACGTTGTTGATGAAGAAGATCTTATTTTGACATATTTTTCTTTTCTTGATTATCTTCCTTCTATAATAAGCTCTTTCCTATCAAACATTAAGTTTTATCATTAGCTTATATGACCATCCTACATTTTCTAATATATTCCAAATTCTCACTAAACTGTTCAACCATTTCAACCACTCGGAATAAGACATTTCCATGGTTGATTTCCAGGAAAGTCTATCTTAATTCATTGAAAAATCTCCATTCTCTCTCTACCTTCCCACCATAATTAGTTGGATTTTCCTTTTCTCGTTTTCTTGATCTGAATGCTTTCTTTTTCTACTGATGCACTAGGACCTGATTTTTTTTATTGTCAAGTCTTTATGCAAGTGTTTTCTTCCGTAGAAGTATCTTAATTGTTCTTTTTTATATATGCAGCTCCCGTCTGGTGTTTGTATCCATCCTTCTGGTGCTGACTATAGTCTTGAGGAGTATATAAATATGTTTAGAAAGGTGTATGGTGACCAACAGGGGAAACAGTTTAGGACTTGGGTTGATGATGTATTGGCTACACAGTTAGGTTCAGATGCATGGCTAATGAAGTTTAGAAAGTGGGAGTTATGTGGTATGTATGAGTTTTGTTGTTTATGCTGGTTTCATGTCCAACCCCTTTGTCTGTCTCAAAATAAGCAATTGTTTATCTTGTTTTTATGAATAATCTATCTTCTGGGAATTTGTGGCAGTACATCTTCTGGGTTAGAAAACTTTGCCTTGCATATGTGTTGCCTTTTTACTTTTACTGCTAACTTCTCATCATTGCAGGTGAAGAGCGGAAAGGTTGTTACGTCACTTCAATACTAAGCAAAAAGGTATTTTCTCATGCATCAACTATTTTCTTTTTCACGTGATATGTCTCCAAGTTTTTGCTGAGAAGAATGAAATTTGAGTTTCAGGATTCGGATTGGTTCACTTTGGTGCATTTGCACCAGACCTGGATGGAACACTCAGGGCAAGATGAATGGTTTCTTTAATTGGTTCCTAATGCTTATCCAAGTTCCCTATGTGATGCCTTCTGCAATAAATGTAACGTAATCAATCCAATCCTCATATTTTCAAAGACCTTTCATCATGTGAAGCTGTCTTATATCATATGTATTTTAAATTTACTGTATATTTTTCTGGTTCCATAGCTCTGATGAGAATCAAATTTTAACATCTCGGTTTGACTACAGATAATTTAATCCTTTACGTATACTTTCCATCCTTTCAGCGGATTGGGATTTATCATTTGCATTGTAAATACAATAAAAAGGTCTTAATATTTTTCACCCAATCGAGTTAGAAAAATGTATGTTTTGTAAATTTTTAAATTAAACTTATGTAGACATGGATGAATTTGCGGTTAGGGTATTGTTGCGCGTTTAGTGCAAAAGCAAATAATAATTTAAAATTAAATATGATTTATTTGCCTTCTGTATTTATTTATCTTAAAATGACTTTTGGATATCAAAAGTAATAATGTCAGATTTTATAAAAAATTAAAATCAAAGAAAAATATTTTATAGAAATAAAAACAAAATTACCTTATTTTATGAGATTAAAATTAATAATTTAAAATCTGAGGGTTGAAATATAATTTTTTTAACCAATATATATATAATATTCATTTTAATTCTCAAAATACTTGGTAGTGACTTGAGTTGATAGGAGAAATATAAAAGTGAATAAGATGCAAAAATTGATTGAAAGTATTAGTTATCTGAATTTTTAGAGGACGGTTGAGCTTTCTTTTTTATTTTTTCAATAAGTTAAGTAGGTAAAATAGTTAAAATAGAATAAAATGAATGGAATAAGGAGTGAGTATCATAACTACTTAAAATAATAATACAAATATTTTATCTTTATTTATTAGATATTTTTAAATAATTTTCAGATGAAAACATTTTAGGCATTCTCAATATATTTGAATATTATTGAGATATTTATGATTTTACTTTAGGCCGGTTAACAACAAAATATATTATGTTTCTTAACCAAATATTTCTTATTTCTGCCTTTATTCAGGAACTATTTGATTTTAACATGTCTTAAACCTTTTTCATATTTTTCTTTGTCTGTTTTTTAAACAAATATTGAGGTGATAATGTCATTTAGTTTTATTAGAAAGGCTAGTAAATACCAAATTATTTAAGGCATGATAAATATAAATAAATTATAAAAATAATTAAATTGCAGTCTTTTAATTATAGTTCTTAACCAAATTATTATACGTTTTTCTCCGATAATTTTTGTTTTCTTTTTTTGCATGGCAATGTTGAGAGTAAAAAAATTAATTAATAAAATATTAGAATTTTGTTATCTGAAAATGAATGTTAAGATTTATATGTTGACAGTTTCTAGTATTTTGTTTTTACATTATCACTCTTTAAATACACTATTCTTCTATCTTTTAAATTTATTGGTTGAAAACCATACTCATTCAATGAGTTTCTTCCATCTTTAATATAAGACATTAATAATCAATCATTATTAATTAATTAATTTAGTTGAGAACAATAAATTTGTCTGTAATTATATTTTTTCAAAAACATCCTTAATTAATATATAATTAGAAATTAATAATAGTAGAGTTTAATTTTTAAACTGAACTCTTCAATTTTTATGAGAGAATAAAAATAACTAAGAATATTAAAATTCCTTTTTATAAAAGGATAAGAAAAATTTAAAACATTATCTCATAATTAGAGAGAAGAGAATAATTATATATTTATAGATTTAATTGTATAATATATAAATTAAATTATACAAAAAAAAAAAGGGCCCAACCAGGTTCGAACCGGTGACCTCTTGATCTGCAGTCAAATGCTCTACCACTGAGCTATGGACCCTATTTGATATATAAATTATTTAAAATTTATATATATGTTTTGTAACGTTTTTTAAACACCATTTTAACCCTACTTTAGGCGGAAAAATAAATGTTCCAATGATTTTTTATTATATAAATAATAGTAACGCTATTGTTAATAATATGAAGATGAAAATATGTTTAAGAACTAAGTTAAGAAATTATTTATTAAAATTTAAACTTAATATATATGTAATATTGCACAATAAACATTTCACCATGATATATTCACAACTCTGAAAAACAACTTTCGAAACAATTATAATATATTAATATAATAACAATAAAAAGGATAAGATGAAATAAAAATAATTTAAAATTATTATTATTATAATCCTAGTTGTTTTTGAAAGTTGTATGTTTTGAGTTATAAAAATATATTTTTCAGATTATTTGCCGAAGACATTTTTTTTAATTTGTTATAAAATAAAGAGAACACGCAGAACAAAATACTGAAATACTGTTACAAGTGTATCTCCTTATTAATTGTTGTTATTTTCTTCCTATTTATTCTCCTTAGAATGAAGTATTTTTTTGCAGAGAGATAAGAAGAGTGGTGTGTAGAGATGAATGTCCTTCCTTCATGTTGTTATCTGCAAAACTTACCAGAAGAACTCATCGAGAATATCCTCTTTAGGGTTCCCATCAAATACCTTCTGCAACTCAAGCTTGTCTGCAAATCATTGAACTCCCTCATCTCCCATCCTAAATTCGCCAAACACCACCTTCGTTCCTCAGCCACCCTTCGGTTGGTCTCTTCCGTACATGGTCAAAACAATCTTCAAATATTCTCCATCAACTCCCTCTTCCAAAACCTATCAGGCCCTTTAAGATCTTGCACGATCACTGGCCACAACCTCATTCTAGGTTCCTGCAATGGCATACTGTGTCTCTGTGATATTGTCCAATGCCATATCACCTTGTTCAACCCCTCCACTACACTATCATCCCCAGCATTTCCAACAGATTTATCCCCTGGTGAGGTTTACCGTACTTTCCATGGATTTGGCTATGATCACGTGAATGAAAAGTACAAGGTGCTATTGGTTAGGAGAATTTTGACTGAAACTGTGACCAAAGTTTATACCTTTGGCGAAAAGCGTAGCATTAGGGTTGTTGAGAATAGCCAGTTATATCCTCTTCCAAGTGGGCGGCTAGGAAAATGTGTGAGTGGCACTCTTAACTGGATGACACCAAAGCTAGGTCCAAACGATTCTGTTAATGAATGGGTGATTCTTTCCTTCAATTTGGTGACTGAGACATTCGGTGAAATGATGCTGCCTGATGGAAACAGTAACAACATTTGCAAGCCTATGATAAATTTGGTGCATAACTGTCTTTGTGTTTGTTTCTTTGACCGCAAGAAAGCTTGTTGGTGTGTTTGGGTGATGAAAGAGTACGGTGTTGAAGATTCTTGGACCAACTTGATGATGATTTCTGGCTTCGTTATAGATGGTTTGCCCTGCATTCGCAATGAGCTTTGTTCTTGTATAGGGTGTCCAGCACTTGATCCCTTGTATGTTTCAGAAGATGGCATGGCTTTGTTCAAAACTACATCGTGTAGGCTGCTTCTGTATAACCCCAACGATGGTACCTTGAATTGTGTAAGGGTTAGGGGTGACATTTGGAGTTACCATGAAAGTTTGGTTTCACCATCTTCATAAAATCTCATTTCTGAAAAAATAAGGTAGTTCCACACTCAAAAGTTACTAGACACACCACTTTCTTTTTCTGTTGCTTATTCTCCGTGCCCTATCAACTGGGATTCTTCTATTGGCTTTTTGTGTAGAAAATGTTTTAGAAAATTCGCAGTTTGATCCATTTTATTTTAAAGTCAGTTCCATCATGAATGTGATACTAATGAAAATGATTTCAATTTCAATTTCAATTTTGAAGATGAAACTCATTGTGTGAGAATGTGATGTTTCTTTCTCATGGGGTCAAACAAAAATCATGAAGTATCTTATCTTCTTTCATTGCCATTAGGGTTTCATTCGAATCTTAATCTGTTGCATTTAGTATATTGTTTACTATTGATAATAATAGGTTAATGTGCATGGATGAAGTTGTAAACAGTAATGATAAATGAGACTTTATAAATGTATAAAATGTGTTATCTTATTTATAGAATTTTTACTTTAAATAATTTTTTTTAAATTATTTACGAGTAACGGATTTGTTATAATATTATTTAGTTTATCGAATAATCAAATTTTGTCGAATATGTTTTTTTATTTTGTGTCAAATAAAAGGTTGTATATTTTATTTTGAGGGAATACCCTAATTCATTAAAAAAATTAATACATGTACGAGAATTTAAAAATGATAAAAAAAATAGTGAATTATGAAATATAAAAGATACGTTAGTTTGATATATATATATATATATATATATATATATATATATATATATATATATATATATATATATATATATAAAGAAAAAAAGAGTTGGTTTAAAATGGACAAATTTTAAAGATGCAAAAGTAGAATCTGTATATTAATGTTCTGTGAATTTGTTTATATTTATCATAATATTGGTACGATTATATTTCATTAAAAATAAAGTATTATGATATAGTTTGTATGTGTATTTTGAATATATATATATATATATATATATATATATATATATATATATATATTTATGAAATGATACTTAATTATTGTAAAATTATATTATATTTATTATTTTACTAATATTGGCCATTATATTTATTAATTAAATTTAAAAAGCATACATATACAGACAATAACTGTTATCAATATTTTTGATGATGCAGAGTAGAAATAAAATTTAATACTCTAAAATTTCATGTGCACAGTAGGGAAAGTGAAGAAAGAATAATTAATGCTAGGGTGATAGAAAATAACTGAAAATTGATAAAATTCTTAAAATTAATTAAACTGGTATTTTTAATTATTAATTTTTTTCTCAATCAAACCGTTTTGTTTGAATTTCAGTTTTATTACATTCATAAGTATTAATATATATATGAATATATACATATATATTGAATGTTTTTATATTTGATTGTATTTTATTTATATTTATATTTATTTAATTTGTATTATATTTTTTATTTAAAATGTTATGTAATTTATTTATGAATTTGAAAGTTGAAATTAAACATATAACAATCATAAAAAATTGACAATATATTTTTTTTTCAATGTGATGATTTTCCTAATAAGATGTTTTAGAATTTTATCATAAAAATACATTATAGTGTTTTATTTTTTTAATGATTTATAATAAAGAATAGTAAAAATTAATCTAAGGAAATAAAAAAAATCCAAATTAAACTACAAATAATGACTTGATTTGATTTAAATTTTGTATTAAATTAAAATTAAATCAAACAAAATAATATTTTATTTTTATTTGGTTATATGATTATGTAATAAAAAATAAAACCAAACTGAATAATTAAATTAACAGGAAAAAAATATACATTTATTAATTTATGTTAATTAAATGACAATCAAATAAAAATATTAAAGGAATGTGTTAATGTCTCATTAATATTATTTGGTTAAAAAATATTACATAAAATCTTAAAGGTTAACAAAGTTAGGAGAAACTATTAAGTTTCCACATCACAAATTGTGAAAATCAAATCGAAGTTTAGGAGATATGAACTCTTTCTCCACCATTAGTTGGTGTTCATATTTATCTTTCCACCATAGAAAAAATAGAAAATATTTTTAAAGATCTATCATAGAATCTATTTGGGTGCATGAAAGACATTTGTGGATTTATCAACCCTTGAAGATCCTTCTGGAATCTAACTGACATAGTGTGGACCTCAAAAAAACAATGAGGGCTTCCACTTTTTCTTGCTCTTTCTCTATTTAAGCTCTTTTCTTACCGTTGCCATTGACCTTTTGGATTCTCATGGTTAAAATTGGCAAAAAAATTCCACTTTTTTCTTTGGAAAAGCCGTTCATTTCGTCGCCCATCTTTTCCAAACGAAACCCGCCAAGAAAGGGACAATCTTTCTCACTCCTTATTTAATATCCCTTTATGTTCATCTCATCTTGCTTCATAAAAAATAAGATTTTATTCATCTCTTTCCTTTCATTGAGTACTTGGTTTAAGTTCTTTTGCCTTACACAATGATTTATGCATATATAAAAGCCAATGTGTGAAGGCAATGTGAACCAAACCAAAACTTGTTGAATATCAAAGAGAAAGAACGATGGAGAGTTCAATGAGACTTGAATACTTGATGACTGTCTTTGCTGTATCAGGAGGCATGGTCCTTTTGTTTCATCAAGTCAATAAGCATTTGTGCAACAAATTCTTGAAGAAATTTGAGTATGAAATTCGAGGTATATATGTATACATACATACATACATACCCACATGACCCTTTTTTTTTCTCTCTTTTTGGATGGTGTAACGATTTAATTCAATTCCTTTTGCTTAAATTTGTGAATTCTTGGGGAGATCTTGAATCACACAATTTCTATTTGTTGTCACAAGGGTCAGCGAAGCATGAGGCAAAGAAGAGGGTGCGGTTTGCAAAAGACATGGTGGAACTAATTCCCATGAAGAATGTTCAGAGTGATAGCATCAACTTGGCAAGGGAACAAGAAGTGATTGAGAAGGTTATGGTTTTGGATGATGCTGAGAATTGGAAGCATGATGAGAAATCCAAGGATGTCATGCCTCCTAATAGGGCAGTTCTATATAGGGGGATTATGAATAATAGGAAAGGGAGGTTCGAATTTTAATAATTTTCCCCCTTCTGAATTTAATTAGCAGATTATGGATCCACAGAAATATTATGAATGTTGGGATCCTAGTTCTATTCAATGTTATAAAATTATGTAATAAATAAAATATTCAGAGGGCATCTTCATTGCATTTAGCAAAATACCTTTTTTTTTTCCTTTTACTGAAATTGGATTAGGGGTTGGTGGGATGGATTTCCAGAAGGAAGTTGCAATTAAGCCCTTAATTTTGTATGATGTGAATAAACTAGCTAATTGGGTTTTGAAGATCTTTATGTGGAAGCTATCAACAATTTGATTGATGTTTGTAACATTTTTTGTTGTTGTGGATGATGATGAGAAGGGAAGTGTCATAGAAAGGAAACACAATAATGAATGGCAAAGTGCAATGTGAGTAGTGCACCTAACACCTGTTCAGTAAAATTCCCCAACAAATTAAAGCCTAGTCTTGGTGGACCACCAGTGAGGAAAATTGTAGCCAGTTTTTTGAACCAAACCATACCAAGAAAAATATATTTGGAAATCAACAAGAATCAACAGATGCAGGAGTCATTGATGTTAGCAAACAAAAGTATCTTTTTCTTCTGATAAACATGTTATTCACTCTTACTTCAAGTTAGACATCTAAGAAATGGACTAAAGCAGGCCCTGGGAAATCCTAAGAAGGTCTATGCTCTGCTTTGGGGCCAATACCTCTGAGAAATAGCAATTGAGAAGTGTCAGTCGCCATACTAGACACAATCCCTCACTCTTCTTGATGTTGCTTTCCATTTTCATCCTTGAAAATAACCCCAATAGCTTTTGGTCTTTTTTCTGCAACAATAACATCACCTTTTTCAGTCATGCGACAGTGATTGTAAGCTAGTTATAAAGGCCTAAAAAAAGTGTAAAACCTTCAATCAGTGAATTATTTTTAGTTGAATTTGTGTGTTGTGATGAGAGATATAAACAAACACCCTCTACATATTTTTCATGAATATTGAAAGGACTTCACTACAGTCTACTGTTTCTACATCTCTCTCACAGTAACTGTTCAGGATATGTTTACATAAAAACTCAAAATTTCTGATCTTGGGTAGGTGAAGAAGCTCCTACCAGGGGACCAATCTCTTCTTAGCACAGGTTTCAGGAACATTGGATACACAACACCTGAGGATGTACTCCACGGTCAACTACCAGAAAAGGCATCATTGATAGTGAAATCTGAAACTATTGTTGTTGCTGCTTCTATATTTCATGATCTTTTTTGAGGGCCTGAGAAATTTGCTACAAATTATGTTGGGTAACACTGAGAGTCTCTAGATAGCTACATGTTACATGGTTTTTACACGGTGTACCTTGGCGTAATTTGTCACATTCTTTGTCATATAAAATAACATGCCATATTCTATACCATATCAAAATATAAGTCACACGGTTTATCTCAGAAGTTGAAATTTTTGTTTTACTTATAAGAGACAAAAAGATAGAATTTAACGTCTTAAGTTTTTCAAATACCATGTCTCATACAAACATAGTCCATTAAACAACATCCAAGAAAAAGTTTGAAAATGTAACCACTTTCATGGAAAATTTTACCTTTTACGTAAACAAAATATAGGAAGAGAAGTAAAAATGTATTCTTTATCATAATATTCTCATCAAAACAAGAAAAGTTTTAACGTGCATAAATAAGAGAGAAAAACTCTAACAAAAACCAGTTTTTAATGTCATTTATAAAAACTTTAAGAGATAACAAGTTCCAGAGGTAATTAGATTTGAACAACTTGCATCTACCAAATTTATTTACTTTCCATCATTTGTAGAACATTATTTGTAAAGCTTATAAAAAATTTGCATTTAACATATCATTTAAATACACGATCTTGTGTATAGATAATAATCTAAGGTCACATTATATTAAAAAATTTAAAGCTTGGAGAGCCTTAAAAAGCTTGTTAAACCTAATACTTGAATTAGTGTCCCTAAAGTTAATTGAAAAAAAAAAATTATGTGTTCATGAGTTGGTGACGAAGCAAGTGAAAATAAGTTGTTTTGGTAGTTTTAATGCAAAATAAAGTTTTTTTTATCTTATCTCTTCTGAAAATATATAAAAATGATTTTAAATAATTTATACTAATATTTTAAAATTAGACCGTAAAGACATATTCAAAGTTTAAAAATTTAATCGTGGTGTCCAAATAAATTTAATAAAAAAATATTTTTATTATATAATAATATAATAAATTTATCAATAATGAAAATTTATTTATAAAATAAAATTATAACAATAATAAAAAAATTTATATTGCAGTAATTATATAACAATAAAAATTAAAAAATATAAAATATATAAAAGAATGAAAGACTGATAATTATAAAAAAATATAATAAAATAAATATTATTTTAAATTATTATTATTTAGTTAGAAAGAAAAAAAATTAAAAATTATTATATTTTTTATATAAAAAATTATCTTTTAATAAAATTAAAAATTTGATCTTTAATATCTTTCATCAAAATTAAATCAACCAACAAATTTCAATTAATTTTTCTGATTTTATATCAATTTATCTAATTTTATATTTATTTAATTAAAATTTGATTATTTAAAAATAATATATCACATGATTTAAGTATATTGTATATTTTATCAATATTTTAAAAACTTTTCCTGTTATTCTCTTAGTTTTATATTGTATAACATTTGATAACATATTTAAATTACATATTTTATCTGAATTTTAATATTTTTCTATCTAATACTCTTACTTTTTAGTTACACCACTTAGAATTATTTATTATCATTAATTTATATATTAATTCTCAACACAGTTTTCTGAATTTTTACTCGGTGCATATGCATCATCATTTGACAATCTATTTATAACGTCATATATAAATATTATTCTTCGATGATTTGGATTCTCGTTTCTTCTTCTATAAATAATGGATTCCTTTAAAATAAGATATTATAAAATAATTAGAAAGTACAATTTTATTCTCCTTTAATTTAAATAAAAATCTTATAAATTGAAATTATTTTAAATCAACAACAACTAAATAATCACTTTTCTAAATGCTACAGTTTATAAAGTTGAATTCGAAAGAATTCGAATTTGGTCACTTTTCCCAATTTTCATCCACGGAATATGTTTTATGATACCAGCGAAAAGAGGCACTTCTCCGCTTTTTACTTTAATTTATTAAAATTTCATATATATATATATATATAAATTTTAAAATATAAATATTTATTTTTCGAATAATAATTTATTAGAGATAAATAATCTTGAGATAAAATTTTAAGAAAAAGAAAAACTAAAAAAGAATATACAATCAGAGAATAAGAAAAATATTTTTTTAATTTTTATTTATAATTTTATATTCAAATTAAAACATATAAAAAGCTATGATTAAATTAAATAAAGAAAAAAATATGAATATAAATATAAATTATATTTTATTTGATCTCATAAAATAATTAAAAAAATCTTTTATATATATATATATATATGATTTAATTTTATCGACTAACTAGAAAAAATAATAAATTTATATTTTAAAATGGATCATAATTTTTAATTTAATATAATGTTAAATTAATAAATAATTTTTATTTAATTAAAAATTAAATAAATTAGTTAAATAAAAAATATTTTAAAAAATTAAATTATATTAATAAATTATTTTTATTTAATAATTCAATATATAAATTATAAAAAAAATAATAATAAAATAATTATTAAAATTTATTTTAATATTTTCTCTTAAAATACTAAATTTAATTTATACAATATATATATATATATATATATATATATTTTGATAAATTAATATTATTTTAATTTTTCTTTTAAAAATAATTATTATTTTATAAAAAAAACGTATAAATTAACTTTGTTTAAATCTATATAAATTATAATCTAAATAGATTTAATTTAATTTTTTTTAATCTAACTTATTTTTTATTTGGTTTATCAATAAACTATTTTAATATATATATATATATATATATATATATATATATATATATATATATATATCACAAAATGCTTAAAAATGAATTGAAAATGTTTTTGCATTTCCTCGATTTAATGAAGTAGTTTCTTAAAATGGCAGACGACTGGGTAAAATCATATATATATGAACTATAACATTATATTTTCATTTATGATATTGAAAATATCATTTTTAAAGTAATCGGATTTTAACTTTTGACTAATGCAACGTTAATTAAAAATTTAATATTAACTAGATGAACAATTTAAAAGATTACAAAAATTGAAGATATTATTATTATTATTATTATTATTATAGACTAGAGTTGAAAATGGTATTTTGCATGGTATAAAGTATAAAAATTACGAATAACTTTTTGCTATAGAAAAGAAAAAATAGAAACGTTTTTGTAAATATTAAGCGAGAAAGTACATGGTTTCTTTGTCGGCATGCAACATTGAAAATTCTGAACTGATCTTGTGCAGTGCTGTTGACACCAACAACAACAATTTAGTAATCATTTTATAATCTAATCATAGTATGTCATGCAAAGACTAAAAGATAAAATAAATTTTGACACAGAAGATGGAAGTTGATTGGTTGGATGAAAGTCAAAAAAAGAAAATGGAAGAAAAGGGGGCAAAATGGAATTGGGCATCCTTCATTCTATTTCTAGATGAACATCTGTTTCCATCAAATTCCACTCACTTCAAACCCTCAAAAGAAACACCTTCTTCCTCTTCTCCTATATTTAGGAAATTCAATTTCCCATAAAAAAAACCAGATTTGGTTTTCCTATATAACTCACTTCACTCACCTCTTTCTCCTTGCGCCATGGCCAAACACAAGGGAAAACGTAACACCGCTCTCTCATAAAATATTTTTCTCCCTTCTTTCTTCTGTGTTCAACAGAAATCCACACGATAACACCGTGTGGATTATCATTCCAAGCGAATTCGGCGAAGAAAGAAGGATCACAGGGAAAAAAAAACAAAACATTCAAAATATCCGATTTTGTTAGGCAGTTACAAAACGGTTATTTCAGTTATGTCGACAAGGGTTATTCTTCGACCGGCGGTGTCTAACCGCCGGATGCCGCTGCTGCAGCAGAGTCAGAGCTACCCGCAGGCGGGAACGCGCCTGGGGGAGGCGGTGGGTGGTACCGCCGCCGTCTGCTGCTGCTTCTCGTTCGGGCTTGCGAACATGGTGTATCTGGCGGTGTATAAGTTTCCGGCAAGCCTCTGGCAGAAGGCGCTGCGGCGGAAGAGGCGGCGGAGATTGCAGAGCATGAAGGAGGGGCTGGAAGCGGATGTGCACGTTCATCGGTGCACTTGCGGGGGCTGCGACGACATCATGGGCGTGGGGCGCGTGTACCCACTGTGCTGCGACGACGGCGGTGATGTGGCGGCGCTGCGGAGGCGGAGCTCAGCGGAGAAGGACAAGGACGTGGTGGAGCTGGAGAAAGAGATGTGGGAGAGATTTTACGGGTCCGGGTTTTGGCGAAGCCCTTCGCAGAGAGATCAAAAAGTCGTGGCTGCTTCTGTTTCTGCTTCAAAATTTCAAGTTCTTGCTGTTAATTGATTCCTTGGTTCAATCTTTGTAACATGTGAACGAACATTAGTGGGATTTTATTTGTTTTTTGAATCATCCCCTCTTGTTCTTCCTTTTTCAATCACATCGTCACAACATGGTTGCTTCATTTCCAATGTTATTTATCATTTTCTTCATCTTCATCATCATCATCATGGAATCGCTTCGCTCTTTCAATCCAAACTATGAACATGTTTCCTAAGTTTAAACTTTTCAACAAGTTGGATATGGAGATTCATTTTTATAATTCGATTAAAATTATGTAATCTATGAAAATTAATTAATTATATTTACAAGTCGTACAAATTGTTTTAAGATGATAAATTTATCCCAATGCATGTCAATTTGTTACCTTTTTGTTGAAAAAAATTATCCAAAACATGTTGTATAAAATAACAATATTCTCTTGTCTTATTTGGTGGTCCTATTTTTATCCCTTGTCTCCTCTCAATTACTTTTGCCAAACAAATTTCATCCACACCCTTGTTTTTTAGGACACTACTTTAAAAAAATATATATTCCTATTCCATAAATTGAGGTTAAATTTTATCGTGATTTTACGGAAATAGTACGAAACAATAAAAAGGTGTCATTATTATAAACATTTTAAATTATAAATACATATTACGTAAATAAATAATTAAGTAATTTTATAAAACAGAATTTAATAGTTAATAAATAATCTATAATGAAATTGAATTAAAAAAAAAAAAACATGCATGATTGGTAAGAGAGGGAGCAGGTATTTAATAGAAGCATGTGCATGCAGCATGAGGGTGTCACAAGACATGGTCGCATGTACGTGTAAAGCGGTCCAAAACATCAACAGTACTCACCACAACACAAGCAGTGTTCGAGTGGGTTTCAAATTAAGCACAGAATTCAACACAAGAGGTGAAAAGGGAAGTACACATCTAGGGTTGTGTCAGAAATTATTTCACGGTCTAGGCTATAAGACATTCACGTCACTTCACTTACTCTTTCAATATAAAAAAAATAATGAAATTATAAATTCAAATTATTTTTATCTCAATTTTTTAAATATCACTTATCTATTTTATTTTATCTAGTGGAATTTATTTTAAAATTAAAATCTGACATAATATTATAATATTCTTAATTTTATCTTAATTTTTTTAATAAAAAATATGATATCGCAATTCTCTAAATACGATTTATATATTTATTCAACTGTTTTAAATTAAAATCTGTCGCAAAGTTTTAATCCTCCACTATTGTAAATTTTAAGATTTTGGATTGAATCATGTGTTACTTGTCTTACATAATTAATTGATGTTTATTAATGAATATTTATTTGGTAATTCGTCTCTCGAGTTTAACACGTGATATGGATGAGTGTACTTTTAAATATTTTTCTTTTTTAAATTATTAAAATAAAAACTTATTCCATCATATCACGTCACTTAAAAGAATCTATGTTTTTATAAAAGGTATTACAATATTAATTATTAGGACTCAAGATCTTGTATAATACACAATTCTATATATTTACAAGACTTTTTTTTCCATAAAACTATAATTATAATTTTTCTTAAAAATTCCATAGTAGAGATGTTACTACATAATAAGATATATGTTTTAACATGTCATAACAATAATTATTGTTAAAAAGTTAATGACATACCAAAATGGTTAAAATTTTAAACATGAGAGAATAATATATGTAATAGCATTTTTTTTAGAGAGGTCAAAATTACACAATCATGAAACTATATTGAGAAAGATTATCTAAGCCTACAAAAAAAATATAATTATTTTAAGGAACAATAAAATTTTTGATATATGTTTTCATGCGAATTAAAATAATAATTATGATGGATAATAATAATAATAATAATAATAATAAATATTGGCTCAAGAGGGGAAGAAGAAACTTTGTTATAATTTGATGAAGCCCACTTTGCAAATGGATCGGGATATCATCTTAGAGAGGCCCAATTCCTCCTGCAACAATACATTATTCAGTTTTAAATTATATAATTTATCAATTATTTGTTATACTTCTGAGTTGCCTAATTATTTATGGAATTTTTATAAATGAATTAAATGTAATTTTATTCATTTAACGCAATTTATAATATTATCCATATAAAGTAGGGATTAAATAGTTTAATTAAGACACTTAGATACTTACTAAATCTAGCTGTAAGGCTATAACAACTAAAAAAATCGATTTTTTTTTCCAAAGACAAAGTTTTACTTGGCTTAATAAGGAAGTTATATGAATAACTTAATTGATACTTTAATTTAAATCTTATCAATATCTTCATAAGGATCAAATTTAATGTAATAGTTGAAGATTATTTGTTAACTCACTATCTTTTTTCTTAATTTAAATTCCAAATCGTATAATTCTTAATTAGAGATATGTTAATTCACTATAAAATTATTCTTTCTATTTCATAAACATGGAAAGAGTGAAATTTGAAATAATTGAATGAAATAATTGTTAATTTAAGTGAGATAAAAAGAATAATAAGAAATAAAAATAGTAATGATTTATGTAGTTTTTTAATATATAATTTTTTTATTCATCAAAAACTTATTTATTTACTGTTATTCGGAACAATGAGAAATCGTCACAATCATTTCTCTTATTCCAATTTTTTTAGAATAAGTTTTTTTAATCTTTCTTAACTCTCAAATTTTTTTAAAATTAAAAATTCTTAAAGTTTACATCCATTTTTATATAGTTTCACAAATGTAAAATTTGGATTTTATAAAATTTTAATTGTTGGTCTAGTTATCCAGTTTTATAAAATATCTATTTTTGGTCCAATATTAATATATTATAATTTTTTTAGTTAGATAAATATCTAGGTGATAATAATATCAATTATTTAATTATATAAAATTAGCAATTATGTTTAATATATGTTATATTAACTGTTTTTGTTGTCAATTTACTACATTACTTAATTTTGAAAAACTAGATCGGCATTAAAATTCTATAAAAACTAAGATTGCACATTCATACAACTACATAAACCAAGAGTAGATTTAAATTTATCGTAAATGTATTAAAATTGGTTTTATTAGGTGGATATTTGAATAATCATTGAAAAAATTATGACCTCAAAAATCATATTTAAAGAAAATGGAAACAATGATGTATATAAATTTAAGTTCCAAAATAAAAATAAGAGGCAGTATTAAATAATTAAATCTAATGGAAAGAAAGTATTATCCTCCGAATTTGACAAAGATGAAGTGACAGAAAAACCATAAAATAAAAGTGGCAGCATCAGACATAATTGTAAGGCGGAGAAAGCCTGAAAAGTGAGCCTTTTATTCATATGCTGTGGGGTCTCATTTCCAATACAAGCACAATTTTCTTGGTAGACAAACCCACCAAACATCCAACAAGGTAAAGTGTAATTGTCATCCATTTCTTTCCCTTCAATTTTTTCCTTCATCACTTAATTCCATATCTTGCATTCTCTGCTTTCTCATTTCTCAGGGTTCGATCCTCTCTTTTCTGGACTTCCCTCCGTTTCTTGAGCCCCTTTTTCTTTTCTGGGCCTTTCTCTATTCTCCATGGAGGTAATTGATTGAATCCTGCCATGTTTTGATAAAATTTTGTATTTTTTTTTTCGCCGTCCGTGATTCTTTTGCATTATCTGTTGCAAAGATTTGTGCTTTTTAATCTGGGGTTGGTCGGTGTTGCTTCCTTTTGGTGATCCTTTTCTTTATGTGTTGGTGCAGAATTTTTTTATCCATTTTTCTTGTGTTGGATTTTGCTATGATCTTATTGCTGATTCTTTTACTTTTCATTTTTATAATTATAGAAGTTTATCAAATGTGAATGCATTTATCGATTGAAAAACATGATCAATCATCCTTCCGGAAGGATAGGTATTATATAGTTTAAAGAGGGGTAAAAGATAATTCTTTGAAGTTACGAAGTATTCGTAAAGCTTATTGGGGTGCATGGAGCTGGTGAAAACTGGATTTATTATTTTGGTTGACGATAAAGGAAAGGGTTTAAATTGTGGTCGCGTTCTTTGACATTGCGGCAAATTGCAGAAAAATTCGGCTGCAATTGCATTTGTGGAAAGCCCAAAAACCTTGATGTACTCGCTAAAATTGCTGTCACCAACCATTTTCTAAAACCTTCTGCAACCGAAATTGCAATTGTGATTGGAACAACAACAGTTTTAATGTTTCGCACTCAATTTTCCGCAACATCAAGAATTAGGCTAGTATTATCTCTGCATCGTTTGCTTGTCTACTTTCACTTGGTTTAATAGGTAGGAATAACCTGGATTTTAAGTTTACTTATTGACACTGTTTATAATGACTCTAAATGAGCTTGCTTTTCTGTTTGTTGGAAATATTATGCACTCAAGTGTATCACTCAGAAAATATTTCATCTGACTTTGAACTCTGAAATATACAGGTTCCGGAAATGGAAGGCAAGACCGAAAGTCATATGACATCGGCAGCCGCCTTTGTGGAAGGGGGGATTCAAGAAGCCTGTGATGATTCTTGCAGCATATGCCTTGAGGATTTTTGCAAAAGTGATCCTGCAACTGTAATATGCAGCTTTTGTGCTTCCCTCTGTTCTTTTCACAAATAGAAGTATAAGCAAGGATGGCTTCAATTGAAAAACACTTGTTTACTCCTTTTTCTTGTCTCTCTTTTCAGGTCACTAATTGCAAGCATAGGTTCCACCTGCAATGCATTCTGGAATGGTACATTTTAATAGGTTTTCGTGTTTTTTCACAAAACTTAAATTTTTAATTTTTACTTCTATATTCTTATAGAGTAATATTTTATTTTTGTTTTTTGGTTCCTATATATATTAAAATTGCTTCTAGTTTTCAGCATTAACAAGTTCTCAGTCTTGAAAAGTTAGAACTAGAAGTCATTTGCACAAAATGTGTTATTTTTTCTACAGTTACTGAAGAATGCACCCTTTATATTTTCTTACTCATTTAGATGATATGAAAGTGTACATATCTTAAAAACAAATTGTGTTGACTCCAATTGAATTTCTTACCTGTGATTTGCTTCTCATTCTAGTTCAATGATTGGTTCAGTTTTCAGAATATTGGTCTGACTATGAATTCCACAAATATTCTCACTGCTTTGTTCACACACATTTTAAAATTTGGTATGTCGTGGATTTAAATTCGTTAGAGTTTTCCATATAGTACAAATATCAGCAATTTCTACTATGCAGTATGGTGTCAATTGGATAGCTGGGATTTTGTCAAAATATTAACTATAACTTTTAGACAAAGTGCTATACTAGCTACTAACCACCAACAAAGTTGATAACACTAGCAGCACTAAATAAAACAAAAATGGAAATAAGAACTTTTGGTATAATTTGATGGATATGTTTCTATCTCACCATCTGTGTGTGTTTATTGTCTTGATTTTGTATATGGCTAGGGGCCATGCTCACTGTTGAAAATGTTCTTGCCTTTTCCAAATATATTGATAGGTTGGAAGTTTCTGATCTCAAAATTTAATTTTGGCTTCTGGTGGGAACATTTGAGTTGAAAATGGAACATTATACTACAAAAATAGTTACTGGCTGTTGTTTGTATGCAGGTGTCAGAGAAGCTCTCAATGCCCTATGTGTTGGCAGCCTGTCAGCTTGAAGGATGCTACCAGGTATTTCAGGATTTTAATTCCTATGACCTACTTTTTAATTCATTTCATGATTATATTCTTAAACGTGTATGAATTTCTTGACAGTCAAGAGCTGCTTGAGGCAGTAGAGCTGGAGAGGAGCTTGAGGGATACCCCATCAAGAAATGCTGCTATTTTCCATCATCCAGCAGTTGGTGATTTTGAATTGCAGCATGTCAGTCATATCTCTCTGAGTTTTTATTTGATTGCCCTTCATCTTAACTCCTGGCACATCTTATTCGCCCCATCTATACATCATTGCAACTTTCTTACTTGTGCAGCTACCCATGGGACATGAGTCTGAAATTGAAGAGAGAGTCATTCGGCATTTAGCTGCTGCAGCATCAATGAGGAGAGCACACCACCTCGGCCGAAGGGAAGCTCAACGAACTAGGTCATCTACTCATGGCCGTCCACACTACTTAGTATACTCAACTCAGCCTAGTGCATCTCCATCAGCTGCCGGAGGGGGAAGTGAACCAGCTGCAATTCCTGTAGGGAATCCATCTGCCCCTCTTATATTTGATGGAGCTGAGCAATCATCACCACAGCAGATGCCTCAATTTCCAACTCGGAGTTCTTCTTTAAATTCTGGTTCTACTGTCGCAACAAGTAATCTTCAAGGAGTTCACTCTAATGATAGGTAGTTAGACCTTACTATTTATTTTCTTGTGATCATTATTAGTGTGTGATCATGTGAAGTTATACATTGTATGTTTACTTGTTTGTAGAAGTTTTGCCTCTCATTCCTTGCCTGCAAGCCATGATGGAGCACAGCCATCCGAGCAATCATTCTCAGATTCTCTGCTTTCCAGATTTAATGCAGTATCCATGAGGTACAATTTCTTAGAAACCATTTATCCGCAAATTCTATTAGTAAAGTTGACTCATCCAGTGAAATTGTCTTGGCAAAGATACAAAGAATCAATTTCAAAGGGCACAAGGGGATGGAAGGAGAGGCTGTTCTCTCCAAATTCTTCCATGTCAGAACTTGGTTCAGAAGTTAGGAGAGAATTGAATGCCAAAATTGCTAGTGTGTCCCGATTGATGGAGCGCCTTGAAACAGCAAGAGAAGCAAGAGAAAATAATAGCGCTGCAGGCAGTTCTTTATCAAATCATTTGGTGAATCATTCCATCGCAGAGACAAGCCACCAAAACAGTGTGGAAGTTCGAGGAGAGAACTCTTTACGTGACAATAATACTCCAGCTACTTTTTCTGCTAGCCCAGATTCGAAATGAGTTCTAGTTTACTTCTGTGAATGCATTTTGCTCAGCCTGTCATGTTTGAAGGTGAGCCTTGATCTTAGTTCAGACGTTAGTAATTTCTATGAACTATCAGTGAGATTTTACACACTATCAACCGATTAAAAATCTCATTACTATAACTTATAAGACAGTTTTTGCATAAGTCAAACTAACTTGTTCTCTATGGTGGTTTATGATTGAAAAACAGTACTTTCTACTCTAATCGTTGTGTCTGATTATAAAATATATAAGCAATGCTTCCAGTCACTCATCAATTACTAGGTGTATCCCCTTTTGGTGTGTATATCATGTCTAAAGTGTGATTGTTTTACTTTTTTTTCAGGCTAACTATTTACTCAGATATGACATGATGAGGAATATATGCTCGAGGAAGTTCTTGGATTTCAATAAAAAATAGGATCTGAGACACCTGCGCCTAAAGCTAAAGCTTTTGCCTTTTATGTATATATTATATGCCGGGAACTGTAGGGAGTAGTAAGTATTTAAGGTATAAACTAAGGGAGAGTGTTCTGAAATTTCTATAATGTTTAGGTGTATAACCATGTATGTCCATAATTTGTCCTTGTGATTACCTTTTTGTGGTCAAAGGAAAAAGAAACGATAGATCAAAATGGCAACTTGAATTCTTGGTGTTTCTACTGCACTTGAACCTTGATTAAGCTAAATTCACATGGGAAAATGTGAAGCTATCATATTGTTCTGTAATTAAAAGTGATTGCAGTTCTAAAAACGCGCAAGGGCCATCTTGGGATGTTGAAATTTTTTATATTTTAAATCCGTTATAATATATTTTCAAATTGATAATTTATTCCTATATTAAAATCTAAAGTTAGGAACTTGGATAATTTTCCACTCTACTGTTATAAATTTTCAGTTTTTCCCCTTCTCTTGGTTCACACTCAAGCTCCGCCGCCACCTCCGCCTCATTGCCCTCTCCGATCAACTATTCTCTTTTCCGACAACTTTTTCAACAACTATGGGGAATCAATAACAATAAAAAGTAAGAAACAACTGTCTGGGTTTTGTTTAGAAGGTGAAAAATTGAAACTTTGTTAACTGGGTTTGTTGGTGTTAAGGATTTGAGGTTGCAGAAACATATTTCAATGGGATAATAATAATAATAATAACAATATAATAATAATAATAATTATTATTACTTTTAATAAAGATGACAATAATATAACTTATATTATTCAAAAATAATCTCTTTTTTATTATTTTTAATAAATTATTTTATCTTTATCAGATAAAAATAATTTTATTATAATAAAAATACAAATTAATAATTACATAATTCCTATTTTTTAATTGTGTAACTCCTCAAAATTAATTTGTTTATAACTCTCTCTCAGTGTGTGATAGCATTATTTGATTAAGCATTTTGATAACATATAATGAAATATTTTATTTTTAATGTTTGTTTGCATATAATGAAATTATACTATAAAATAAATTATTATTTGACTAACGAGAAAACACAAATGTAATAATGTATATTTAAAAAAAATTACAAAAAAAATTATCAAAACATTAAAAATATACTTATCAACTATGTTAATTATTTTTTAATTACATTAAATTTCTTTTATTATTTTATAATTACTAAGACAATAAATCACAAATATCATCAACAGTCTCTCGTTTTCTTGTAATTATTAGTCAGAAAGAATTATAGTTTTAAAAACAACAAAAATAATTAGAAAAAAAAACTTAGGATTAGTCCTACTGATTTTATAAATAATCTCAAAAGTTAATATTCCTAATTTTTATCATAAGGTACAAATTAAAAAAAAATTAATATAAGATATTTTATAATTTTATCTATCGAGATTCTCAAATTTATGAATTGATTTAAATATTTCCTATATCAATTTATATTGTGATAATAATATATAATTAATTTACCTGATTAATTAATTATAATTAGCATTAAATAGATTACAAATCATCTCATCTGGTTCAGATATTTTTCTTTTATTATTATTTAAAATTTTTATACAGATTTAACTATAGGAGGATATTTTGCAGCAGACTGATTTGTATGAACTTATTCTTTATTGTTATAACTTTTTTTATAAGAACAATAATTTTAATAAATGTAATCTTTATTTTCTTATCTGACATATTTCTATTAAATACCTTAATATATATGTTTTTATCAACTAGTCTAATCATAATTAATAAGTGTAAAAAAGAGAGTTAATAAAATTAAATAAATAAATTATTTTTGTTTTTAACAAATCATACAAAATAAAAGTAGTAATTTTATTAATTAATTTGTAACATGCTTATGAATTAGAGTGTAGTATTATTACGAATGAGAATTTAAATTTAATTATAAGACATGTATTTGGAAAAAAATCAATGCATTATCTTGTTTGGATTTATCAACATAACATTATTATTACAATAAGTGAGTCATCTTCTTGAAAACTAAGCGAGACTGTGACCCACCAAAGTTTTATAATTTTTATGTAATTTATAATTTTGATTCTTCAAACTTAATAACATTTAATATATATATATATATATATATATATATATATATATATATATATACTTGTTTATTTATAATTTTATCCTTTTAATCTCTTCTCAATTTGTAATTTTTATATAAATTATGATTTTATCCCTTTCAAACTTAATAATTATTTAATATATTTAATTATATATCTATATTTTTATGTTTTATTTTTATTTATTATTTATTAATAATATATTATTTGGGTTTTCAAGATAAATGGTGAAGATTCCACACTTATTATAATTTTTACAACTCATGTATTTGCTATAAATACCATGAGACGCAGTGTTATTCTTTGCCGAAACAAATCGAAAAGTTGAATCTTGTATTTTGTGTGTTATCAGAAATGAGAAAGATTTTGGTAGGAGTTCTCTTCCTTGTGCTTGTTTCTGAAGGTGAGATTTGATGCGAATGTGTGAAACATAATTTGTTGTTATATAAATGATTGTTAAGAAGTTGTATGATGCGTGGATTATGGTTTCAGGTTACAGCCAGTGCTCGGTGAGCGATATCCATGTGACCCAATCTGCAACTGGAAGAAGAGTGGGAGGAAAACCAGAATGGAGTGTGAGTATCACGAATTGGTGTGCATGTGTTCAGAAGAAGGTGCAATTGAATTGCAAAGGGTTTCAAACAACAGAAGCAGTGGATGATTCACTCTTGAAAGTTTCTGGTGATGTTTGTCTTGTGAGTGGAGGCCAGCCTGTGTGGAAAGGTGCCATTGAATTCAATTATGCCTGGGATCATCAGTTCCCATTAAATCCCATTTCCTCTCAGGTTGCTTGTTAGCTCCACATTCCTTCATACACAGATTCAAGTTATTGCTTGAATAATATCTTTATCAATCTTATCATTCTATAATAAAATCTTAATTTTCAATTCTTCAATGTGTTTTTCCATTTACTCATTAATTCATTTAATTCTTCACTTGAAATCAAATGATAAAATTGAGCTTCATATCCCAACAAAACCTTCATGACCTGATATTTTAATGTGATAGCACACGTTAGATCTCAATTTTATTAGTAAAAGAGGTTCAAGAAAAATAATATTTATAAATGGTGGTTATTCTTAATTCTTAAATAAATTGAAACGTGTACGTTTATATAATAGTAAATATTAAAATTATTAAATTTTGAAGTTAATTTTCAAATTTACCTAGATAAAAGCTATAATTTTAAAATATGAAAATGTTATGATTTTAATGTAAAACATTATGTAGTTTTCCTACGTTCTTAATTTATTACGGAAAACTACTCTACAGGATCTTTAGATTATTGATTTTCACAACATAACATACATGAATCATAATAAGAGAACTAACCTTGATCCATGAAAATATATTCTTTAATCTTCTCGTTCTTCAATCTCCTTTTCCCAATCTATCTCTTTGTCTTTCTTTCTCTTCTCACGCTTTCTTGATGGTTTTCCGTGAAAAACTTTATGACCAGAGACAGAACCCTTATTCCATTCTATTAACCAACGTCCATCAAGTTAGTTACCGTAAGTTAATATTTTATTTTATCTTTATTTTATTCTGACTTCACATAATAACCAATAGGTCCTCATATTTTATTAAATCACATTTGGGCTCATTATTATATTTCACATGAGTCACATAATGGAATGAATTAATTAAATTAATTCTAACATTCTCCCACTTGACTCATGTGATGTCATACGATTATGTGATTTAATACTTAAGTCATAATGCGCATTAAAGGACTTTACATAAATTGGTTCTATCATCATTCATAATTAAAGATACAGCTATAACAAGAGTCATGGCGGTTACATGTCATTCAATCGACAGGCTCCCTTTCATGTACCACTATATTATCTCTTTCTCCTTAATATGACTTTATAATGAGAAGTCCATAATGGGTTCAAACATAATATCATTTTAATAATAATAACATAATTTGTTTTCTTCATCATAATTTGCATGCATATAAATAAAGAAGAAAACACAAAATTCAGAAACTTATACATTAAAGATCTCAGAGTGTCACATAAGCATTAATAATAACATTAGCATTCAACATTCACTAGTGAACATAATGCCCACGTTCATTATATGACCAGCAAATAATTTGGGCGATAATCCATTTGTTAAAGGATCAGCAATCATAAGATCAGTGCTAGTATGTTCTATTGACACTCTACGTTTCTGAACTTCTTCTTTAACGACAAAGTATTTCAATTCCATATACTTAGCACCTTTGGAATACTTGTCGTTCTTAGAAAAGAAGACTGCTGCGGAATTGTCACAATAAATTTTCAGCGGCTTGGCAATGCTGTCGACTACTCCAAGTCCTGAAATAAAATTCCGCAACCAATTAGCTTGAACTGTGGCCTCAAAGCATGCCACAAATTCAGCTTCCATGGTGGATGTAGCAATGAAAGACTGCTTTGCACTTTTCCATGAAATCGCTCCTCCGGCTAAAAGATACACATAACCAAATTTAGACTTTCGTGTATCCATACAACCAGCAAAATTTGAATCTGTATATCCAATCACCTCAAGGTGATCAACTTTCCTATAAGTAAGCATGTGATTCTTTGTTCCTTGTAAGTATCTTAAAACTTTCTTTGCAGCCTTCCAATGATCCAGTTCAGGATTACTCTGGTATCTACCAAGCATACCAACTGCAAAACTAATATCTGGCCTCGTACATGTTTGAGCATACATCAAACTCCCAACAACAGATGCATAAGGGATATTTTTCATCTGTTTCCGTTCCAAGTCATTCTTTGGACATTGCATGAGACTAAATTTGTCTCCTTTTTGTATTGGAACGGGAGATGCGAGAACAATTCTCCATTCCGAATCTCTCTAAAACTTTATTAATATATGCTTTACGAGACAAACCTAACGAGTCCTTGTGATCTATCACGGAATATTTCTATTCCTATCACATAGTATGCCTCACCCATATCTTTCATTTCAAAGTTGTTAGAGAGAAACTTCTTAGTCTCACTTAATAGACCAAGATCATTAGTCGCAAGCAAGATATCATCAACATACGGAATCGAAATATAAACTTGCTCCCACTGACCTTCGAGATATATACACCGATCAACGAGTGTTTTCCTTAAATCCAAAGGACAAAATAGTATCATTGAACTTAAGATACCATTGTCGAGAAGCTTGTTTAAGTCCATATATTGATTTCTTAAGTTTACACACCATATGTTCCTTTCCTTCTTCAATAAACCCCACTGGTTGATTCATATAAACATCCTTCTCTAAATCTCCATTCAGAAAAGCAGTTTTAACATCCATTTGATGCAACTCAAGATCATAATGAGCTACCAATGCCATGATAATTCTAAAGGAATCTTTCTTAGAAACAGGTGAAAATGTTTCCTTATAATCAATGCTGTCTTTCTGAGTAAAACCTTTGGCAACAAGTCGGGCCTTGTAACGTTCGATATTGCCATGAGAGTCACGCTTAGTCTTAAAGACCCATTTACACCCAACACTTTTACATCCTTCTGGAAATTCCACAAGATCTCATACACCATTATGTGCCATTGATTTAAGCTCATCTTTCATAGCATCTAACCATTTATCAGAATTATCACCATTAATGGCATCTGAAAATGAAACTGGGTCATTATCAATACTTAAGTCATTTTCTGACTCTTGTAGATAAACCACGTAATCATTCGAAATAACAGACTTTCTTTCTCTATGAGATCCTTTTAATATTATTTCTTGTGGTTGTTCTATTATCGGTTCATTGTTAATTTCGGGATCATTAATTTATTGTTCTTCTTGATTGTTGTGTGGTTCTACAACATGTGGAACAACAACTCTTGAAGTAGATGTACCTTTTATGGGAACTTGTACTCTAACTTCCTTAATCTCCACATTTCGTGAAACTTCCACTCCCACTAGTTTCACCATTTTCAATGAACCGAGCATTTCCAGTTTCAATAATTCTTGTACTATGGGTAGGACAGTAAAACATATACCCTTTTGATTTTTCTGGATAACCAATGAAATATCCATTGATTGTTCTTGCATCCAGTTTCTTTTCTTGTGGATTATAAATTCTTACTTCTGTCTGACTACCCCAAACAAGCAGGTGTCTCAAACTAGGTTTCCTACTTTTCCATAACTCAAAAATCTTTTGAACAACTTTACTAGGAACCTTGTTCAACAAATACATGATCGTCTTTAAAGCATACATCCACAACGATACAGTTAAACATGAATTACTTAACATACTCCTAACCATATCAAATCATAGAAGTACGCTTAAACAAACTGAAACAACCATTCCCAAACTTAAAAGAGTATCCAACAACATCAAGCTTAGACAAAGAAACTAAATTTCTAATGATACTAGGTACATAAAAAGTATCCATAAGGTCTAAGTGATATCCAATGTCAAGGATTAAACGATAAGTCCCGACAGCTTCCACTGGAACCTTGACTTTATTCCCCATGAAGACAAACTTCTCATTTGGGTTTATGGTTCGGGTTGAAAGGAATCCTTGCATTACATTAGAAACATGAGTCGTACATCCAAAATTAATCCACCAAGTATTATGGGGAACTTCAGTTAAATTTGATTCAAAACATACATAAGCACTGTGCTCACCTTTCTTTTCGAACCAAGCTTTGCGCTTTAAACAGTCCTTCTGAAAATGTCCAGACTTCCCGCAGAAATGACATTTGTCATTTTTCTTTTGAATGTTAGTAGAGGACTCGTTAATCTTTAATGGTCCTTTACCCTTTCCATGTTTCTTAACAACTTTCTTTTTAGCTCCTTGATTTTTCACGTAATGAATAGAGTGGCTTCCTAGGTTCTTCAGTCTGGTCTCCTCCTAAACTAACATACTGTGCAATTCATGCACATTCCATTTGTCTTTCATGGTGTTATAATTCATCTGAAATGGACCATACTCAGGCGGTAACGAGTTCAAAATGAATTGCACAAGAAAATTTTCTTCCACTGCCATTCCAAGAGACTTGAGTCTTGCTGTGATATTTGTCATTTCGATTACGTGTTCATGCATACTACGAGAACCATCAAACTTCATGGTGGTCAACGTAATCATCAATGTCCCAGCGAGGGATTTGTCAGCAGTTTGAGAACGCTCTTTCACAAATTTCATAAATATTTTCACGTCCTTAGTTTTGAAAAAAACATACTTAATATTGCTTGCAATACTCATTCGCATAAACATAAGACTAAGTCTATTTGAACTTTTCCAAACTCTATAATGAGTTTTCTCTTTGTTGCTACTAGCATTAGTGATAGCAACCGGTTTTTCAACTTAGAAAGCCAAATCAAAATCCAACTCACCTAAGTGAAATTGGACTTTCTTACTCCAGTCAGGGAATTTAATTTATTAAAGACTGGAACAGACGAAGTAAGCGAATGTAGAAATACATAATAAACAAATACTTCAATTAACACATGCCTAACATTAACGCTTTGAGTCATAAAAACTAAACATAAATACAGATTCAAACATAAATAACCATTCTATGCATACTAATGTTCTCATTTGGGAGATCCACTAATACACAAACATAATTACGCTAATCTTTTTATAACATTAATGATAATTAAAATATGCATCAACTAGAATCACCTAACACCTTTGGGTATATAAATAAAACTAGTGACGCACACAAAATTATCTACTTTCATGTTCATTAATTATAATAACAACTAATCAACCTTTGGGTGATCCTGAAATGCCTTATAATAAAGAACTTCAATTAACCCATAAATCATTATTCATAATTTTAGCATTCATACTATGGGTAATTGAAATAAAATCATTAATAATTTGAAATCAAAATAACCTTAAAATTTTGGCCACTTTGGTGACTAACAAAATTTAACATGCTTAATTTCAAATAAATAATATCTTTAATTGCTATTAACCATTCATAGCATTTTTTTTTAATTTTAATAAATCACATTTGGGCTCATTATTAATAAAATATGAGGACCTATTGGTTATTATGTGAAGTCAGAATAAAATAAAGATAAAATAAAATATTAACTTACGGTAACCAACTTGATGGACGTTGGTTAATAGAATGGAATAAGGGTTCTGTCTCTGGTCATAAAGTTTTTCACGGAAAACCATCAAGAAAGCGTGAGAAGAGAAATAAAGACAAAGAGATAGATTGGAAAAAGGAGATTGAAGAACGAGAAGATTAAAGAATATATTTTCATGGATCAAGGTTAGTTCTCTTATTATGATTCATGTATGTTATGTTGTGAAAATCAATAATCTAAAGATCTTGTAGAGTAGTTTTCCGTAATAAATTAAGAACGTAGGAAAACTACATAATGTTTTACATGTGGTATCAGAGCACTGATTATTAGATTTATGATTTTCCTTGTACGAAAGTTTTCCCAAATATTAAGTTTTTCCCAAATTAAGATAAACCCTAATTATGAATTTAGGGATTTCTTTATCAGATTAGTACGAACCCTAATTTATTCCCAAATTTATTTTTCTCAAAATTAAATAAAAGAATAAACCCTAATTATGTTTTCAAGTTCAAATTGAAACCAATTTTATAGCCTCTATGCGTGAATGAACCCGTAATTGATTTTAATTGAAAAGACAAATGACGTGATAGGGTTAAGGTGAATCATGTATGAAATTAGTTTTATTGTATGTTATAATTATGATGGAAGAATGATAAACCGTAAAGTTGATAAACTTTGCGCGTAGAGAGCACGTGTTAAACACACGTGTTAAACCCATATTATTTGTACATTATTTTGTACGTACATATTTTTTTTATGTGGGGGAAGGATAATTAAAGAGTTATTTTTATGTCAAAGTGAGTTGTATAATATACTCATACTGTAAAACGGGTACTGTAAAGCTTTGTTATGGTACTTTTGTTATGGTACTGTCAAGCTTTGTTATGGGTACTATATTGTTATGGGTACTGTAAAGCTTTATTATGGGTACTGTAAAGCTTTATTATGGGTACTGTAAAGCTTTGTTATGGGTACTGTAAAGCTTTGTTATGGGTACTATAAAACTTTGTTATGGGTACTATAAAACTTTGTTATGGGTACTGTAAAGCTTTGTTATGGGTACCTTAAATTTGTTAAGGTACTGTAAAGTTTTGTTAAGGTTGTTAATGTATTATGAAACTTTGTTAAGGTTGTTAATATAATGCTTTGTTAATGTACTGTGAAGCTTTGTTAATGTACTGTGAAGCTTTGTTAATGTACTGTGAAACTTTGTTAATGTACTATGAAGCTTTGTTAATGTACTCGTGAAGCTTTGTTAATGTATTGTAAAACTTTGTTAATGTACCTATAATGTAAACATTGATAAATGAATGAATCTTGTTTTGCAAACTGAATTGTATTGTTTCCGCTGTGTTTAAATTACTCATAAAAGTTTTCAATGAATGACAATTTCACTTTTACGTGAAATGCAAATAAAGGTCTTGGATTCAAAATCAATCTTAGGATGAAAATTGAAATTATGAGTTTCAATTTTATTTATGGCACATAATATTTTATTATGTGAATAATGTACATATTTTATTAAATCACATTTGGGCTCATTATTATATTTCACATGAGTCACATAATGGAATGAATTAATTAAATTAATTATAACATTTAATACCACTATATTTTTTATTTATAATTTTCTAAAAATTATAAAATTTATAATGATAAGAGTTCACTTGTAAATAATTGTTCGTATAATTTTTTGAGTAGTTATTATAATTAATATATATATATATATATATAAAAGAATAAACACAAATGCAATGTTTATATTTTTAAAAAATATTATTAAAATATTACAAATAAAATCATAATTTTATAATGAAAATCTATAAATAAAAAATAGTTATGAAACCGCTATTAAAGTATTAAAAATAAAATTATAACTATAACCAAATAACTACAAAATATGAAAACAGTTATATAATGTAAAAGATAAAATAGAAATAATTGTATACAAGAGTGTTAATACAATCCAATTTTCTGTATCAATAATATAGATTAAATTATTAAATAATAATCAGAATAATATATATATATATATATATATATATATATATTATAAATACATTTATATATAATTAATATAAATATTAAATTTTAACTTATTCTAAGAAGATTTGATTAAAAATCGTAAAAATATTTTTCAATATAATAAATAATATATATTTTTAAATATTTAAATATAATTTTTATACCATTTATTTATTTAACTAGATAGGTTTAATATTAATATATAAAATTTTATTATAGAAAAAAATCTAACATAAAGTATAATTATTTTTTTCCTCATTTTTTATATATTTTTCTCTCTTATTATTTTTCATTATTCTTTTTCACTTTCCTTATTCATTTCTATATTTTTTTATTAATCTTCTCTTTCTTTTTTACTCTTGTATTCTTCTAATTAAAAATATTATATTAAAATATAATAAAAATATGTTAATTTTTTTTTCAAATCAACATAAAAAATAATAAAATATTTATTTTAAAATATTTTTTAATAAATAATTTTTTAAAATTACTAATCATCATAATCTAATTAAATTATAATTAGATTAAATTTATAAATAAAAAATAAAAAATATTTAATATTTTTAATTATATAAATAATAATTAATTGTATAAAATATTTTTAAATTAATTATTTATTATCATCATAAATAAAATTATCATAATTTTATGCCATTAATAGTGTTTTAGTTGTAACGTGATTTAAAAAAAATAAATTTCACATGTTTTTAATAAATTTTAATTTAATATTTCTTATTTAAAAATTAAATAGTAGAGAAAAAGAGAGAATAAAAGATAGTAAGAGAGAAAAAAATAAAAGAAAAGAAAAAAACAAGAAAAAAAATAAAACGTCAAGTGAAAAAAATCATATATATATAATTAAATAAATAAATGGACAGATATTATATTATATTATAAATTGGGTATATTTTTTTAATGATATTTAATAATTTTTTTATAATAATAATAATGAATATAAATTTTTTGATATTATCTTTTAATTAATTTTTTAAGAAAAATAAAAATAGACTAATATGATAAAATGAAAAAGGAATAAAAATAATATATAATTTATATACTAATATTAATAATGAAAAAATTACTTTATATTATTCTAATATTGAAACAAGACTTATATTCATAGTGTAACTTGTTCAATCTCTCTCTCTATATTAACTTCACATTTTTTTTCAAACTTAATTTGTTTAATTGTATTATTTAATTAAAATGTATGTATAATATAAATATTTTAAAGTTAGATTTAATTATTTAATATCATCTTAGTTTATATTTGATTGAAAAGTGATATAGATTCAATTTCATCCCATTTAACTCACACTACTTTAATAAGTTGGAGTAATGAATTTCATAAAATGTGAAACTTGGTTCCCGAGATCAAAGGGCTGTAAAATGAGAAGAAACATGGACCGTAGATACGATGCGTAGTTTTTAATTTAAATGATTTTAAAATTTAATTTTAAATAAATTGGACTATTCAATATGAATATCATTATAAAATAGAATCCCTAATCCCTAATCCCTAATTTGGACAGCGGAACTGTCCCACTTTGTTGTCGTGAAGTAAAGAAAAAAAAAAAACTGAGGGGAGACGAGAGAAACATTTTTGAACAGAAAATTTTTTCCATTCTCCCACTTGTGCGTAATCGAAGTTTCTTCAATACCCTTCTTTTTTACTTCTTCTGTGACCTCTTTTTTTGTACGTGGTGACTCGATGTATGCTTTATCACTTAATTATTGATTAGATTGGGACCTGTCTGGATTTTTTTTTTGGTTTATGTGAATGTTGTGAGTTGGACGCTATTAAATTTGTGTACTTCTAGTTAAAGTGTTAATGGTGTTTGATGAATGAATTGGAATAGAACGAATGATGGTATTCTAAAGAGGTTTTCTTTTCGTCTATCTCTGTCTAAAATTTTGCTTTTACACCTCACAAGAAAAAGGTAGTTTCATTTTTTTCTGTTTTCATTGGCTGAAATTTCGTTTTTTGAGAAGATTGAGACTTAGGGGAAGAGTTTTAAGCCTATCCACCTTCACCTTTGTAACTATTTTCATGACAATTTGTTGGTTATAGTAGGCGAGAAGGGCAATTTGTGTACAGATATTGGACATGTTCTATTATGAGTAATGAGTGTTCTCAGGGAATAAAATAATTATAAGTATATATTTTTTTATTTTGATGTTTCTTGTAATTCTTACGGTATGTTTGGTTGTCAACTTGGGGTGCTCCAAATTCAGTTTGGAGAGTAAACTTAGTTTTGTAATATTTTTTATTACCTTACGCGTTAAATTTTGACTGAATTCAATTTTGTAGAAGCAAGACTTCGCTACTTTTGAAAACCCAGTTTGCAAACTTAGTGTTAATTCAAACTTATGTTTGCAAACTTTATCCAAACATGCTCTTAACATCAGTGCAGTGATTTTTATTTTTCCTTTCTTGGTTATCTACCTAAAGTGAATTACGATTGTGTCTTGTGAGTTTGAATTTTATTGGGTTGAATTGTTGAAGGAACTTATTGTGGTGTGACTTGTGCATGATGCAGTTCTAGATATTTGGTTCTGAAGCTTTTGTTCAATGGCAAAGGACATACCTGTTTCTGTCAAAGATGCTGTTTTCAAATTGCAAATGTTACTCCTTGAAGGCATTCAAAATGAAGATCAGCTGTTTGCTGCTGGATCTTTTATGTCAAGGAGTGACTATGAAGATATTGTAACGGAACGGTCCATCACAAATGTGTGCGGTTACCCACTCTGCTGCAATGCCTTGCCATCTGATCGCCCTCGGAAGGGTAGATACCGGATTTCGCTGAAGGAACACAAGGTCTATGACCTACAAGAGACTTACATGTTTTGTTCTTCAAATTGTGTTGTCAGCAGCAAAGCTTTTGCTGGGAGCTTGCAAGCTGAGAGATGCTCAGCTTTAGACCCAGAAAAGCTAAACAATGTGCTTAGGTTATTTGAGAATTTGAATTTGGAACAGACAGAAAGTGTGCGAAAGGATAGAGATTTAGATTTGTCCAATTTGAAAATCCAGGAGAAAACTGAAACAAGCAGTGGGGAGGTGTCTTTGGAGCAGTGGGTTGGACCATCAAATGCAATTGAGGGTTATGTGCCCAAACCAAGAGGTCATGAATTGAAGGGTTCACGGAAAAATGTTAAAAAAGGTGAGGATTTTCTGGTATTGTAGGTAATTGTTTGTGAGAAAACATGGATAATGAGATAGCCTTATGCTATTTCTGGCATAGGAGTATCCTGTTTATTATTATGATTAATCTTAGGCCTATGGATGATTATGACGTATGAGTGTGAAGGTGAAACTGAGGACTTAATTTCTGTGAAATGGAATAGTGTAATTACTGATTCTTATCCTTTTCTGCTTTTCAACAAAGTGAGCTTTGCTTGTGTATTGCAGGGTCCAAAGCTGGACATGGCAAGTCAAATAGTGACAAAAATTTAATTAATAGTGAGATGAACTTCGTGAGTACTATAATTATGCAAGATGAGTATAGTGTTTCAAAAGCACCCCCAGGTCAAACAGACACAACACATCATCAAATTAATCAAACAGCTGACAAGCAACCAGAAAAGGTTGGCCATAAAGTGGCCAGGAAAGACGGGGATAACATTCAAGATCTGTCTTCATCTTTTAAGAGTGGTTTAAATTTAAGTACCTCAGAAAACGAGACGGAAGTATCCAAATCTTGTGAAGCTGTGGTCAAATCCTCTCCCAATCTGGCTATTAAAACGAAAGATGTAAATTCTGCAAGTAAATCACTGCAACTTAAAGGGGAGACAAGTAGAGTAACTGCTAACGGTGATGCTTCCACTTCCAATTTTGATGCTGACAATGTTAAAGATAAATTCCAAGTAGAAAAAGCAGGTGGATCACGTGAGACTAAACTAAAATCCTCCCTTAAATCTGCTGGTGAAAAGAAACCTAGCCGCACCGTTACTTGGGCAGATGAGAAAGTCAATGGTCCTGGGAATAAAGATCTTTGTGAGGTTAAAGAATTTAGAGATATTAGAAAAGAAGCTGATTCAGTAGGTAACATAGATGTTGCTGATGATGAAGATATGCTACGTCAAGCATCAGCAGAAGCTTGTGCAATTGCATTGAGCCAAGCATCAGAAGCAGTTTCATCTGGAGACTCAGATGTCACTGATGCTGGTAATTACTGTTTCTTTTAAGTTCTATATTTAGATATTAATTGTTTCCAAGGGTTTTTCATTTATCAATGAATCTTGTGCAGTTTCTGAAGCTGGAATTATTATATTACCTCGGCCAAATGATGCTGTTGAGGAAGGTACTATGGAGGATGCTGATATACTACAAAATGATTCAGTTACTCTGAAATGGCCAAATAAGCCTGGTATTTCTGATATTGATTTCTTTGAATCTGACGACTCATGGTTTGATGCTCCTCCAGAGGGATTCAGTTTGACTGTAAGTATAGTGAAAAATTTAGAAACATGCCACAATCCGTATCTAGTTTTCATGGTATATTCTAAGACGCCTTGTGCTTTTTTTTTTTGCATAACATTCTTTCAGTTGTCACCTTTTGCAACTATGTGGAATGCCATCTTTTCATGGATGACATCATCTTCTTTGGCTTACATATATGGGAGGGATGAAAGTTTTCATGAAGAATATCTATCAGTCAATGGGCGAGAATATCCTTGTAAAATTGTCTTGTCAGATGGTCGGTCATCTGAAATAAAACAAACTTTAGCTGGTTGTCTTGCTCGAGCTTTTCCTGCACTTGTTGCTGGGCTTCGACTGCCAATACCAATATCTACCTTGGAGCAAGGGATGGTAGGATCTTGGAGTTATCTGCATTGATGTGGTTTATATTAGTACAGTTGTCCATTAAGTCATTACAGTTTTAGTATACTCTCGGAGGTCTGGTCTGGTTTACTTACATTACTCATTGGGACTTATCTCATTGTTCATAAGCTCTCATTCCAACGAAACATGCACAAAGTCACACACACAAAATAAGAATTCATGGGTTTAATTAAGTCTGAGTCTTAATATCTGTATTATTAATAGTAGTCTTTAATATTACCCAACGACTTGTTTGTGTGTGGATGAGTTCTATGTTAGTTCTAATGACTTTCTCTCAGGCATGCTTGCTGGAGACAATGTCATTTGTGGATGCACTTCCAGCTTTCAGAACAAAACAATGGCAAGTGGTTGCTCTTTTGTTTGTTGATGCTTTATCCGTTTGTAGAATACCTGCTCTTATCACATACATGACGGATAGGAGGGCTTTGTTTCACAAGGTGAGACCCTTTGTTTGTATCATACCGACTTATCATTTTATATACATTATTATAGAGAAGGAATCTGTTTGATGTGTATGAAGCATTACATACTTATGTTGGATTGTATAAAATATTCAGGCCACAAAAACACGAACCCTTATTATGACACTGATATTTTGATTGGGGTAGTTCAGTGAACATTTAATATCTCCATCATTCATTTGCTAAAATTTTGGTTACTTTTCATCTGCATTTCCTTACAAATGTTTTGTTTCCTGTTTATGGTTCAAATTGGAGCTTAACAATATAAATCCCACACAACTTAGGCACGATGTGCTTAATGTTGCTCTCCTTCTTTAGCTTTAGATTTGATGCCACATTTTATTATTCTATAGCTTAGTTCATCTAGTGTCTGGTACCATGGCTGTGGACTTGAAATTCCTGTTTGCATTCCAATCTTGTAATGCCAGGCTAATTTTATTTTTCCTTTTAGTATGATTCCCTATATATATGATTGGGGTTGCAAAAATTCGTATATGACAGCTGGAATATGGAGGTTAATGATATATCTTATTCTTTTGTCATATCAGATTGATGTATAATTTTGAACTATACTTTTGAATCTGTTAATCATTGTTCTGGTATTGATTTGGTGAAACAGGTTTTGAGTGGTTCTCAAATAGGTATGGGAGAGTATGAGATTTTGAAGGATCTTGTAGTACCCCTAGGCCGAGCACCTCATATCTCTGCCCAAAGTGGGGCATGACAGCAAATAGGCCAAATGTTGGACTACATCAATGACAAGTTGAAAAATTTCAAAGCATATTGGAGTGTTTGTTCATAAATATCGAACAACATGCAATGCAATAATACTAGACCTCAAGCAACACGGAAACCAGATATCTATATACTCTAATGCTGGCTTGAGGGAGTGATGAATGCAAGATTGATATACAAAATGGATATTGTTCTAAAATATTATGGTTATAAAAATAACTTAAATATTGTCTGAGTTAAGTGGCAGTTTGTAAAAGGTTTCGAAGTAGTCAATTGGATTTTCTTCTGAGGTACATATCAGGATGGGGATAACTAAATGAAAAAATGACAAAATTCCAACTTCCTTTACTGAAATGATGTCTATTTCTCAGGCCTTTTTTTTTTCTCAGACATATATTTATAAAATATGGCAAGTATTTGATGACTGACTATACTCCTTTCGGCTTATAAGACATTAAGCGTGCATCAGTATTTGGATGAGCATTAGTCTGGTCAATTTTGAATGAAATTGATTTTTGTAAAACTGCTTCTTGTTAATATTGATTTTAATACGGACGTTTGATTTTACTTTAAATTTAGCTGTGAAGTCATGTTGTAACAATTTTTTTTAGTGTGAATCTAAACATGTGAATTAAATTATTGGACCTGAAATTATATATACACACCAACTCCATATTTGGTTTTGTGTTCAACATGGGAATACTGGTCTGAAGGACCAAATTAGTTGTTTGCTTTTGTTCAACAACGATTTTTTTTTCTTGTTAAAATTGATTTTTAAAGTAAAACAATTTATGTTTGTGTGTTCAAGAACAAGTTAGCAGTAAAATTTGATTTTGATCTCTTTTATGCCTTGTTTGGATCAATGGCAGAAGAGGCCTGATATACAGAAAGGTCCGTAGAAAACAATTTGTGATGTTTTCACTTGTTAGACGCACAAGTGTATAGTTAAAGATAAAATCTTTTACTGGAAAAAATTGCAATGAAAGCGCTATATTCAAGATAAAGTTATAATTAAAATGAAAAACGTTGATAGAATATGTCAACTTTTTAATAATATTTATTATTATTATTATTATTACTATTATTATTATTATATGAAAATATTAAATAATAAATAAAATTATTTTACTTTATACTTTCAAACAATTTTACTTTTTATTTATTTCTACTCTTCTTCTCTTGTTCCTTTTCTTTTCTACTTTCTCATCTTCCATCCCCTTAACCCAACAAAACATTAAAGTTATTTTAATTCTATCAATTCTAAACTTATAATTAATTCTTTAAGGTGGCTTTTAATTTAAATAACTCTATGTCATGAATGTAGACGGTTTGAACATCATTTAACTATCAGCAAAGTTGGAACCAGAACAATCCAACGTGAGGCATATCTAAACACAGGATAAAACTTTAGCAAAATCCAAAACAGTATTAAACCTCGGCAAATTGAAGTGGGAATGCTTGCCTTGAACATTGCCCACAAGTTCAATTTTTTTCTTTAAGTTTCATTTATGTGATGGATGCGGGTTATCTTTACTATTAACTTGAAGGGTTCATCTTGCATGTTTTTCATCATGGGAAGCAACGAAGATAAATTGTCTTTCAGTCAAAGTGTTTGTTTAATCTGAGGGCAGAACACATGAACAGTTTGGTAAATAATGAATTGACAAAATATTCGTTACAAACAGCAACAGTTCAATATAACAACAAGCAACCTATCTTCAAATGCAATGCAAGATTATAATGAACATGAAGCAACCTCTATATTCACAACAATAATGAAATAACTGGTAACATGGAGTCCTATGTTTATATAAATACTCTCCGGCTATATATATGAATCTACACTCCAACAGTAACCTCATATGATACAATCTCGGGTGTGGATGAATTTAAGACCAGTGCACCATTCTGAGGAAGCTCATTTTTGGATTCTAACTCCATGTCATTTTGATATCCAGAATTGTCAACTGGTGGTTCATGGCATTCTTCATTGTTTCCTGTCCCTGCTTCGACATCTTGGTTGATTTTAGTAGACTTCACAGTATCATTCTCAGTTTTTCCGATTGCAGTTTCCTGAGGCTGCTTGGCTTGAGTTTTTCTGATCGGTTTCTTTGAGATCACTTCTTTATTGCTACCCTTTACCTTTGCCTTGGTTGAATCATTCTGTTGCTGCTTTGCATGTGGACTAGAACAAGACTTGTCATCTGAATGGTTCACAACATATCCTTTGTTCCTTCCAAGCTTTGGAGATTTTGGGCGTGTTATAGGTATCTAATTGGTAGACAAAACACATCAGAATAATGAATATATAAGGTTGTCCAGGTAAGAATCACTTCCATAACATGAACCTGTTTTTGTATTACTATGAAAGTGAGCTTCTGTTGCCATAAGAAGGCATTCTGTGTAAACATGTGGTGGTTAAATTACCTTCTTCAATTCAACTTTTGGAGGAGGTTCCTTGTAGAAACTTGGCATTGGAGTGGCTTTGAATGTCATAGTCTTCCTCAATTGCTTGATCTCAGCCTCCTGGTTTTCCTGCCAGAAAATCAGAAGGAAAAAACAAAGGTGAATAAGCTGGTAATGGGAACTCAAACCACTAGGAATGTAAACTACTAAATTCATTTAGCTACTGGTTTTGACACCTTTGATTTCTCTTGCTGGTTAGTTTTCTCTGCTTCCTTTTCCTGAATTTTCTCTTCTAGCTTTGAGAAGAACTGAGGGGAAAGGAGAAAATAGGATTAATATCTGGAACATTCAATATTAACATGATAGGCTGCAAGGTTTTAACAGTCACCTCCTTCCTCTTTTCCGCTCTTTCTTCCAATCTGAAGGAAAATCCAGAACCACTGCTCCTCCTACGAGGAGTATGACTTCTGACAGCACATAAACAAAATTTCATGAACATTTTAGGTAAAGAAAAAGAAGTTTGACATTTTCATTGTGCAACATTATTCATCGTAATGAGATTGACAGACACGCAACGACGACATAGTAATCAATCTGAGAGTATTAGTGTACAAATCATACGAAGTTGTGGAGTGAGCGTCATCATCCTCTTTATTTGGTTTTTCAGTTTTTGCTGGGGTTGAAATCTGATCAACAGGTCTGCAATAAAGTAAAAAAACACAAGCTGGTAATCCATTCAGCAAACGGATATAAATTGTAGAGTAATCTCTTAAATGTTTTTAGTGTTAACTACTGTTGAGTTCACCATAGACTGAATACATGGGTAGAGAACGTGAACAGCATAACTTAGGCGAAACACAAAGAAGAATTTAGCAAATCTAGGGAGGTCAAGACTTACAAGGATGCCTCAGATGTAACGCTCTTGGAAACCGCATTCACCGCCCGTGTAGACTCTCCAATCTAGTAGGCAGAATAGAAGTCATGAACATGATGACCAATGGAGAGAAGCTAGCAAGCTACACACAGAGAGGTACTGAGGGATAAAAATAGTTTCTGTACCTCAGAGCTTTTAAGGCTTGCCATGGATGTTAAAGAGGTCTTTTGGTTAGAATTTCCAGTGGTTTTTTTAGATTCCTTTGAGTTCACTTCATTGTTTGTCAGCCTGCTTGAACGACGAATGGAAGGCTCGGTTCTAGCCCCATTAGCATGCTTAGTTTCTGTCTTCACAAGAGTGCCATTAATGCTTTTCTTCATGACATCTTTACCAGCTGATTTGGCTGGGAAAGAAAGGCTTTTGGAAAGGTTGGGCCTGTGTGTTTGAGGTGAAGTTGTGGACTTCAAATTGGGTTTGTCTTTGGTAGCAGATTTGTTGTTTTTTGAAGCAAGACCACCTTTGCCACCATGTTCCTAACCATATTCAAATGAATTAGTTTAGGTGGCAGATCTGTGCAGTGTATTGTAATTGTAAATTATCATTAAAAGCTGAATTGAAGACACAATTCTGCTACATAAAAGGTACCTTGGCAAGTTTTGAGTTTTTACTTGCTGCAGATTTGGGCCCTTCAACTTTTACAATGGCTTCAGAGGCCTCATTCTTGGTCTGAATTTCAGCATTGCAACTGTTTTCAGCTTCTTTGTCAATGTTCTCCTTAGTTGTTTCCCCAATAACATGTTTCTCGTCTTCCATAACAACTCCATTTTCAGATTCCATATGCTACAAGTAATCATACAAAAGGTTGAGTTTGAAGATGATCTGTATTAAAGGGTTTCTGAATCAAATAACTAAAGAAAACAAAAATATATGGTCTAAGTGTTTTATGTCAGATCAGACTCTTAACCCCATTAAATTGCATGATGAGAATCATTGGACAGAAAAGGCATATGCCATTGCATGTGACATACTCACTAACTGCATGTTTTGCAAGGGGTAATAACTCCTGCTCCTGAGTATATACACGAATGCGCCATTGCAATTCAATAAAAGCTAAGACACTCAAATTATAGATTTTACTCAAAATTTCAGATCATCCCTATGCTTTGATTTTGATGTTTCTTCTTAAGGAAGACATTCTCTGAAATGAAAAACTATTAAGGACAGATGTAAAAAATATCAAGACTTGAGTAAACAGTGTCCCTTGATCCATCTTAACGATCATTCTCCGCAAAAAGTTCCTTCCATCCTCTTGAATTTTCAAGTTCCCAACTTGAATACAAATTCTCTATTAACAGAAATCAGAATAGCACTTGAATTCGTTGCAAACTTGCAATTGCAAATTTGCAATTGTTTGACGCAAATCTAGACTCACATTTTTCATCACCTCTTTCTTTACCTCTCCAAATGAATTATTAACCTGAAATAAGATGGATTAGCAGAAAGAAAATGAAAGTAAATAATAGCTTCAATTAACATTCCATTGTTCCTCTGTATCCACCTCCTGCGCTCAAATCCTCCTAACCCAATGACGTTGGATCTTCAAATTCAACACAGACCCATATAAGATGAGCTTGATTTCTATTGAAAACACACACAATCCAACAAAAGAAGCTACACAGAATCCAAATCAGAATAACAAAAGGACAAAATGCATCCTGGATACGAACACATATGAGACAATTCCGAACTCTGAGCTACCAAAGATGACACATAAAGCACATACTCTGGGTACCTCTTAAACTTGGGATTTTGAGTGTTGCACCTGATTGATAAAAAGAACTCAACAAATTCAAAGACTGAATTGTTGTAAAGATTGGTTGAGTAACATGCAGAACGCAGAGTTTCAATTAGAATTTGTGTATGGTGGGTTGGATTAGAAGCACTGGAAGAAGTGGATTTTTAAGTGTATGTGAAAGATGAAACTGAAAGATGGAGTTGGTGACACTCAGGTTTTCATTGAAGATATGCAAGAGAGATTTGTGGAAAGATAGCTCAAGTGGGACTAGCTTTCAATGAAGTGGAATAGATAGGAACTACCCACAATGACTCTTCTACCACTCCCTCAACATGTAACTGTCACAGGAATCTTATTCATATTTTTATGTCTTACGTTGTTATATTTTTCAAGTTTAATTTTTATGCATGGTAAATATAACAAAACTTACATCATCAATCTTTCATAAATCACCAATTAGAATAATTTTAAGTTTACTATTATTCATGATAATTGGTGAAGGGAATGTGCTATTTACAACCTTTTTTTTTCTTTTTTTCTTTTTTTTACTGTCACTGACAAATTGGCTTAGCATTTTGTGGTGAAACTACATGGTGGAATCCAAGGTTAAAAAACAACATGCTACAATGTTTGTTTTCTGTATTGATGATCTCTTTGTTTCTGAGACAAGTGATGATTTGGATTATTGCTACTAACCAAAAAAACAATAACTAAATTGTCTGTGTATGTATGTATGTATTCATGTGGAAACATGTGATTAATGCGTAGTTAATTAGTCAAATATTCATCACAAAGATTAATTAACTAATCATTTCATTGGTAGATGATTACGAATAAATTAATTATTTCTATAACTCAAAAAAGAAATGCTTTGTATCAATGCTTGAAACTGTATCTGGGAAGAGGGTGCCACTGCCAGCAAGATTTATTTAAAATAATGAGAGAATAAAGAGAAAGAAAATGAAGTTGCTAAAAGTTGTTGTTTTACACAATGAAAACAGAGAAAAAAAGAAGAAGAAAGAATAGTTCATTGGTCTTCTTTTTTTATTATATTTTAGAGATTTTGGTTATAGACAAAGATGATTGACAAAACAATTTAAGGATTAATTAATAGAATGGTTTTGGCTGGTTAGGAGTAGTGGACACATATTTATTTCTCTCCATTTATATCTTATTGAAACTTACCACGAAAGAATTTGTCTTTTTACTTTAAATAAGAAATAGTTTGTACTTTGAACAGGAAAATGAACTTGAATGTGGAAGAAGTTGCAGCATTAATTTGAAAGAAAGACAAAAATGTGTTACTGTGTATTAGAAGGGCAAGAAAGTGAATTGAGGTAGGAAAGAGAGAAGGAATGAAAGGAAACATAAGTCACTGTTTAAGAACATGGAAACTCGAAGGACTCATTGTTGGGGCCAAGGGACTATGTCTCTTCTCACATAAGGCAATAGTGATAGGTGTAAGGATGAGAATTGGACTCTTACCTAATAAATATTTTTTTTTAAACTCACTTTTCATCAAAATATAATTTTTTATTAACTGAATTGTTTTTATTCAAAAATTACTCAGTAAAATTCTTTAATCATATTATATTTTGTTTACTGTATATTTTAATGATGTATTATATTAAGTTTAAATATTTTTGCTTTATGTTTTATAACTCAATGAAATCACACTTTTATAAATCCTTTATGCATATTTAGGTAGGAGATTATGAGTACTGAAACTACCTTTATATTTATACTAATTTTATTATATACGATCATATTCATATTCATTAGATAGATTTCAAATACATTTTATATAAGTTTTAAAAAAATATGAAACAATATTACACAATTTTAATAATATTTTAAACATAAAAAAATATTTTTATTATTATTCTAATATTCAACTCTCATTAAAATAACGAAATATATATATATATATATATATATAACAAATATAATAAATATGTAATTATAAATATTTTATAGTTATCTTAAATTTTATAAATTATATTAATGTCTAACATTGACTTTATTTTATTTCATAATTATTTTTAAATCATGATTTCCAAAACAATAGTAAATTTATAAACCTCATGTTAAAAGACAAATAATTCATATAAACTAAGTAAATAAGATAATAGAGATTACTTCATTTTAATTAATGAATTTGAATTCAGATATTTTAATTCATATAAATTACATTAAATATTGGTACGAATAATTTTGTCCCACAAAGATATGTTATATATCTATAAGAAAAATAATATAATTTTTTAACACTAAAATTAGTTTATATATAAATAAAAAATATAATTTTTAAAAAGTTAATATAATTTATTTATAAAATAATATATCTGGAGAACTAGTTTATTTTTTCAAAAATTATTTAATTGTTATTTTTTTAAATGTTTTTTGAGAAAACATATTAAAAAACTCTTACAGTCTTATTTAATTGGAACATGATTGTGTGAAATAAAATTCTCTAAGAAATAAAATATGATTTGTGAGATTTGTTCATCATTTAAAATACCTATCTCTGTCAATTTGTGTGATTTAATATTGTAAAAAATATGGTGACAAAAGACAATGTTTATAAAGTTGTGTTTTTTGGGGTTGGAATGACGTGGCACGACCGTGTAACGTGATTCATCTCACGTTAGGCGTACCACCTGGCGCCAACCATGTGTGAGCTGTCATTGAGTTAATGATCCAACGGTTGCTGTGATCTGAAGCCAAAATCAGCGCCGTCCGTGTCCGTCCAAAACCCAAATCATTCTCCACATTTTGGTGTGCCCCACCTTTTATTTTCTTTGAAATTAATGGATTTTTTTAATTTTTTTTTTAATCATAGTCTTCACCAACCCAATTTTGTTTTTGCTTTTTTATCATAAGTTTTATTTGTGTTAATTTACTATACTTCTCCATTTTCTATTTTTCATTTACAAATAACCTTAATCAAAGTATTTAGTTTATTATTAATAATAATATTATGATATGATTGATGTAAGTAATCTTGTATTTTATATCGAATTTGATTCAATCATCAACTTTAAATAAAGGTGCTTGTTTCCTATATAAGATTATCACAAGAAGTTAGGTTAGATGATTCACAATTATGTTTTATGTGTTTAAATTTCTTAACTAAAACAAAACTCAACATTAAGTAAGTATAATTAGACGTTTGATTTTAGTTTTATATATATTAAAATACATGTTAGAGGTTTAAATGATTTTTAAGTATTTTTAGAAATTAGTTATTTATTTTCAGTTGACAAATAGTTTGTTTTTGTCAACAAACATTCAATTTTATATTTTTAATTTTTAAACATAAAAACTATTTTAATAAAATAATTATCAAATAATTTTTTTAATATTGATACGTTGTGGAGTGCTTGCATAATGAAACATGTTATGAAAGCTTCTCCAATTATTGATGTTCAACCTATGCATTGTCTCCAAGTAACTAGTATAAATAATAATAAGAGAGAGGATGACACTGCAAATTTTATAATATAGTATAACTTTAAATAATATTCTTTCATTTAAATATTATTATATCAACGGTTATAAAAAAAACAGATAAATGTGTTTTTCATTTTATTTTTTATTTTTGTTGACGAGTAGTATATAATGTATGCATGATTGGTTTTATGAATTATTGTTATTTTTTTTATGTTAAAAAAATTCATTTCAACCTTGCTATATATACAATAGAAATTTTATTTTATTTATCAAATCTATTATTTTAAAAGCACCAAATTCGTTAGCTTATGAATAGGGATTCTTTTAATGCTTTTGGAAGGAACCATGATTATATATATCCGTTGCATGTTTTTTTTTATTATTTATTTCTTGTTCTTTATATATATATAAATGGATGTGGATTTATGTGCATGATACATTGCATTGGAAAACAATGGGTAGAAGCTTGGAAGGGGAAGGAAAGAGATGAAGGCAGCGCGTGGCTGCACGCGCCGACAGCCCTGTAGGGTTTGCATGGATGAAGAGGTGTTGTGGACCACACCATTGATGGAGGTGTGCATAGCATCTGCAGCACCCACACATGGCACCGGAGGCGTAACTAATGCTTCTGCAACTCTTCACTGTGGAATGTCACACAATTATTTGATGCATGCATGTGTGTGTCTGTAATCGGATTTTACAATTGTATTATTCTTATTGTTGTGGGTGTTTTGTTCCTTCTTCTCTGCTTGCATGGGTTTCATATTAAGTTATATTGCTTTTTAATTAACTCATTAATATTACATAATTAATAAAATAATAATAATAAGAGTTTATATTAAACTAAATAATGACAATGATGTTTTAATTAGATCATTCCCTATCATGAAAAGTTGAATTTTTTTTATAATTTTATTTATTTTTTTATCATTTATGTGTCTATAATTAATTATTATTATATGGGTCGAATCCTCTTTAAGAGGTGGATTTTTTATTTATTTTTAATTATTTAAAGTTTTTGCTGGTTTCGTGGGTACACGGTTGTGCTATTTATGTAATGACAGTGATTGTTTGAGTATAATAACACTTAAATTAAGAATTATTTTATTTTAAAAAAAATATTTAATTATAATTTTGGTCTCTATATTTAACCAAATAAGAAACTATTGGCTCTGTAAAAGTGATCGATTGTAAGCATGAAAAAGTTATTTGGTCTCTAATGTATTGTCGAAAGATCAAACTATGGTTTCTTAGTGTTTTCAAAGGTAAATCTATGTTTTCTTCAAAGGTTAGAAAACCTTTTCATTTTGCTCCTTTTTCAACTTTCTAAGTGACCCCTCTCATCATGCAAATTACATATCTCCTAAATAAAATTTTCAAGGCACATGATCCTATCTTATTATGAGAATGGAGAATGAAATAAAAATGACATCATAGAAAAGGAGAGAACCCTTACATGTTAGTATTTTTATAAATATCAAACAATTAATATTTGATTAAGAAGAGAAAAAGTAGAAAGAAAGTAATATTTGGATTAATTAGGTAAATGTTAGATAGCATTCTCATGAATTGTGATTGCAATATGAAGTTTGGAGCTTGACTAATTAAGTGATGGATGATGCTCAACTATCAATTAAATCTTTAAAGACAAAATTGATTCATCAAAACTTGAAGCTAATATTTTGATTAGACATGCCCCACATGATTAAAGACTTTTGATTAATTGTGCAACCAATCCAACTCATTTGTGTGCATAGGGGACCTTATTCACAAATAAAAATATGCTTTCATCATTGTTTTAGAATGCTCTTAAAAAATTATTGTTTTAGTGGTAAATATAAAACATTTAAACATACAATTTTCATAGTTCTTGCCCACCATGTGTTAGGTAGTAGTGGAAATGGAGTAATAAGATAATTAACCTATATATGGATGTTTCCAAGCATGATTAACCCAAGTTATTAACTAATTTTATTTGTGCCTTCTCTAATTTTTTTTTAATAATAACTTGTGTTAATAAATTAAATGACTTAACCTCGAATTAAAAATTCAAGTGTGAAATAGTTGAGTTAAATTTTAAATAAGTATAATTCAACTTAACTTATATTTTAATTTATTTCATTTGAAAAACTTGAAATATGTAATGAATCTCTTTTGTACCAATTAATTTAAAAAAAATAACGGAAATTACTTAGAATGTATTTATAATTTTTTTAATGTTGTTTAGATTTTACCTAATTATCCTACTTTCTAAGGACGTTTAGGTTAATTTACTACTATATCCAGATATCACCCAGATAAAAATATTATAACTCTAAGGTTGGTAGAATATTCTAATATAAACTTATCCATAGAAATCAAATTATAATTTTTTTTCTAACTCTCATAATGAAAATATAGATAAATTAAAAATAAGAATATTACGTTGAATAATTTGTTTATATATATTATATTGAATAACTTGTTTCTTTATATGTTGAACGACTTATTCTTCTTAAATTTTGATAGACTAAAAGTGAAATAGACATGTGTTTGTTTTAAAATAAATAAAATTAAACCATGTCTAACTATGCATATAAAATTATTTAATGAAATTAATGGGTAGCAAGATTTTGAAATAAGTTGAAAAAAAGATTTGATATGAGTAATTAAGAAAGTAGATGGGAATTAATAACAGTGAAGTGATTATCTCATTAAACTTGAATTTCTTGTTTACACTCCAGAAAGATACATATGTCGGTATAACTGAAGTTAGGATACCACATTGTACATGAGATGGGAAATCCACGAAGCAAGGGCATTAACATTTTTGAGTGCAGTGAGAGTGAATGAAGTTGCTCAAGAGAAATCAAAGCTCAGGAAACCGTGGAGAAAATGCTAATTTACCAAAAGAAAAAGGATAGAAAAAATAGGAAGAGAAGAAGTTCATCCACTATCTCTTAATTAACATACCGGTAGTGCCTCCCTAAATCCAACTCTAAAACTAGTGCTACCCTTTGGACCTTTCTTACCCAAATCTGCATTGCCTTTCTGCATCATGGCCACAAATTCATTGTAGTCTATTCGTCCATCCTGAGACCCCAAAACATAATGTTATCATTCTGATGCTACAAATCAATCAAGTTATGTTACTATTAAAATATCTATTATGTATGATGCATGTACTCACGTTATCTTGATCAGCTTCTCGTATCATTTCCTCCAACCGAGCATCTCCCATGCCAAATTCTTCACAAGCTTGTTGAAGCTCATCTTGAGTGATGAAGCCACTTCCATCTTTATCAAAATAAGCAAAAGCTGCAACTAAATGATCTTCCCTGTCAACCTTGTTTAGATGCAATGTTGCAGCAATGAATTCTCCATAGTCAATTGTGCCACTGTTATCAACATCTGCCTGGAATCCATAACAATTTTGGGTTTCATGGATCAAGACAATATACTACTGAAAACAGATACCTTTCCTACGTTATTTCCTATTATCAATCTATCATCATACCAAAATTGTCTTACTAAATGATACTTACAACTCTCCTCTTCATGCTTGATCATAAAGAGTGAAATAATAAACATTGCTCCTAGAGTCCCAGTGGCATGAAAAATTAGTTACTCATTTCTATGTATGCCTCACATTCCTCACAATACAATTATAATGGCATGGCCAGTATATGAAAATCACAGAGAAACGCAACACAATCTTTACACAGTTTATTGTGTGAAATCATAGACTGGTCCCACAAAGTCGAAGACATGTAGAAGGTGTGTGTTTTATGAAATTAAGGAAATAAAGAAGATGATTCTGAATACTTACTGCTTGCATAAGGTCGTAAATTTCAGATTCATTGAGATTAGCACCAAACTTTTTCAGTCCAACCTTGAGTTCTTCAAATGTAATTTGACCACTGTTGTCTGCGTCTATCATCTTAAACATTTCTCTCAACCCTGCAATTTCTTCTTCAGAGAGATTCTCTGCTATGACCTGCAGAGAACAGCAATATTTAGCTACATTTAACAATCGAAGTAGAGATTAACTTCAATTTAGCAGAAACAACAACTATAAATTGTCATATTCAACTCTGCAAATACAAGAAAAAACTTTATAAACTATAGTTATCGATCCCTAGAGAGAGGAAAAATAGATACTCTCATGAAAATGGACTGGAGAATTAAAAATAACTTACTCTGAGAGCCATTTTCTTGAGTTTGTTCATTGCATAAAATTGCTTTAGGCGACTTAAAACTGCAGAATCAAGCGGCTTGTCTGGAGCTTCTCCATCAACTTGAATCCAGGGGTGGCCTGCAAATAATTCAGAACATCTTCATCAACCATGTGGTAGAATACCTCAAGTTCCACAATGTTATAATAATGTTTGTTCACAACTCAGTTCTGAAAATAGTAATACAAGGCTTAATCTTTTCATCCAAAGATATAATATACCCCCATCAGTGTGTTGGATAATAACATTAAAACAGAGAAATTTTTATGAAAAAACGAATGAGTAACTTATTTAAAAACTAAATATTCAGTGCTGCAGGTGTATTAAAGAAAACTGTTGTCATCTAACAGAATAAAGAAAGTTGAGCTGAAGAAAAGATGTCATGTATAAACACATGCCAAATATGGTATGAGACTAATAAAATTTGTTTCACTGACATCTAAAAGGATCATAGTATAGAATCTTACGAAGAACATCAAAAGCTGTTATCCGTTTACTAGGGTCTCTGACAAGCATCTTCTTAACCAAGTCTTTTGCACTTGCAGATATGGAAGGCCAAGGATCCGATTTGAAATCGAGCTCAAAATGCAAAATCGAATCGAATATCTCTTGCTCTGATTCTGTTACCAAGGAGCCAAATTAATGTTAAAATTCTAGAACCAGGGAACTTCTAGGTAAGAAAACAAAGTTTAAATTTCTTGCATTGCCATTGAATTTTTACATTATTAACAAATCAGAAACCATGTTAAGTATTTTTAAAGAACTACAAATAAACGTCAACAAAGTCATCAAATATGATAATTTGTCAGTACATATTCTTGTAAGATTCAATAAAAGGTAAACAAAATGATTGGAACATAATGTGCTAGCAATGTTGAGAAGTATTATTACCTCCCCAAAATGGAGGCACCCCACATAGGAGAATGTATATTATGACACCAGCACTCCATACATCTGCTTGGGGGCCATAACGCTTGCGTAGAACTTCAGGTGCTACATAATAAGGACTTCCTACCACATCATTGAAAATTTCACCTGCAAATGATGAGTGTTAGTATATTAGTGATGCAAGTTAAGGCCAATCATATGAGTAGAACAATGCAGAAATCTTATGTGAGGTCAATTAAGTATTTCACCTTTAGGAAAGTTATATATATTCAAAAGTACTTGTTTAATATAAAAATTCAAATAATCACATCAAACTTTTAGCCATTTGGTTTCAGGTCTTTTTTGTTTCTTTTCAAGGAAAGCATGACAATAATTAATATGTTACTACAGAAAATGTTATCCATACCATTACTTAGCATACTATGTACAATATGAAAATGTTGGAAAGATCAAATTAGTCCACAAGAGCCCAATTAGTGGAACATGCACATTAGTATTTGCCACATACTAGTGGTTCTCTATGATTACTGCACCTTTAATCACACTAAAATGACCTATTTGTCTAAAAGGAATCTTAAGTTCCACAACGCAATTCACACTTTACACCTAATGAATATTAATCAGAATGATTGTCCCGCAAAAGAATTGATAAAAGATAAAATCTACCATTCTTCAGAAATTTAAGGTTTTGGTAATATTATTGGGAACTTTTTTCTCCCCTTCTCCTTTTGTGTACCTAAAACCATTCAAATAATGACCCTAAAAATATTTGCATCAAAACCTTTAGATTTCTGCGGGTACCATAGCAAGTCAGATGTAAAAACCAAAAGCATTACCTGAAGATTGATGTTAATTAATTGCAGAAGGGGAAGAAACAATGGAACATGCATTTTGACAAACCTGGTTTGAAAAAAGTAGAAAGTCCAAAATCTATTGCCTTAAGAGGGGCTTCTTCTTGCTGATTAACAAAGAGAAAATTCTCAGGCTTAAGATCCCTATGCATCACTCCAAGAGCGTGGCAAGACTCAATCACACCAACTATAGTTCTTGCAAGCTTAGCTGCCTTTCTTTCAGTGTAATGCCCTCTTTCAACAATCCTATCAAACAGCTCACCCCCAGCACACAGCTCCATAACCACATGAACTGCAACAGCATCCTCAAAAGCCTCCTTGATGGAGATCACGTTAGGACTCCCTGACAAGTGGTGCATTATCTGAATCTCCCTCCTCACATCCTCCACATCCTCATCTGTCACCAGCTTCCTCTTCATTATGGACTTGCATGCATAATCTTTCCCAGTGGCCTTCTCCACACAAAGGAAAGTGGTTCCAAACTGCCCTTGTCCAAGCTTTGGTCCCAAACTGTAAAAGTCCCTAAGGTTACCGGTTTTCCTTGGCAAAACAGAATCAGCTTTGAGGCCTGCGCTTGCCCGCATCTTCATATGCTGTGGCCTCTTTGGTTTTGCTTGTTGGCCTCTTGTTTGTTCCGAAGGTGGTTTAGTCTCTTTGGGTTGATGAGGAGGCTTCACCTCATCAATCTCAGTTTTCACTTCCTGTGGAGGCTTGTCTTGAACAGTTTCTGTGGCTTTTGCGTGCTTTTTGCCACCTTTGTGTGCATGCGAACCATCTTTCTTGTGACCACGACACCACCAGGATGAGCTTGAAACATGAGTTCCATCTTTAGAAGAGGTTCTCGATCCAACACAGTTGTTTCCCATCTGACACTAGACACTTCTCCCTGTTCCAAGCATCTGATATAACAAACAAAAACCAAATAAAACAAAAAAACTCAAGCCCCATTTTATTCTTCTCCTCAAAGAGATAAAAGAAAGAAAAAAAGAACAAAAATTATAAAGGTTATCTTTTGTGTTGTTTTTCAATCAGAATTCGAGGTTTACCTATATTAATCCATAATGCAAATCTTTAATACGTGAATTGTTAAGATAAAACTCTAGTTCTGATTGAAAAACAGCACTAGCGCCACGAACAACATGTAAGTTTTGTCCAGACGAAAAAACAAAAAGCTTGTTTATGAATGATACCATTTGAGCTCGATGGTGCAATACAATTGATGCGAGAAAGCGCGTTGAACGACTAATATTTTGTTTTTGCCGCATAGTGAGAGGGCATGCACATGCACGCGTGGTGAGAGAAGGGCCTCAGAGATAAGATGGGAAGGAAATGAATAGAAAACAAGTCTTTTCAAGATTTGTGAAGCACGGAAAAAGCTATCATCAATTGCTGGAAGAACAAACCTTTACGAAATGATGAAAAAGGAGAAGCGAAAACGCACGTAAAAGGAAAAGGGTTTTGATTTTGAAGGCGTGAAGATGAAGGAGGGAGGTAAAAACAAGAGCTTGACGTGGAATGAAGAAGGAAAGAGGATGGAAAGAGAGGGAGAAGGAATTGTAGCGGTTTTTTCTGTTGGAGGGAATGAATTAAACAGAGAACGTAGAAAACGCGTTGGTGATCGGAGGGCTGAGAAGGGTACAACAATTGGAATGGACGGTTGGGATTAGGTAGGTTTGAAGAACGTGGTTGCCACGTCGTCGTCGTTGCTGTTGTTGTGTGCAATTAGGTCAAATTGCAATCTCTGTTGATCTGTCTTCAGAACGTTCTCAACCGGCGGCGGGCGGCAGGCCATCGCCGGTGATCATATTATTTTTTTTTTCTCTCTCTCTCTCTTTCTCTCTTTTCCTGTGTTCCCAATTTCTTAATTTGCTTTATTATACTGCTTTTGGTTTTTGATCAATTTAGGGAAATGAATTCGCCAAATGCATGCTAATTGGTATCTTCCATATGCACCACACGTTCATGCATGCTAAATAATACTACCTTGTATATACAATTTTAATTTTCTAAACATATCATTAGTCAATTTTTTTTTGTATTTGTTGATAATATGTTTAGTGTTTGGTGTTTAATTGAAATTTTAAACATAAATTTAGAAGTTGTTGAATTTTTAGCATCAAATTGGAAGTAATTAAGATTATGTAATTAGCTGAAAATAGTGGATGGGAGAACATGCATGGCATTCACTACATCAAAGTCAAACCACCACCCAAAAAAAGTGTTTATGGAATCTCACACATAAATTATTTTGGAGGACAAATCATCACATATAATAATAGAAAATATAAATATTATAAATTAAGTTACTTTAGTGATAAAAAAAATACAGAAAATTAGTATGTGTTTATCCATGTTTAAAACTAATGAGTATTGTTATATCATTCGTTTCATTAAAATATCAAAATAAGATTAGAACCCTCATTCTAAACCTTAACACCAACATTTAAACTACACAAATGATTATAAATTTAAAATAATCGTTTAGTTCATCTGTGACTATGAGCTATTATTTTACATAGTTTGGTATGTGTACACAAATTTGTATTTTCTTTAAGAAAAATTTAAAATTTGAATTTAATAATTTAATTTAATCCTAGCTATACTATCAATTTATAAGATAGGTTCATTCTTCATTCCATCAAATAATTTTTTTTATCAATTTATAAAATAGGTCCATTCTTCATTATATCAAATACTTTTAAAAAATTTAAAAGAGTAGAATAAAAAAATGTAAATTTCAAAATAGAAATAGTTTTTTTTCTAAATTAAAAAACACAAAAAGAATAAAAAGCAAATGTAAATTTAAGATGTGATAATTTTTTTATCAATTTTATAAAAATGTTATTTTTTCATTATATCAAATAGTTTTTCTAATTAAAAAACATAAATGGGATAAAAAAAATTAATTAAAAAACACAAATAAAAAAAAGGTAAGTTTCAAAATAAAAAACTACCACACCTGGTGGGACTCGAACCCACAATCGTCTGATTAGAAGTCAGACGCCTTATCCATTAGGCCACAGGTGCTTGTTTAAAATTTAATTATATTAAATGTATTTTAAAAATATAAACTTAATATATATATATATATATATATATATATATATATATATATATATATTAATATTTTCAGTGATTCAATTAGGAGGAAAGTAAATAATTGGTATTGAATAAAATTTAGTGATTCAATTAGGAGGAAAGTAAATAATTGGTATTGAATAAAATTTAGTGATTCAATTTGATAAATAATTTTTATTCTATTTTGGGACCTAAACTAAAAGATGTTATAATGTAAAATAATTTTAACCACTTCAAAATTAAATAATTTCTACATAATGTAAAATATAATAAAAAGAGTATGTTAATTCCCTAATTTTTATGTAAAAAAAAAAATACACACCTTCAACTTTTATTACTGTTTAAATGTGGTCAATTATCACTTCTTCTCTCTTTTTCTACTTTTTGAATATGAGACAATAACTTTAGTATTTTGTTTGGTTAAGTAGAATTCGAAGGAAGAAAAGAAAATGCAATTCATTTGTAATGTTAAAAAAAAGGAGAAAAACACAATAAAATAATAATTTTTGTTTTGTCATCTTTCTTCTAACCCAAGTGTGAAACACAATATTGTTGCATATCAAATTTGCATCATTTTTGTTTTGATGATTACATGCTATTTTGGGTTTGTTAAAACAATATTTTTGTTGGGTGCCGATATTATTGTTTTGTGGGATGTTTTAAAATTGCAGACGGTGCCTGACGGACTCTTCCAAATTGTATTTAGACCCGTCCATTTTAATGAAACTGCAATTTGACCCCAGTTGTCGTTCGGATGTTTGCATTCTGGTGGTCAAAGTATCATTTTCGATTTTTCTTTGTGTTTATGCAATTGAAGTGTTGAACCATGATTAGTTTAAGTGTTTGGTGAAATTACCCATGAAATCACTAACTAAGCTCCGATCCCTGGATTCCCTTCTCTCACAATCTCACGTTTTGCATCTTTCCAACGCCGCGAAACTTTCACACCCTCACAGAACAACAAAGCAGCAACTTTCCAGCAGCAACAAACCTTCAGATATCGATGCTTCCCGCGCACTTTTCAACGAGATCACCCATATTCTAGGTGCAGATACCGTGATCCCAGACCAATCCCCATCTGGGATTTTGTTTCCTTTTGAAACTCCCCACTCTGAAGTTGGTTCCAAGGACCAACCAGCTTGCACCAAAGGTGTTCCTGAAAATGCCGCAGAGAATGTTGGCTCTTTGGAAGATGCCCAGATGGGAAATATGAGTGAGGAAGATGTGAGCCGGATTGTTGGTGAGATTACTGAAATTTTAAGAGGGGAAAACGGTTCCACTTCTATGGAGGAGAGGTTGGAGAATCTGAGTTATGGGTTGAACAGTGAGGTTTTTGATATGGTGTTGAAGAGGTGCTTCAGAGTGCCACTGTTGGCTTTGAGGGTTTTCAATTGGCTGAAGTTCAAGGATGGGTATAGTCACACGACGCGGACTTATAATATTATGTTGTACATTGCTGGAGAAGCTAAGGAATTTGGGTTGGTGAAGAGATTGGTGGAAGAAATGGATGACTATGGAATTCAAAAGGATATTAAAACGTGGACCATTCTTGTCACCCACTATGGGAAGGCAAGGAAAATTAGTGAAGCGTTGATGGCCTTTGAAAATATGAACAGGTGTGGTTGTGAACCGGATGCTGTTTCGTATAGTGCGATTATCCGTTCACTTTGCAGTGCTGGGAAGGTAGACATTGCTATGGAGTTCTATAGTGACATGGTCAGGAAGGATATGGTATGTGATGTGAGGTTGTATGAGATGATCATGAACCGCATGGCGAGATTAGGAGATGTAGCAGCTGTTGGTTTGCTTGGAAATGACATGATACGGTTGTCTGTGATGCCAGAAAACCGGGTTCATGGCTGTATGCTGAAGAACTTTTGTATTTCTGGGAGGATTGAAGAGGCTTTGGAATTGATTCGTGACCTCAAAAATAAAGATTTAGATCTTGAACCTGGAAATTATGAGATCTTGGTCAGAGGACTGTGTAAGGCAGACAGGATTACGGATGCATTAGAGATTGTTGCAATTATGAAGAGAAGGGATATGGTTGATGAGAGGATCCATGGGATTATCATAAATGGGTATTTACGGAGAAATGATGTTGACAGGGCGCTCAGTGTGTTTCAAAGCATGAAAGATTCTGGTTGTGTGCCTACAATTTCCACATATACAGAACTGATACAACATCTCTTTAGGTTGAGTAGGTATGAAGATGCTTGCACGATGTATGATGAGATGCTAGGAAAAGGGATAAAGCCAGATATTGTGGCAATAACAGCTATGGTTGCAGGTCACGTTTCACAAAACCGTATTTCCGAAGCATGGAAAAAGTTCCATAGTATGGAGTGCCACGGCATCAGGCCCACTTGGAAATCCTATGAAGTATTCATTAAGGAACTTTGTAAGGCTTCAAGGACAGAAGACATTGTCAAAGTATTGCACGAAATACAGGCGTCAAAGCTTAAAATTCAAGATACAGTATTCCGTTGGATTATAACATATATGGAAGAAAGGGGGGAGCTTACTGTGATAGAAAAAATCCAGCAGATGCGTAAAGCGTCCACACTTGATCCTGAAAAGTTCAAGGAGTCAAACAAAGAAGTATCTTTGAGAATTAAGGTGGAAGAGGATGTTGAAGTTGACCAATCAAAGTCAGAAATAGATTATTCCTTTATACATAGAAACCTTAACACTTACAGGGAGCAAGATGTTCACGAAATTTGTAGGATACTTTCATCCATTACAGATTGGTCCTTAATCCAAGAAAAATTGGAGAAAAGTAACATTCACTTCACCCCAGAACTTGTTATGAAGATATTGCAAAATTGTAATATGCATGGTAGCTCTGTCCTAAAATTCTTTTCATGGGTGGGAAAGCAATCTGGGTATCGACACACTTCAGAATCTTACAATATGGCAATCAAAATTGCAGGTTGCAGCAAAGATTTCAAGCACATGCGCAGCCTGTTCTTTGAAATGAGAAGAAATAGTTATCTAATAACATCAGAAACATGGACAATCATGATAATGCTTTATGGTCGAACAGGTCTGACTGAGATGGCCATGAATTGTTTCGAAGAGATGAAAGCTGATGGTTATTGCCCAAGTAGGAGTACATACAAGTATCTGATAATTTCCTTTTGTGGGAGGAAAGGACGGAAGGTTGATGATGCTCTCAAAACATACGGTGAGATGATTGGTGCAGGATATGCCCCTGACAAAGAATTGATTGAAGTTTACCTTGGTTGTTTATGTGAAGTTGGTAAAGTGTTGGAGGCCAGGAGATGTGCAGAATCTCTTCAGAATTTTGGCTACACAGTTCCTCTCAGTTATTCTTTGTTTATCAGAGCTCTTTGTAGGGTTGGGAGAGTGGAAGAAGCATTGGCATTAATTGAAGAGGTTGGGGAGGAGAAGTCGATTTTAGACCAGCTAACTTGTGGAAGCATAGTTCACGGTCTATTACGTAAGGGTCGACTAGAAGAGGCATTGGCCAAGGTGGATGCCATGAAACAGAAGGGAACAGTACCTACAATCCATGTCTATACATCACTGATGGTTCATTTCTTTAAAGAGAAGCAAGTAGAGAAGGCTATAGAGACTTTTGAGGAGATGCAACAGTCAGGTTATGAACCAAACATTGTCACATACTCTGCACTTATACGTGGGTACATGAACGTGGGGAGGCCTACCGATGCATGGAATACCTTCTACCGTATGAAATTCAAGGGACCATTTCCTGATTTCAAAACGTATTCAATGTTCCTCACATGCCTTTGCAAGGTAGGGAGATCGGAAGAAGCAATGCAGCTCATTTCTGAAATGTTAGATAGTGGAATTGTTCCAAGTACTATAAATTTTCGAACGGTTTTTTATGGGCTAAACAGAGAAGGTAAAAATGATTTAGCCCGCGCTGTATTGCAAGAAAAATCAGATCTAAGAAGAAAGCGCAAGCTCGTAACTTGATTTCTTTTCATAACCTTTGGAAATTGTTCAATTTATGCGATTGTAGTTTCTTATTTTAATTTACTTCCAATCTCGTCTTGTGGAACGAATTTAACATGAAAAAAGTAATAAATCCAGGAAAGAAAAGTGGATGGCGCCAGTATGAATAGAAGAACTCGCCAAACGGTTAAAATACTATTTAGCATCTTGTTTATAAACATCAAATTGCGTAACATATATATCCATTGCCATGATGTTATTCTTACCATAAAACTCCTTTATTGTATTAAATAATACAAGTGTCGCAAAATTTCAAGGTCATCCACATTTATGTTAGGAAAGTATTACATAATAACTATATTCAGGAATACAAAAGTGTTCTGAGTGGCACGCTGCAGATCAGAAAGGATGCATGTTCAGGATATGCCTCATATTGAGGCAAAATGTGAACTCCATCATGTACATATAGAAGCAATAAGGTCCATTGAGTCATGATGAAATCAAATGGTGATTTACGGATAGGCCACTTCATTGCGATAAGTGAGTCAAATTCTTCATACTGTCAGTGTCAACTGATCTATCGTTTGCCCCCAAAGCAATAGCAGCATGTATGAATCCTACATTAATAACAATATAAAGGAATCAGAAGCAGAACTACATGACGGGGAAGTACAGGATAAACTATCAACAACACTTCCAAGGTAGTAAACTAGAGAAATAATGTATCAGTAGAGTCATCAGTTGTTAATAGAGAGATACATTATACTGCAAAAGCTTGAAGCACAAACGGCAAAACCGGTACAACAGTAATGGTGTCCTGCACGTGATTAACAATTATGTCAGAAATGATCCAGTAATGTATAAATCTTCAAATAAACATAGCACAAGGTACCAAAGAATTTGAACAAACATATTGCATGCTCCTTGGACTAGCAAAATATTACTAGCATAAATCTAAGGCTACTGACTTAAGATGAATGGTGGAAATATTCTTGGAGCAAGCATTAAACACTGATTCATGTTCATGACTATGCAATAATTTTCTTTTCTTCCTTGATTGGACCTTGTAAATATTGGGTTTAACATATGTCAATTAGCTAATAGAATCATTTTCAATATAATAACGATGTAGACTTGCTCTTGTGTGTGCATACCATGGCTAGAGATGCAGCTAATAACATCCTTTGTCAGAAGTGAATATATGGTGAGACAATTTTCTCTGGTTGATAAACTCAAACTAAGGTTTCCCCAGAAGACTTTTCAGACATGTTATAAGAAGAGAAGTGAAATAGAAACAAAATGACAAAGGGTTAAAGCTGGGAACTTGGCAGAAAAACAGAAATGCGGAATGGCTCGTGTTGTTTTCATCTTCTACAAAGAGTAGCCCAATGAATGAGGCAAAAGAATATGTTGATATTACCTATTAAAGCTTCTTTCCTACTTCATCAATTACACGACTATAGTAAGTCATTCTCCTAATTGCCAATTTTGCTTCTTCAAAATTCCGGTTTTGAAAAGCATGACCAAAGGTATTAGACCAATTTTGCAGCTTCTCCTGCATCTGGATAACCAATCAAATGATGACATCAAGAAACAACATGAAAGTAATAATAATCTATATTAGAATCAATCATGCAATCGCCTTGTAGCATTCAGCCTTGCGAATTGAAGATTCATGCTTACCTGAGAGAGAATGAGATTCAGAGCTTCAGAGTCTGTAGCTTCTTCAACCGTTTCCCTGATTTCCATAATCTGCAGTAAAATTTAGCAATATAATCTGGAAGCTGGATTTTCCTTTTGAAGAAGATGGAAAGATGAGATAAGACATTGGCAACAATTTATACTACTAATCTTACCACATAAATTTCAGAATTCAATTTGTGTAAAAAAAGAATCTCAAATATTCCAGAGAAAGAAAAAAAAAAGAAGAGAGCAGAACGAGCAAGAAAAGATGAAAATATTTTCCTGTAATAAAATACTTCTTTCATTAACATGGACATGCACCTAGCTGAATTGTATTTTTATATGTAAAATTTATTTTATTTTCTCTATAAAGAAAGTCAATCTCCCAAACATTGACAAAATCCAGTCCTAAATGGAAATGTGATTCCTAATGCTGAAGAAAAATACCTACACAGCAGTCAATGATAACAAAATTGTCAATCTTCCATTCACAGGTAAAGCTCATAAAATGAACATTGAGAACGAGAGGTGATTAGACTTCAAAGAGAATAACTATCCATCCATTTTCCTAAGTACCAGTTTCACTGATATTTTGTTTAGCATGGAAAGAAGGTTAGAAATTTCACATTGAAAAGAAAAAAGGCTCTTTTATTACCTCCGCCAGTAGTTCTGGATCTGATATTGTTTGTTCTTCATCTATTTCTACACCGTTAAGCTTCAGCTGAAAAGAAATGGCATAACATTACATGGTAACACCACAGAAGAAACAACTAAAATTGAACAATATATAATAACTAAAGGCGTTGATGGAAAGCCTAAATAGATGCCATGTTTGATGTATATGCGTCCATTCAGATGATAAATTTAACCAGCAGAAATATATTATCACCATTAAACTTTTAAGATTTTCAAATTTCACAGAGATTTCTGTTACAGTAATGAAGCATCACCAATTTGGAATCTTCGATGGAATATTCTTACCAAGTAAATTCCTCTTGACAAAGGCTTGCTAAGTGTACGGTACGCATCAATTACCCTTGCAGACTGTTCAGCAGCAAAATCTCTTTCTTTCTAACCAATTGAAGAAAAACAAAATCTTTTAGTTTCTCCAAAAACACATTCAACCTCACAACCCTCCCCCATACCCCTTAGAACAGAAAGAGTAAAAGGAAAAATCAAAGAGAAAAACACGAAATAAAAAAGGATATCTCATCATACCAACCTTAGATTTTGAATGTACTAAGTCAGGATGCAGTTTCTTTTGCCATTCTTTGTACTTGCCCTCCAAATTCTCACCTTCTTGATCATACTTCCTCTCCCTGTTTAAAATTTAAAAAAATAGTAAAAGAAAAAATGCTTTTTAACCTCTTAACTCATCTATAAATTTATAGACAATAAAATCATCCATTAAATCAATATATTTCTCTTTCCGTCATCCCAAAAGCACTCATTCATAACCCAGAATGAAACACCAAAACATAACTACGACACAATAATATGCATTTTTTTTTCCTGCTTGAAAATGAAGCAAGTAATAATCTAAGCTAAAAAACACACACGCACAATTAATTTCCCCAAAATACAAACTTTTACTTTCCAATTCCGTGTCTTAAAACAGACTGAGTCAACCATATCCATATAAATACTTGTAGCTTTCCATTGCTATTGACTAACAAAGGTGAAAACCAAATGAATTGTCACAGGGACAAAAACTTAAAACGTAATTCCTTATGTTTTCTTAGTGTTCTATCAGAAATGGAATTGCACCTCCCTGAGATATGCTAATATTTAATGCAAACTTTTATTACACAATTATCAAAATAAAACTCTAACTCATATAGGAGAATGGTATCAATAAGAACAAAAAAAACACTAAAAAATAAGGCGAAAACCAAATGAACTGTCATAAGGACAAAACTTTCATATGCAATTCCTTAATTTTCGTTTTTAGTATTCTTCTGTCAGAATTGGAATTTCACCTCCCTGAGCTATGCTAATCTTAATTCAAACTTTCATTATACAAATTATCAAAAATAAAAATCTAATTCAGATGGGAGGATGGTATCAAGAAAAGTTAAAGCACCGAACTAAAGAAGAAAACTGTGGGAGCAATTTGAGTACCCAGAAGAAAAAACGTAAAACCCCAGAAACTTACACCCCAAATATCTGAAAATAGTCAGTGGAACCATCGACGGGTTGGATGCACCGACAGGAGTCGCAGACCAGGAAAGGTGCAGAGTGAGGGAGAGCGTGGCAATTCCAGCACCCAAGTTGGATTTCCTCGGCAGATTTGGAGCATAAGTTTTTCCATGAAAACCCAAGAGAACAATAGAAATCGAAGTTGGGATCGTGAGGAGGACGATGGTGAGGTGATACGCGGTGAAGAATAGAGAGTTTAATGTGTGGAGAAGAATGGGAAGTGAAGTGTTGTGGAATTGAAGTTAAACAGCGCCGCAAAAGCGAAGAAAGGGGCGTGCAGAGGTTCTTCTTGGACATTGTGTGAGCACAAACAGGAGATGTAGAAATTCCTGGGTTTTGGGAAGATGCAGACGAAAGAGTTAAAAGGAAAGAGATTTATTTTTGTTTGTTAGGATAAAAAACAACACATTAATTAAAAAATATTTAATTAATATAAAAAGATTATTATTTTGAATTATTAGATGGTTAAAACTGGCCTCACATCAGTTAACTTCACTAAAACCAATTAAATTGATAAAAAAACTACATAGAAAAGTTAATAAATACAATTTTTAAAAATAAAAATAAATATCAACTTGTTATTAATAATAAATACTTATATATTATTAAAATATTAATGTAAGTATGATATAGTATTTTGCTTAAATTTTTATATGTATGTTAATGTTAAGAATTTATAAATTTATGACTAACTATTTATTTAGTATAAAAAAATCAAGATATTAATTGTAATATTATTTCATATATTTTTAAGTATTAAATAATTTTATTAATTTCATTTACATTTTTATATTACGTGTGTTTATATTAATAATAACACAATTTTAACATTCTAAACTATGATAAAAATAAAAAGGTAATTAAAAAATTATCATCACATAAATATTAATGTGAAGCTAAAAAAATAAAAAATATATTAAAACTATTAACTTTTCTTTTTGGTGATAATAATAATTTAGTCTATTATTAAATAAATAAATATTTTTCACATATAGTTTTTTTTAGCAAGAAATAATTTTAAAAGATAAATAATTTATTTGATTAACTCGAGATAAGTTATTTTTTCCTTTTAAATATTTTTCTTAAATAATTGCTATGCATCTCTATTAGATTAAACACTTATTAGTAGACTATTCTTTATTTTCTTAAAAAATATATCAATATTTTCTTAAGCAAATATTGGTAACAATTATATTAAATTAGATATTACTATATTATTTTAATTACTTAAAAAACGTAAATATGTGACTCCATCTTTTAATATTTAGACAATTTATAGACTATACATCAAACTATGTTTTGAAGAGTTTTTTTTATCATCCCAAGGAAATAGTGGTTGTGACAAAAGCATCTCGGAAAATTTATGCTAATAACTATTTAAGAATAAAAATAAATATTTTATTATAAATTATTTAAACGGTAATAAAATTACTTAAAATTTATGTATAAAATTTATAATAAAATATTTATTTTTATTCTTAAATAATTATTATTAACTATATCTAAGAACTAAAAAAAAATCCTAGTGAAAATTGTAATAGTACTCTTCCCTCTTATTTTCAATACAACTTCAATGATTTTTTTAATTAAAAAAATTATATTTATTGATTTCTAAACTAGTATCCTTTATGGCTAGTAAAACAAGAGAAAAAGAATACAGCAATTTCCAACAAAAGGGGAACCCTGTAGGAATACATGATAAATTAACCCTTATACAAGCAACATTTGTATTGAGGTACACAAAACCTGTTGTGAGTTATTGGAGCTTGGATTACATGTTCACAGGATACCTCAGAATACCCTGTTTTCTTCTGTTATTGCCCATTTAACTCTTTTTCCTTTTACTTAAGACAGAAAGACCGAAAACACAAATAGCATTTTTTTTTCTGCCTACTTAACTTCTTTGGTACATTTTTCTGCCTTCTTGACTTGTCTGCATGATCAGAAGGCTCATCTTCAACTGAATCAGTGTTCAATAGCTTGTTGCTTACAGTTGTTTGATTCAGAATTGCTCCATTTTCCAAAGGATATGAAACAGCCTGGCTTGACAAAATAGCTGTTGGAAGATTCTGCTCCGATAAAGTTGGTACTACTTTGTTAGAATTTACCTCCTTCAAGTTAGAATTTGTTCCTGTATATCTGAAAGAACAAAAAGGTAAGGAGAAAAATTAATGATCAACCAACATCTTGTACTAATTTTCTTATTTTCTAACAAACCATAAGGCAACAAAATCTCAGTCTTCCATGCCTATGAACAACCACAGAAACAACATATAATCATCACCTTGAGTTTTGGATGTCAGAGTTAGTCTCAGGCACTTCCTGGAAAGCTCCCTCTACAATATCTCCATTTGGTACTTCAGCATTAACATCATCTTTGGAGCTTATTTGAGTGTGTTTCAAGGAAAATGAATCCATTCTACCATCATTTTTTGTAAAAGGGGACTCTACGCCAGCAATACTAGAAGATGCCCGAGTATGAAATCTCTGTTCCCGAACCATTGAAATGGCCTTGTCTAATGTTTCTAGAGCATGTTCTACCTCTGATCTGATATATGCACTCCTCTTGCCCCTTAGAATACTTGTGTTAGCTTCCTTAATTGGAGTGTCTTTTACTTCTTTATTTTCCTCCTCAATTTGTACAATTTCTTCGATATCTACTTCTACAATCTCATCAAATGTTTTGCTACTATCTAGTTTTTCTGTATTTGTTGCCATTGGCATGACATTATTTGCATATTGGTTACTTATATCTTCCTCATATGCATCCTTTTCCTCATCATGTTTATTTTCAACAAGATCCTCAGCAGGTAGAACTGCTGCAACTTGCTGAAGCTCTCCACCATTCATAGCCTTTGATCCACTAGTGTTGTATAGAGCTTCACGAATTCTAACATATAATGGATCCCCCAAAGCCTTACTGAATTCTCCTTTATCGTGGCTCATCATGGAAGACACAGTCTATAACATGCATTGGTTTGTGTCAATAATATAATAGAAAATTTTGTGAAATAAAAAATGCAATGATGTTTTACTTTTGCATGATGAGCAGAAAATGCGAAATCAGCTAAGTCCAGCTTTGAAACTAGCCATTGCAAATAAAACATGCTGAGCTCACAAAGCCAGGGTAAATCCTACCCTCTGTAATAATTAAAGAACCCATGTTAAGTTTTGAAATTTTTTATTTATGCTGCTTTGTTTAACGAAAATAATTTATCCTCCTTCTCTTTGTAATCCATCTTCGCATGTTACACAAATAACTATGACATCAAAAATGAAAAATTAATAGTAATTTAATGACAATAATTAAGGGTAGATGATTCGATCATAGGATATGACTAAAATGCATCATTTCATTTTCTTTTAACTTAATTTTCTTTATTAGAGAATGAGTTGTCTCATTAGGGAGATTCAGAATATAAAAGACAAATTTCCATAGAAAGTCGAAAACAAGATGCATATCTGAAAGAATATACAACCTTTTGATAAAGTCGGAAACCATTGCCAATGAGCTGCCTCGAGATAAAGTTTATAAGGGATGGTGGCACAAAATCCAGCTTTATATCCATATTTGTTATTGTCCTACAAAATTTAAAGTCTTGAATCAGATCCACTTTATTTGTAGCACCTTTTTCATCCATAACCGCATGAGAAAATGTCTAGCAATGAAGTTAATCCATAAAGCCAGTCTACTTTCATATTTCTTTTAGAAGCTAATACTACTAAAGGAATAGGTAAATTATAATGGAATATTGGAAAGTTAGTAAACAATGGAAACTAGTAAGATCACTTTACCCAGAACAACCAAACCAGCTACATAACCATTATTCACAGAAACATAAGCAATGCCAAGACTGTACAAAAAAGTGAACAAATAAATATTACATAAAAATCAATTTGATTGCCAGACAGATCCCCCCCCCCCAAAGCCAAAAGGCATCATGATCAGAATTGTAAGGTAACTAATACTTTTTTAATATTAATCTATCAAATCAGCAGACCTTGAACTATACTAAAAAAAGCAGTATTTTGGGTTAGCTTCAGTAGACTACAAAACATGGATATGAACCTATGTCAATCCTACAAAATCAACTTATAAGATGAGATTTGTACCACTAGTGTACTACAATTTAACCATATCTATAATTGGTGTAGGATTTTCAACACAACTCCTCACATTGAGGATAAGGTGGTCCGATACCGACCTAATAATGGTTGGTAAAATAGTCCCAACAAACATTGTTAAGATAGGCTCAGATATCACATTAGAAAGTGTATATAAGTATAGCCCAACCCTACAAAACCGGTAACATGAGACTTGCATCCCACTTATATACCACAATTTAACTATAACTATATCTCTAGTCGATGTTGGATTCTACAACCATTTGTCTTCACCTGTTTTTTAAAATCAAGCAAAACTTAAATGGGGCATTATGATATGTGATTGTTGACTGTTATCCCATTTCATTCTGTCACTCCATTCAATTAAATTATATGATTCATGTTGAAGTACACCGTAAACTCACCGAAAATAACTTCTTTTTGATGTCACCTTCTGCAAAGCAAAGCCTCCCACCAAATCGATTCTCACGACATCATTTGCTTTAGGAATTGCCTCTTTGTCATAACCATAAAGGGTCTCCATGACATTCTCTGAATCAGGAACCTGCAAGCAAATTAAGTACAAATTTCTTGAAGCATTGAACTAGTGTAAAGTTAACTTTCTCCAAAAGATAAAACAAACATGGGTTCAGATGATTACCGAATTTGTAAGAACAACAATTAAGTCATCTTGAAAGTACTCAAACAGATAATAGTGCACTATAGCTTCCCTCAGAGATAGAGGCCATGAAACCTTCACCCTTTCTTCCAAAATTCAGAGCAAAATCAGCATTCAAAAACAAAATCTTTTGGTATGGAAAGGGGCATTAAAATGTTTTGTTTTTAATTGATGCCGGCAGGACAAACCTCACGAGTGATAATTGTTCCCCAATCCCGACCTTTTGCAAGCATTCAGTTGATAAGATTTTGAAAGTGGGAATAGTAGACTGGGGCCACCTATATGGAAATTGTGAAAAGGGTGGGGTGTCAGGTACAATTATCAGATACATTGTTATAACGATATATTGCTGATTCAAATACATTCCTAAGGAATACAACAACGTTCAGGACCGCCTTATAAAAAATGTAGAAAGCCAATTGCATGCAAAACAGATTTCTTGCAACTAAAACTTTTTCAGCACCCGGAACCACTCCAAAATAAAGTAGTATCCTTTGGTTTTTAGAGTGGCATAACTTTCAACTTTATACAGAAATTAAACAAGTATGAAAGTGATGATACTGGTGAAGTTCGTGTTCAGACTAGTATACAGAAAATTAAAGACACATACTGTACTAAATATAATTCTCACCATTTTTTGTAAAGGTATGTCTCCCATGAGATACATAAACCTATAACGAAGAAAGTAACACGTCAAATTTTGCATGTTGAAATTGATAATATAGCTTTTGTCACTAAAAGGGTGGTGTTGAACATTGTGGTTGCCCCAGTGTGACTTACAAACATCAACAGGCCCATCTACAAAGCCTTCTACAAGCATTGTATGAAAGGGAGTCCCTTCTGGTCCTTCGCGATACATTACACGAAACTCTTCACCATCTTGTTTTAACTGTTGAAATAAGTCAAATTATCATAACCCAAGAATTTGATTGAACAAATAAAGTATCTTAAACCCAACACATACAGGAGTCAGGTTACAAATGTCAAGAGAGATTGCATAAGTCCATTGAATTTTAAACAATAGGATACTGTTGGACAAAAAAGACAATCAATTAGACCAATCATCTAATGTGAATTCCTGATTTTTGTGAAAGTCATCAATTAAACATGCAAAAAAAAAATTATCTAAATGAACAGAGGATGGAATAAATAGGAAAAATATCAAGAAAACAAAACAAGGTGAAACTACATAGAGTAACATACTTTCCAATCAGTGTGTGATGTATTAGATCTTCCACTATCATCTGAAGAAACACTCCTCAACATATCAAGAAAGTGAGATACCTCTGCAGTCCTGGTTTCTACTAATTGATCTCTACATCCTGCACCAGCCAAACATGAATTGAGAGAAAAGAAAAAAAAAAAAAAAAGACAAAGCAAACAAACAAAATAAGTGTCCCAATTATCTAGTACCATTCCTTCCTAAATACTAATTGAAAGGAATTTAGGGAATGCCATCACCTTCTACTTCAGGTTCTGAAAGGAGTTGACTTCTGACAAGCTTTTTGAGCAAGTCAACATTTGTAAGATCAGGTGAAGCAAGGGTGCCGTCCAGCCTCTCCCTATACTGCACAATCTTCCTTTTCCTCTCCATCTTTGCATCTCTTGCGAATGTCAAACAGCCTTCTCTCAGAAAGTCAATACAGGAACATAGGCATGTGAAGGATTTCTTCTATTCTCTATGTCTACCCCGACAGAAACCACTGTGGTAAAATAAGATAAGCCAATCAGGTATAAAAACTCTCATCTCATCACGTAACAAAACACACACAAAAATTGCATGTTTTAATTAGGCAGAACTCATCGAAGGTTTCTTTCTAACGGCCAAAGTGCTGAAACATCCTCGTAAATTCACTCCTAAATGCTGTTGTTTGATGTATCACTCAAGTGTCCAAAAAGCTAAAAGTAAAAACAAAGTCAATACACATCAACCATATATAACACAGACATCCATTTTAACCGCACAAACAGAAACTTCAAATTTCAGGACCACACGGAAACATAATTCCAAGTGGGGGCAGAAGAGCTAAATAAATGAATTTTCACCCCTAGACACACGCAAACAACTACATGACAGGAAGAATTCGAAGTCAAGAAATCAACAAACCAAAATCAAATTCCAGGCCTGAAGTCAACAAAGATCATTCAGAAACTGAAGAAGCTGAACGAAACCCAATTGAGAAAAAAAGCCAACAAAACAAAAAGGTGGAGAAATCAAAGCACCCCACAACCCACATGAAGCAGCAGCTTAAAAAGGAAGGAACTTTATTGAGAATATCACAAGTATAAAAACATGATTCATGAACCTTGGCTTTGGGGATTGGTAGTTTTCAATGTTGATAACCTGGGAAGGAGGCAGAAGCAGAAAAAGGTAGATCTCACGCAATGATCCCATCCCAAGACAAAGTCAGGTGATATGAGAGGAACACAGCATGGACTAGTCATAGGAGACAAAGTTGCAGCTCATCAACAACCAAGCCCATAAATTCTATTCTTTTTTCTTTTCTTTTCTTTTTTTACATTTTTAATAAGCATTTGTCATAAATAACAACGAATTCCTTCGATTTTAACTATAATATTACTATATCCATTAAATGAGGGCTTTGGAGAGGATATAGTAGCAATCCAAATCTAAACTAATTTTTATAATATATAAATTTCTTTTAGCTTTTTTAATTATATACGTTTTTATTTCTAAAGTTTTACATAAAAATGTTTTAATCTTTAAAATCTTAAAAAGGTATTTTAATCATTTACTTTTATTTTTAATCTCTAAATATTAATTTTTAAAGATTAAATACAATTTATATTTAATCATTCAAATTTAATATTTAGAGTTTTAAACAATATTTCTTTTAATTAGACAGATTAAAACATTATCCTTTGATTTAGAGGATCAAAATCGAAATACATCAAATTAACTTTTATATCATCGAAAGTGTAAAAAATAATTATATTGTGATTCAAACTATAATAATTTGATATTTAATCACACATTATAAAATTACAATAAATTTATTAATTTCTATATCAATTATATTAAATTCACGTCAAATATAATTTTAAATAACTCATATATGAAATTATTTTTCATTATTAATAAATTGATTACGCTCTGTATATTTCTTTTAAAGATGTTTAATAGGAATAAAAGTATATAATAATTTTATTGATGTTAATAAAATAATCATAAAGTTCGTTATTTTATTTTATTTTATTTTATTTTTCTTCATAATAAATATATGAAAAATATAACGGGTAAAAAATTAATTATGATTTATTTATTTAAAAAACAATGTGAAAAAATATTAGGTATTTTGTTTTTTTCTTGGAACTGCTAAAAGTTTTAGCTTACCGAAAACGAAAGCAACGTTGGAAGACGATGAGTCAAACCTTTTTTGAGAGGTAACGAAGAAGGTGGAAGAAAGAACAAAATCAAAAGCTTTTCTTCTTCTTATAATATCATATTTCACAGAAACATTTTAATATGAAGCTTGAGAAACTTTTTTTAACAATAATAATTTATTTTTATTGTTATATTATTATATCTAAAAAAACAAGTTTTTCAAAATAATTTTTCTTTTTACATTTCTATAAATAAACATGTAAAATTATTTTTTTCGGTCTTTAAATTTTTTTTTTACTTTCACATTCATTTGTATTTGAATTTTGTTGATCATGGACTAATGAATTTCACTTTCCTAGTATAATCTCTCATTTAAATATTCACTTAACAATTTAACGAGTTGTTTAATTTATTAATGAGAATATAAATTGTAGCTGGGAGATAATATTCCAAAAGTTTTATAATTTTAGTCTTCTCAATTATTAAATATATTTATTGTTTTACTTGTTTTTTATTTTTTATATTTATTTATTGTTTATTGATAATATATTATTTAATTATTTAATGATAAAGATCTTTCAATGTTATATAATATTTGTTGAATTTTAATAATATAATTATATATTTATTAATATTATTATGTATATTTAAATGTTTATTTTAAAAGAGGATAAAAATATAAAAATATTAAAAAAAATAGAGAATAAATGCTTTATTGATGTTAAAGTATGGCTTTTTGCTTGAATTGGTGAAACCAGTTGCGTTGCTCTCAAGCGATGCCATTAAATATATCATAGGAAAGAATCAATAATATAAAGTCTTTATTTATAAATAATTAAAAATATAAATATTTTTATATGAAAAAAAAATAAGATACATAATTTTTTAAAATAATATACCTTATTATATTAAATGAACGATACAGTTTTAAGAAATTTAAAAATCTTCATAACAATTTTATTCAAATTATTCATTTTAAAGAAAATTCAAACTATTCATAGTGTTTATTAATGACAAAATATAATAAACTATACATATATTTTTTATTTATATAGAATATCTAAATTAGTCAATTAAATTAATTTTTAAAGGGTTAATATATGATTCTTGTAAAAAAAATTAAAATTTAGTTTCGAGTTTAAGTATTAAAAAATATAAATGTAATCGTTTTATTAGTTTATAATAATCAAATATTATTATTAAATATTAAATTAGTATAAAAAATATCTAAAATCATATTTTAAAATGTTGAAAGATGAAACTCATGAATTTAAAAATACAAAATATATACGGGTTAAAATATATCTGATTTAATCTAAATTACAAATTGTTTGTTTTTATTTCTCTAATCTTTTAAGTTGAATTAAGTTTATTTTTACATCTTTATTTAAAATAAAAAATTTAATATATATATATATATATATATATATATATATATTTAAATAAAATTATAATAAGATCAAATATAAATTTTGAAATAAATATTTTTTTAATATAATAATTAACTTTTATTATATTCTTTATGCACATTAATTTTATTGTGATACATCCTTTTTCTTTCTTTTTCTTTCTATGTTTATATGGTGTCTTTTCTAAAAAAAAATATACATTAACATTTAATACTTTATTTGACAAATCTATTAAATATAGTTATTTAAAAAAATTAAAAAATATGTGAAACAATGTAAAATTTAAATAAATATTTATTTTTAATAAATAATATTCTCTTTAGTTTCCTTAATAAAAATATTTACTTTAGTTAAAATTAAAAGCAAATAATAACTGAAAGTTGATTTAATATATAAGGATTCAATTTGTATCTCATAAAATTTAAATATTGGTGCTAAAGTAAGAATTTTGTTTGAAAAAAATTTCCAAAAACATTCTTTAAATTTTTGTTTATTAAGAAAAGAAAAGACTTTTTTTTAATTTGACAGTTAGAAAATTTTAAAATATAAAATTGAAGAAAAGCATTTTCTTTTAGTTTTTATTTTTAGAAAATAATTTTTCATTTTACCTTCTTTCTAATAATAAAAGAAAAATATATTTTCATGATTTTTTTTCACATTAATCCACCTAGAATAAATATGTTATTGACATACCTCAACCAAACTAACATTTTATACATAATGAATTAAATAAAACTAAACAAATGATATGAACACAACCAAACATGTCAGATCCGAGTCAGGGCCCACTCCGGAACACAATTACAAAAAGCTTTCATTTTCCTCTCATTTCACAAACACTAGCTTTGTTGCTCCTATTCTTTGCCACTGTTTGTCTTTGCTTTTTGGTAAGTGCCATTTTCTTTTCTTTTCTCTTCCTGAGTTTCCAAACACAGAATTAGGGTTTGATCAGGTTCCATTCATCACTTCCCAAAGGACATTATTCGAGACATCGAATTTGACGGTTTGTTGAGTGACCCTTTGGTGTGTGTCCCTTTTTTGGCTACTAAAGTTCAAACCTTTTAATGTTGGGCATAAAATTTCTATTGAATTCTTCAGGAGGAGAATGTACCACGGAACTGATTCCTCATGAAAGGAAGGAGCTAGGTTTGACGTAGTGGTGCAATAGCAAGACTGTATAACGAATTTTCAAATTGGATATTTGTGAAGCTGAATTTTGTGTATGCTTTTTTTTGGCATTTGTAGCTTAATGCTGGCAAGAGCATATACCTCTGTTACGGGTAGAGGAAATGTTGCAAAAATAATTCTGGAATATAAATGTTGCTCTTTAGCTATGTTTCGTTGATTTTTTCTTTGTTGCCATTGATGAAGATTATATGGGTTTGGTAGGCATGCAATATCGGTATAAGCCAATTAGTAATCATCGTTTATGTAACTAAGGTATTTATCAACGAACTTAATGTATATGATAGATTGAGACTGGATAACACTGTAAAAGAACTTATCTATTGTCAGTTTGTGTATTTATTCTGATGATATTGTTATTATTATTATTTGATGTGTTATGTGTGTACTTACACTGGTTAGAGAGTCCTAAGACTAGGAAAATGTCAATATGCTTCTTAGATATACTAACTAATACATTTGAATTACAGGTAATGTAATGGGGGATGATTCTTCTCTTAGTTTGGACAAGTTGAGGGCTAACTGGACTCCATCTCAAGACCAATATTTTCTTGAGCTTTTGCTGTCCCATGTTCACAAAGGGAATAAAACTGGGAAAGTGTTTAGAAGACAAGCCTGGGTAGACATGATTGAACAATTTAACACCAAGTTTGGTTTCAAGTATGATATAGAAGTGTTGAAGAATCGTTACAAAAGATTCAGGAAGCAATACACTGAGATAAAAATGATAGTTGGTCAAAAGGGATTCCAGTGGGATGGGACACAAAAAAGGATAATAGCTGATGATAAAACATGGGATGCATTTATTAAGGTACCAACTGTCATCAAATGTCTCAAAAGCACTAAGGAATTGTTACATTGCAGTTATGACTGTGTTTTTCTGCATGCAGGTCCACCCTGATGCTCAACCTTTCAAGACAAGGGTCATTCCAAATTACAATGATCTATTCATAATTTTTGGCCACGCAGTTGCTGATGGGAGATACAGCCTTTCATGTTTTGATGTAGACTTTGAATATGAAGGTACAAATGCCCTTATCATTAAATATTCTTGTACGGTTGAAACTTGAAATTTCTTTACCAAATTTATTCATTTACTGTTGTGTAGTGTTATCATCATGTTGGAACTATTTTAATTTTTTTCTCAGACAAAGAATTGGATGAGAAGACTATCACCAGTATAGGAGTGGATAATCAAACTCCCAATGCTGCTATTAATCAAGGTAAAATTGACTGGTCTCCAATGATGGACCAATTTTTTGTAGAACTTATGGTGGATCAGCTGGGTAAAGGGAACAAGATTGGCCGTACCTTCAGGAGACAAACATGGGTAGATATGACAGAATCATTCAACAAAAGATTTGGATGTCGTTGCAGTAAGGTTGTCTTGAGAAACCGTTTCAATGTCTTGAGAAGGCATTACTGTTCTATAAATGCCCTCCTTGACAAAGAAGGCTTTAGTTGGAACAAGACACAGCACAAGGTTGTGGCTGATGATCAAGCATGGCAAAAATGTATCATGGTATCATTTCTCTCCTCTTCGTCATTTTCATTTTTTCTTTTTGATACTTTTTTATTTTCAATTACCATCACCTACTCACGATTGATTGTAGGTAAATCACAGCTTCCGGCTCTATAAAATTAAAAGCATGCCTTTTTATTCTGGCATGTGTATACTATGTCGCAATGAAGTTACAGGTTGCAAGTCAAATCTTCCAAAGGGATCTTCTGGGGACATTAACTCTGTCCCAGATACTCAGCCACTTCCTAATGCAGATAAAGGAGCCTCGCATTTAGGTGGTGGAAATAACTTTACCAGAGAAACTCAGCCTCTCCTTTGTGCAGATAGAGAACCGTGGCATATTGGTGGTGAAAAGAAGTCTGCCAGAGAAACTCAGTCCCTTGCTAATGAAGATAATGAAGCATTACAACATGTTGGGAAAAATGTTTCTGGTCACCTAAAAAGGCATCAACCTAATATGCCCCCAACCTTGAATGAGTCTAAGAAGGCAAGAGGGCATATGGCTGTTGCAGTTACATCACTAACCATGAAAACAAAGAAAGATAGTTTTTCTGTAGACAATGTTATCAGTGTGCTTCAGGCTATACCAGACCTAGATGATGATTTAATATTAGATGCATGTGATTTTTTGGAAGATGAGAGAAGAGCAAGGGTGTTTCTGGCACTTGCTGCTCCTTTGAGAAAGAAATGGTTATTGAGAAAGCTTCGTTCACAATGATTGATGAACCTCGGACTTGTTCATTTGTATTAAGTTTTGTTGGAGTGCATGTAGAGCAAACCATAACTTCATGCACCCTGAAAATATTTGAAACTAGAAGGATCATTATTTTATTTTCTTTGTCAATATAAGAGTTTAAAGCTTGAAAACTAATCCTTAGTTAAACTAGTGAAATACAATATGCTATCCGTGAAGGGGGCGAGAGATTTGTGAAGGAGCTAGAGTTCAGTTGTGTAAATAGAACTTCAAGACATAAAAACATATAGCAGTGAATTTGACGGTTTTAGTTTGTCACATCTATTATGTCTGTAAGAATCTCAACACCAAAGTGAGTATTTGGTTAAATGTTCAATGTGTCTTTAGATAAACAATCAAGTCAAAATCTATAAAATATGCATGAAAAATTATCCTTTTTGCACCCTGAAATGCCACATGAGGTTGTGCTTGGTTAGAGCAATGGCGGCAATTTGTTCTGCTACAGACTCCAGGCACTACACTGGATTCACCAAAACTTTATGTATTAATCAAATTACAGTTACCATATTACTAAGGAAAAATGAAAAGCTTGCCACAAGGTTAGGCATTTGAAGATAGTTTTAAGTTTCTGCTTAGTATGATAAAATAAGGAAATCACCTCTATGAATATGATGTTGCTTACTGCTCTGAATGATTCAGTAAACACTTATCTTCACTCTACGTTCAGTATAAAAATAGATGATTGTTTTAAAACTAATTTATCTTAAAAATACGTATTATAAGTTTAAATAAATTGATTTAATATAATTCACAAAAGCAAAAATCCATGATCACTCAAACACTAAAACTGGGCTGTCCAACGTGTATAAGTCCATGGGCTAATAAGAGACGGATTGCATAATTTCTCACTTTAAATCATGTATACACACACACACACTAAAATTCATATATTTTTTTCTGATTTTATAAGTAAAAGATATATGAAGAAACAATAAATAATAGAAGAAAATTTACGTAAAGTAACATAGATACATTGTTGTTTTTTATTCATATTTAGAGCTTCACTTTAATAATCATGCAATTAATGTAATTAATTAATAAGAAGAATATTATCCAAATAAATTTTCAAATTTAATTAGAAAATAACACGCAGTATCACCTATAGCAGGTAAGTTTTGTCCTAAATAATACTAGTGTTAAGCTTAATACATTTACAAAACTTTAACGAACAAGAAGCTAAAGTGATTTGAGATTCTTTCATAAACTAACTTAACTTATCCACTTAGTTGAGTATATACAATTAAACGTGTTTTTCCATAAATTAAAAGTAACTTATCAAATATAGCTTGGTGAAATATATTTTCATCTGTAAACAAAACTAAAAGAAACAAAGCATAAAGGTAAGTTCTAAGATACAAAATTTGATAATGTCAAAACTTAGCTGGTGGACCAAATTTAATTATGTCAAGTGTAATTTTTTCTCACTTTCACAACAACACACTTCATCTTCATCTAGTGGAAATTTGAAAACCAATAATAAACATTATGGTCTAAAAAATGAAGTGAGTGTCCCAACTAGGGTTAATTTCACACCAAAAAGGTGAAATACATATTATTAGGCCGGTTTGACCATTTTAGGTGTGAATCAATTTCCTCACACCAGTTTATGAGTAGTAGGTTCTATCTCTAGGGTTATCATCACACCTTTCTGGACAAGGAGGAGAAGCATTGAGTTGTTTTTTAGCACCGCCCCTCACAATCTTTCAAAGGTAGGTCCTCACTGAATCACTTCATATTACCACTTACTCCATTCTCCATACCATCTCATCATGTGTTTCTCTTTTTTCAAGATCCACATAAACACAGAATTAAATACTTTATGCATGCAAGTCAACCACTGAGTCAACTATATAGGCATGCCATGATACGAGAGTTCAAGTTATTATGATTTATTATTGTCTCTTCCCACCACATGCTGTTCTTGCACATCCTCAAGTTTGGTCAACACAGCAGTAAAGTTATCTCCAAAATATCTGAATCACACCCTCTGAACATCTCCATGATCAGGTAGTAATGAGGTCTACCCTTAATCACCTTCTCCACTTTTCATAATTAACTTAAATTGTAGCTCAAATAACCTGTATGATTTACTTTCACAAGTTAACTAACCTCATCATAAGATGTGTTATTTCCAATTTAATGAAAGGTAGAACTGTGTCAGATATTGAATGATCTAAAGACCAGATATTTAGACACTATTAACATTGTGTGTTCTACTTTTTGAAATCCTCCAAGCCATGAAAACATTGAAAAAGCACTTCTTTTGACTATCTTTCTACCATAATATAATGTTGTGCTCGCTATACAATAATTAATTGCAGAAGTTTTAAGCAATGTTATCTGATATGTATAACCTTCAATTTTTTGGTTAGTATTTCTTAAGATTTTGGTAACATCAAATCACAACTTTTTTCAGCACTATGAGAGTAACGTGGAATGATAAAACTCCCTCTCAAGCTGAGTTTCAACGCATGCATGTTGACATTGAGACAGCAAGACCACCAGAGTCTTGGACTTTAAGAGACTGTGTTGGTCACTTGGTCATGTACATGCAACACACTTCATATGTGCTTTCATGCTTTGAGATCACTAGCCCCTATTATAGCAGTGGTCTGCCACTTGATCAAATGCATTATTTAAATTCTTCACAGTCAATTATGACATGTCCTGGTGGATGTAGAAAGCTTGTGATCCATATTGCCCTACCCTCCTTTCCCAAATTAGTCACCCCTATCACATTCTCTTCCACAAGAAAGTCCCCTCTTTCGCGTGTAGGATTAGTTAGTTCCCTTAGCCACATATTTCTTCTCCTTCTGCCACTGCAAATTCCTCAAACATACATCACACTTTCTCAAATTCTCTCAAAAGTTGCTAGTAAACGTGCCTATCAACTGGTATGAAGTTAATTTTGTTTAACCAATAATCTAAGAGTCACTGTAAGAATGCTTTTGAACATGTGTCTTCCAACATCTAACATGAGTAATAACTTATAAGCTATACACAAGGTAATTTTTACTTATTTTTTCAATATTGAGGCGAAAATCAGGTTAAACGTGTACTGTTTACAGATTAAATACTCAAAGATAATTTTAGTGTTTAATCAGATCAAATATTTAGAAAGAGAATTGTGTTGTCTATAACTAAATATTTTGTTGTCTCTAACTACATATTATGATCACACACAAAAAGAAAATCCCTAGGGCCACAGTGGCAGCAGAGACAAAACACATGCCCATTATTATACCTTCTTGTCTTTTGAAACAAAAAATAATGTTATCTCCCTTTTACAAATAGCACAGTGAAAAAGTTACCAACCTAGTTATTTGAACAAAATCAACATTATTCTTCTGACTATGTGGGAGGAAGATGAATTAATGGGGAAATGGAAGCCATTGGTAGAATCTAAATATAGCTGTTGAAGAAAGGAATTTGTCGTGAACTGGGAAGGCATAATTTCTGGGATTCCTTCACAAACACCAGTGGATGAGAACCAAAGTGGAGAGTGTGGCCCTCTCCAAGGGGCCTTCCCCATCTTCCACCCCACTAGCCAACTATGATTATGTCTGCATTTGATGGTCCAAAAAAACTCCACCCTCTTGAAAAATTTTCTGCATTTATCTTACCCCTTTAATTCCACACATAATAATATATAAATCCCTTAGAGAAAGAAAGCATATATAGGTTCTGCGATCGATTCGATTACACGTAACAAGATGTTGAAAACCAAAGGCACGAAATGAAAAGTCCAGGGAATGCGTGAAAAGTGAAAAATATACCTCATTGGGTGGCCCATAACAGCCACAAGAATTTTGGATACACTGATCAGCGATCGATCTTAATTCTACATGCATTCCAACTTGGTGCGCCAATCAATTCAAATCACCCACTCTTCTTCTTCAGTTCTGTTTAGTGAGTGGCATTGGTAGCTTTCATGACTTGTGATGAATAATATACCATAATAGTGTGCGCACTAGCCTACACTATTCACCACCTTTAAATTTCATTCATTTCTACACTTCGTACTTATTGTAAGAACATTTTATGTAGTAAAAAGTTCATCATGTATCAATGATAATTATTATATTATAAACGGAACTAGTGTCTGTTTCAGAAAACCTGTGCCATAACAGAAAAATTCTATGATCATATTATTGCTTGTTATCTCGTTCTTGCGTTGTGTCTTATTAATATTGGCAGTGTTTTGAATGGACGTGCCTTATCTACAATTTTATTTATATTTCTGTCCATTACAATTGATATTTTTTATATTTAAGTTAAGAAAGTTGAATCATTGAAGTTTAAGATAAGATTGATTTTAATATTTTAAATCTTAAAAATTAATCCATTAAAATAATAATAATAATAATAATAATATAATCTTTAAAGAAAAACTAAAAGAATTATTAGTTCATCAATTTTATTTTAAAAAAATAATATAATAAATTTGTTTTGTTTTGAAAGGTAGCGTTATACATAAAAATAAATAAAGTGCACAGAAATAATGGGTAGAACATGTTTGAAAGTTTGAGAATCCAATTTCATGGGTAGAACATGAAGATGGTGATGCACAACAATTGCATGGACATGATGCATTCACGGAATTTCTCTACATCATTTAAAATATTCTACACCATTCAACAATTTATTCTTCTACTCTTCCTTTCAATGCTTTTCAACACATTCACGTTTCATTAAATCTTTAATGCATCAAATACAAATTATAATAAAACAATCTTTTTAACAAAACAAATTGTGTTTTGATTTTTCTGGTAAATATGAAACTTTGTTAAATCAATAATAATAATAATAATATTGTAAATTAGGTTATGGTTTGGTAAAATAGAATATTGATTTGGAGAATTGGTTGAGTAATAAGGACGTTTCTTCTTTTTGTTTTGTGGCTGCCCTTCGATTTTGTCCCTTTCTTGGGACCTTCATTGCCCTTCAATCTCTTCTACGTCCCAGTTAGGCCATTTAACAGATTCCACTTCTTTTCGAAGATTCAAACAATATTTCTAATTTGCCATATAACTAATCAATTATCGTAATTATCACATCATTTCATTCTTAATTTATGAATTATATATATTAAAAATCCTCATAAATAAATTATTAATTTATTGAGAATGTTGCATTCTTTTATATAATTTGTTTATGGTAAGATTTAATTTTTAAAAATCATCAACATTTATTTGCTTTTAATTTGAATTAATTCAAAAAACTTATCCCTCTTAATATTATCATTGAATACAAATCAATATTCATTAATTACCTTAGTTCATGACAGCTTGAAAATATTAGATATTGGTTGAGAAAAAATTGCAAGAACATCCACAAAAAGGGATTTGATTGAAAAGAATTTTAGTGGCAATATGAGCATTTTCTTTCTTAGTGATGAAATCATGCAACTTTTTAAATTGGAATGCTTGCCATTTTAACCAATTTTGCTAATGCTTTTTTCTTTTTTCTTCTGTTCTTTTCTATGTCAAATTTGATTATGCTTTTATTCACTTAATTTAAAGCCGACCAAATAAATAATTACACAATTAAGGTTATACCATGTGATCTTACAAAAATATTTATTTTCTTTTCAACTTTAAAAAATATATTTTTCTCTTTAACATTTTCTGTTTTGAACGTATGTGAAGTGGTCACTAAATTTATTTCTCTTTCCCTTTCTTTGTTCCTTTCTTTATGACTGAGATTAGAAAAAAAATTCTCTCTTCCACCTTATCCCTTTAAAAGTTTAATTTGTTTTCATAATAGCTTTAAAAATATTATCTTTCTTTTACGTTCCTTTAAAATACCAAAATATTATTTATTTATTATTTTAAAAATTATAACTTTTCTTCTTTTTATGTTACTTTATCTTAAAATAAACAAGTTAAATTTTCATTCTATTTCATTTTTTTTTATCTTTTCTCTCATTTTTTTGTTTTACCATTGAACATAAGTTAAACAATGATCATGAGGTAATTACTTAACCTAATGAAACAATGAGAAGTATTAGTCCATATTCCAAAACACTTAAGATTGCACAAGTGAAGTACAAATACTTTGACTAAAATGGGTTTTGAAAGATGAACTTAAAGAACTACCTTTTTTATATGCTTAGACCACCCATCTAGCAAATTAGCACATGCATGTTTGTTTGTTTGATGTAATAATAGTTTTAGAAACATGCAAGAATATGTTCCATTCTTTGCTTATTCGTTCATTCATTGCATCATCAAACCCATCAATCAAAACTATCTTGGAAAGGAAATTAAATACTTATCCGAAATCATCCCAATCTTAATTAAGTATTTCTACTATCATATTTTTAGTTATAGTATTATCAATTTTTCAAATAAACTATAATCGGAGATGAAATAATATATTTAACTTAAATGGAATCATACCTTAAACAAAAATTAAGAATTTTCATGTGATATGATATTATCTTATATAATTGATTTATGTTTTATTATGGAGAATTTTTCTATTGTTAACTCCCTCAAAAATATTCAACAATGATATCAAAATTAATGATTCGTGTTGATACCGAACTTATAAGTATAAGATTTTTTATATAGATCTTTTTTGTCAAAAGTCTTTAAAATAAAAGTTTTAGACAATAAATAAGGTTAGTACTGAGTACTCATGATTAAAAAATATTACCACTTAAAAAGAGTGATATAATATGAAAAAAAATCATACTTAAAAAGAGGTTTAAGAATTTAAATGTAAATTAAAATCACGTATTGATTATAAATGAGAAAATTTTGAATCTTATAAGTAATAAAAACATTTAATGTAATGTCTTAAGTTTTTTAATTAAAGAGAATATCATATATTTTTATATAATTATTTTGTATTTATTTGATGAGAATTTTTTCGTATTTAATCTCCTAAAAAATATTTTATAATAACTTGATTTATGCTAATGAAACCATTTTAAAGCAAAGAAAAGATTTGGAAAATAAAAAAAATGGTATGGCTTGTATATATTTTAAGGAAATGGAATTATTGAATATAGTCCCTCTTATAATAAAATTAGTGGTGTGGTCACACACGTAAAATTTACCTTTTTAAATATAGAATGCACATTGCCTTTTTGTCACATAGATAATCTAGAGAAAGTCTTCATCAGCAGCAATGAGGTTATGACCTAAGCACGACCAAACACATAAATAAACTATAATCACACCATGCGTATATTACATTTTTATACGGGCATGATTAAAAGTAAGACTTTGAACCGAAATAAAATAATACAATTTTTATTTTTAATAAAACATGTTATAAATTGATTGTTTTTTAAATAAAATAATAGCACATACTAATATATAAGAAAAATACACTTTGTAATTATTTATAATTTCTAGGTTCTTTGACATATATTTTTTTTCACAATTAATAAAATCCATTTTGTCGATGATCGGATCTTCTGAGAGTTGAGGAGACCGTGACCCTTTCTAAGTTTTATAACTCCCATGTAATTTATGATTTTGACCTCTAAAACTTAATGAACATTTAATATATTTACGTGTATATTTATAATTTTATCCTCTCATCTCCTCTTCAGTTTTGTAACTCTCATATCATTTATAATTGTGTCTCATCAAACTTAATCATTTAATATATTTAAATATATATACAATTTTATCTTTTCACCATTTTATTTTTTTTATTTCTTTTATATTTATTTATTAATAATATATTATTTAGCCCTATAAAATTAATGGTCAAGGATGCATTTTGAATCAAGCCCTAACTAAGCTTTAAAGAGGAGTTAATTAAGTAGTTAGTATGTTAGCAGTAGTAAACAGGAGTGTTGGGTGGGACATGTAATGTTTGTTAATTGTTGATGACAGCTAACAAAACATACATTCATACCCACAAATATAGAATATACAAAATATTAGATGCCAGTGGTGGAGGTGCCAATCTTAACCTAAAAAGACAAATAAATTACTCCAAAATAAAATCCATGCTTCCCAATAAACAAACAATATCATTCAACAAATGAACAAAACCTAAACTTTTCCACGCAAATTTCAACCTTTTCTAAGCATAACGACAAACAATGTCTTCAATGCAAATTATTCTCATTTTTTAAGGAGTAAACAATTCTTTATTTTACATACTTGCTTCTGTAGAAATTGAAAGTTTAATGTTTTAAAATGATATACAAAATAATATTTCAAATTAACTCATACATAATCTAATTTTAAACTCATTTTCTCCATAACTTCTTGCATGAAAAATTGTTTAAACATACTTTCATGGATATTACCATGGTTTTCTTCGTTTTTCTTTACACTCATAATGTTACATATCATATGAAAAAATTGGAATAAAATAACAATGAATTTAGAAGGATGTTTATTACGATTTTTCTAAAGCATGTACTAATTAATAAGCAAAAGCACTAAATTAATTAGTGTATTATTTAAACTAAAACGAGTATATTATAATTTAGAATTAAAGTAAGGGTTGAAGTCTTGTTTTGGTAAAATAAAGTTGAATAATAAATAAATAAATAAATAAATAAATAAAATTTACAAATTTATTATCATAAAGTTTTGGATTGAAGGTAGAATTATATTTTTTTATATATGTTTATCTTGTCTTCCTTTATTAAAGTGAATAATAATAATAATAATAATAATAATAATAATAATAATAATAATAATAATAATAATAATAATTAATAACCCTTCTTAAAAAATATTAACACTTGAGATGAATAAGGAACAATATTAAAATTTCTATTCAATGTTGCAACACAATGTACTCCCATAATTTTCAAATCTTTTTATTTTTTAACTTTATTATCTCATTAGACACATATAAGTGTGTCATTTTTTTAAAATTATTTCACTTTTTTCATTTATGAAAAATAATTCATAAAGAGGTGTCATGGAATTTTCTTGCAAGTGTTTGTGTTGGAAACTTTTCTGCGTGTTTTGTTATTATTTTGGAGGACTTCGTTTATTTCAATTCCCTTCTTCTGTTGTTGCGGTAACAATGAAATTAATTAAAAGATTATTTTTTTCATAAACCATTTATAACTTAAATAAAAACAAAAAATTAATTTTAAGCATTTCGATATATTTAAGTAATTTAAGAATTAATATTGCAAATAATTTATATATATTTTTCTCTTCTTAATAAATTTAAAGATAATAAATGAAAATTTCAAAATATAATTAAGATGAAACAAGTTTGATTCTAAACAATAATTTAATAATTTGTCAATATAAAGGTGTTACGTACTCAATTACTACTTCAGAAAAATTATGTTTGTATATTTTTGAGATATTATTATAAAAATAATAAATTTATGATTTGTAATAAGATAATTTCTTTTTATGAAATTACATATTCTTTTAAAATAAATAATTTTGTTTCACCATAATAGGACCAGAAGATCATCTCTCTTTATATGAAATTGAAACTCAAAATTACTATTTAAACTAAAATATTTAAACCAAATATTAACCCTTAAATAATGATGTTTATTATCTTAAATAATAATATTGAATTTAAATAAAAAAAATGAAATGAAATTGTGATTAAAAAAGTGAAAGGAAGGTCAATTTATTAGAATTATGGTTATTTTCAAAAATTTTGACATGTGTGTTTTATGTATGGTTGTGGTTTTATTTACTTTTCTTAATTTTTGTGGGTCCTACATACACACGCTTTTCCTTTGCTACGTGACTTTCAAATCTTTCGCTATTCATCATACGCGTTGCTATTATTTTACAATTCCTATTTTCATTTTTAATTTTCTTAATTTCAAAATTCCACTATTAATAGATAAAATTATGATATAACTACAGTTTAAAATAACTATTTAAACATTAAATTTTTAAATTATTTTTCAGATTCTATGAAAAGATGACACTTGATGATCTTATTTCAATGATTTTTAAACAACAATTCAATTATTTTTAATCTAAAAAACTTTATTTCTAATTTTCACTATCCAAGAATTGATATGATTTTTTTTTTTTTTTTGGTACAGAAAGAGTTAATATGATTGACATTTTGATAAGACTTTTCATTAAAGCAATTAGGTGGGTTAGGTCAGTGAATTTTTTTTCACTCGTCTTTACTAATGATTTGCATTGCATTGAATAAATTTAAATAATTTTGTAGAGTTTTACTAAAAGAGTTGAAATATAAAATTGTTAAAAGAAATAATTGTTGGTGACACGTTTGATTGAATGGCTTAATTAGTGTTTGACTAAGCCATCAAAATGAGTGTTTGAAAAAAAAGTTTATCTTTTGTTATAAAAGAGTGTGAAGTGAGTCCACATAGCAGTTGAGGATTTTGCAGTCACAGAATGGTCAACGGGTGGTGAGTATATAAAAATTATTTTTTAATAATATGTGAAATTATTTTTTTCATCTTTTTCTGAATTATGCTAATAGCCTAATTTTCAGTACACGGGTTAGGGAGAAGTGAAGTTAAAAGTGTAGAAGAATTAAAGAATTATACGAAAGAGATCTGTGTTGAAGCCAACCTGTAAATAAAGGCAATGTGTCCCACAAACACAGGACTCTCTCCCCTTCACAAAGGAGATTGATCCAACGGTGGATGCATCCTAACCCTACCTTTCAAGCAATAGCATCCACATGCTCCGAGTGGACCAAAAAGTCAAATGTGTGTTATACTTTCTTGCATCCCCACGAGACAAATTAAAATTCAAAATAAAAATAGAAGATAGAAAATATAAAATATCCAACAAATATTGGATGCATTTATTATTCATATAATAAATGTTGACTTTGATCGTGGAGGATTTATGGATATGAAATTTATGCAACGACCATGCATTGCTGAGGCACCACCACTCAAAGTGGGATTCAAAGTCTTTGGTATATATAATGTTTTAATTCATACAGTTCATGGCTAGGGTTTGTTTTAATTATAAGAATGATGAAAGAGGAAATTAATGGAAGATAGGGACTTTTTTTTTTTTTTTTACTATTTAAAGGAAACAAATCTTAATAATTTATTATGTTCAATAAAAATATTTTTTTAATTCATTCATTTAAATTTATGACAATAAATATATATAATTATTTGATTATACATAATGTTATATTTACAGAATAATTATTGATATTAAAATAAATTTTTTTCAATATTTAGAGAGTTAGGTCGACTAAATTTCAAAATCTACAATTATTAAAACTGTCTTATCAATCTTATTAAATCTATTTATTATTGTAATATTTAAAAAAAAACACTAATTAAACAAGAAAAATAATTACGAATTTATAAATTAAGTTTATTACGAGTTTAAGAAAGAAAAGGTTGATTATTAATATGTCAATTTAAAATAATTAATTTGATTTTGTTTTAGAAAAATAATAGTAAATTCATGGTGAGAATTCAAAATTCTCGGGAGAATGCTAAGAAACCGGAACAGGATCTTTCCGGGAAAATTCGTCCCGCTGGAAACGGAAGCGCGTAAGCCGTTAATTTTTTGGTTGGAACGAGGGCGAAAGAATGTGCAACAACAAACAACGCATTTGCGTGTGTATCTATCTGTCTTGTTCGAAACTTAACCTTAGCTACGGTTTGTTTAAGGTTAAGCTTGAGTTTCTAACGCCGTAATAACGGGGTTGTTGACTCCACTATCCCCGTTTTTTTTTTTTTTCTTCTTTTTTAACTTTTTGAAACTTATTTTCCTTTCCGTGACACGAGTTAGGAGAGATTTCAGCGTTGTTCTTTATCCATCTAACTATATCTATATCCATATCCATTCCATTAAATCCATAACTTTTACTTGTATTGTATGATCATAAAAGAAGGTTATTTTGGTTCCATTTTCCTTTTCTCGCGCATATTCAAATTCATTTGTTAAGGGTTTTGTTTGCTACTTGTTCATTTTTAAGGAAAATGGCATGTTCCCACATACACCATCATATAGGATTTTTGGACGTACATGTAACTTTAAATTCATTTTTTTAAATATAATACATGAAAGGGATGCTGTAACAACTTCTATTATGAAGTTATTTAAGTTTGATAAAATAGTACAAATTGGAAAATTCATCAAGTTACTTTATTTATTTTTTCTTTTTTGTTGTGCTAAGATGGTGAATTCAATAGTATTTAACTACTTTGATACTTTCCTTATAAGTAAGTGGAAATCAATACAACGTGCTGTAATATTTCTTGTAACAATCGGGTATTCAATGATCCCATACATTGCCAACAACTCTATATTATCCTTCAAGATTAAGGTTCTGATTCATCACTCAATCACCACAAATTAATATAAAAGTTAATAATTTTTTATAAATTCTTTATAATTCATAAATACACCAACCCATAATCCTATTTTAAGTATATATATATTATGTTAATATACTTAATAAATATTTATTTCTTTCATAAAATGGTGTTAATTTTTGTAATTTTAAACAAATAAGTATAAAAAGTTATGAGAATTAAAACTCTAAATACAACTTGCGAACATGTGTGGCGTGGTTTAAAACCCTAACAAAAAAAAGAAAAATTTCAACAATGTATGGAACTTTCTAGCAAGACTTTTTCTTGAATGAAGAGGGTGATAATGGTTGATGAGGTTTAGGCGTAAAGAAGTGGAGTGAGATTATAATTTATGGGGATGATAATAATGACAAACCCTAGCAATTACTACTCTTTTTACATTATCTTTGTGAATAAGCAAACTCGGAGAATACAATGGAATTTGGATTCTTATATTCAACATATAGAATTTTATAGTTATTTCATACACTTTTAATTATTTTTTAAAATTAAATTATTAATCTTTCTAATGTTTCACGTTATTTTAATTTTAAAAAAATGTTTTTTATTAATTTAGAGGACTTAATTTTAAATAATAGGTAAAGTGGTAGCTTAAAAGGTTTTCAATTATAAGCACTACATATAAAACTTTCGTTGACTTTTTAGAAAATACATATAAAATAGTTTTTGATTAATAATACCATAGAAACTTTTATATCAATAGTACTTGTGTATTATATTATTTATTTATTTTGGCTGAATTTTTAAACTGTTTCATCATGAAATTGTTTAGAAACAGTTTATGATTTATTTATTCATTAATCACATAATAATTAATTTAAAAATATTTTTGTGTAAATATTTAAAGATATTTATGATTTTAAAAATTAAGAAAGTAAAAATAATATAATAGACGGTGATAAAATTCAGAAACGTGAGGTGTATCTGACAAAACCAATAAAAGTTGTTATAATTGTAATTTTATGTTTTGTTTTTGTAGCTGAGAAAAATGACAAAATTGCGTTAATATAACAGCGTCACAATCCTTCTCTGTATCGCACTTTGTTTCATTTTCCGTTTCTCTCCAAACTCCTCTCTCTCTCTCTCTCTCTCTCTCTCTCTCTCTCTCTCTCTCTCTCTTTTTCTTTCTTCTTCTGACCCAACGACAGCGTTTAGCCCACATGGTGGTGAAGATGATGCGGTGGAGGCCCTGGCCGCCTCTGGTGTCGAAGAAGTACGAGGTAAGGCTGGTGGTGAAGACCCTCACTCTCCAGGGCTGCGATCTGGTGCGGTCCGCCGCAGACAAAGGCTTGGTACTCCAGATTAAGTGGAAGGGTCCTAAACTCACGCTTAGCTCGCTGCGTCGAAACGCCGTTGCTAGGAACTTCACCAGAGAGGCGCAGCCTCAGCCTAATGACGTCGTTTTCTGGGACGAGGAGTTTCACACGCTCTGCACCCTCTCCGCCTACAAAGACAATGCCTTTCACCCCTGGGAAATCGCTTTCTCTCTCTTCAATGTCTCTCTCTCTTTCTCTTCTGCTGCAATTTTAGAATTTTAGAATAATTTTAATTTGGGGCTTTTTCATATCTCCTAAATTGACTATTTTTAAATTAAAAAAAAAACGATTTTATGTGTTAATTGGAACGGGGGTGTTTTCTTTTCCCCCTTGTTTATGTAAATTATTATTATTATTATTATTATTATTATTGTTTCTCTGAATTTGATTTTAATTGGTTTATTTTGTGTTGCAGGGTTTGAATCAGAGGTCAAAGACTAAGGTTCCTGTGGTTGGAACTGCGACTTTGAATCTGGCTGAATTTGCATCTGTGGTTGATCAAAAGGATTTTGATTTGAACATTCCCATTACAGTTTCTGGTGGTTCTGTGGAGTCTTCTCCTTCACTCAGTGTATGTCTATCATCCACGATTTTTTAGTTGGTTCTGTTCAGAGACTGTGATGATTGTTTTGGATTCGACATTGAGCCTTTGTGTTTGTTGTTTTTGTGTTTACAGTGTAGTTTTTGTTTGTCCTGTGCAGATATCGATTAGTTTGGTGGAGTTAAGAGCGGCTCAAGAGAGCACAGAGATAGTTCATAAATCAATTGTGCCCGTGCCTGTGGCTTCTTCACCCTTGGTTCAGCCTGGAGAAACTACCTTGGCTGAGAAAGATGAGCTTTCGACCTTCAAAGCTGGTCTTCGGAAAGTGAAGATTTTGACTGAGTTTGTGTCTGTTAGGAAGGCAAAGAAAGCCTGCCATGAAGAGGAGGGGAGTGAGGGCAATTTCTCTGCCAGGAGTGAGGATGGTGAATACAATTACCCTTTTGACTCTGATTCACTTGATGATTTCGAAGAGGGTGAGTCCGATGAGGTGAAGGAGGATTCTAGTGTGAGGAAGTCGTTTAGCTATGGAAAACTGGCCTATGCAAATGCTGGAGGTGCGTTTTATTCCAGCATGAGGGTGAATGGTGAGGACGAAGACTGGGTTTACTACAGCAATCACAGATCAGATGTTGGGATTTCGCGTAAAGACGATTCATCCGTGTCAGCGACCGAGCCTTCTGTGTTGCAGAGCTCGAGGCGTAGTATACTACCTTGGAGGAAGAGGAAGTTGAGTTTCAGATCTCCTAAATCTAAAGGGGAGCCATTGTTAAAGAAGGCTTATGGCGAGGAAGGTGGTGATGACATTGATTTTGATCGAAGACAGCTTAGCTCTGATGAATCCCTTTCACTCGGGGTAAGAATTTTTTGGTTTGTTGTCATTGATTTCATTATTCTATATATATTTTGGCACAAAAGAATGGAATAATAGGTTGCTGGGTGTCCTGAAAATTGATTCTCTCTGGTCTTTGTCACTACTGATTAGTTCTCGTTGACTAGTGATCTGACATTTGTATCAGACCATATATGTTTTGGAAGGAATTAGTGACATTAACATCTGAACCTTTAGGGGTGGATGCTCTTGAGAACTGTTGCTAATTGGGTTTTTAGTAATAATTTCTTCTGTATGACTGTCTTGCAGAAGACTGAGGATGATTCAGGCGCCAACCGATCATCAGTATCTGAATTTGGGGATGACAATTTTGCTGTTGGGAGTTGGGAGCAGAAAGAAGTTTTGAGCCGTGATGGCCACATGAAACTTCAGACACAGGTCTTCTTTGCCTCAATCGATCAGCGTAGTGAACGTGCAGCAGGTGAGAGTGCATGTACTGCTCTTGTTGCAGTAATAGCTGATTGGTTCCAAAACAATCATGATCTTATGCCGATAAAGTCCCAATTTGATAGTCTTATTCGTGATGGCTCCTTGGAATGGAGGAACTTATGTGAAAACCAAACCTATAGGGAGCGATTCCCTGACAAACATTTTGATCTTGAAACAGTCATTCAAGCCAAAATTCGTCCCCTTTCTGTGGTTCCTGGCAAATCCTTTATTGGATTTTTTCATCCAGAAGGAATGGATGAAGGCAGATTTGATTTTCTGCATGGGGCCATGTCTTTTGATAACATCTGGGATGAGATTAGTCGTGCTGGACAGGAGTGCACTAGTAATGACGAACCCCAGATCTATATTATTAGCTGGAACGACCATTTCTTCATCCTCAAAGTTGAAGCTGATGCTTACTGCATAATTGATACTTTGGGAGAGAGGCTTTATGAAGGATGCAATCAGGCATATATTTTGAAATTCGACAGCAACACGATAATATACAAAATGCAAGATGTTGCTCAAGGGTCAGGAGAAAAGTCATCTAATGACCTGCAAACTGTTGCAGAAGTATTAGACCAAAATGACAGGCAAATCCAGCCAATCAATGGTAAAGAGGTGGATTCTGTTGTGGAGACAGAAGAACAGTTGAAGAATGACCAGGAAGAGGAGGTTGTGTGCAGAGGGAAGGAAGCATGCAAAGAATATATCAAAAGCTTCTTGGCAGCTATCCCTATTAGAGAATTGCAAACAGATGTCAAGAAAGGTTTAATATCATCCACTCAAACACCATTTCATCATAGACTACAAATTGAGTTTCATTACACTCAGTTGTTGCCATCTTATGTTGCACCTCCCGTGGCTGAAGCATCCATGACTATGCCAGAAACTCTTGCTCTCGCAGTGGCTGAGGTTTCCGCATGATTTTACTGTATATTAAACAAAATGCGGTTATTCTAACTAGTCTTACTACGTTAAGAGTGTTTTCTGATTTTAATTAGCAGAAAGGCCATGTTTTACTACGTCTTTCTAAGGAAGAGTATCTGTAAATGACTCTGTAGTTTCCTTTCTCATGTGAGCTCAAACTTTTGGCACCTAACATGTAGTTTGCAAAAGATCTGTGAATTGCTTTTATAAACATTTTGCACTCTGATTCCAAATTTCGTAATCATTATTTACTGATAGCAATGATATTCTCAATTGTTCACTGTCCTCGAGGTTACAGAAAGGAAAATTTGATCTTGGATATTATTCCCCAACGGTTTGGTCAGAATATTTACAATAGTTTATTTAGTATTTCGTTTTAGTTTTCATGTCTAGTTAAAAATATATTTAATTTTAAAGGATTTTCAAACGCTTGACAGTGATAACTAGTTAAAATATTTGTCTTTCTCAAGTAGCTATTTTAGTTATAAAATATGTGTACGAATTACATTGGAATATACTTTTACTAGTCGGATTGAAGTGTTTTCTAGTGTAAAATAATGTCTGGGGTTAGTGGGGTTCATAGAAGCATCAAGGTTTGAACATATTAATGTAAATGTCATCCACTATAATCAATGCTTCAAATTGCTAGAAAGTCGGCGAGTTTATTAACTACACGTGTGATCTCCAATCCAAGCATAACATGTCTGCATCATGAATAGTACTACCAACGGAGGAAGAACTGTTCATCATGTGAATGACGGTTGGGGTTTTCTGTGGATCCATATCCAACAACACATCTCCATATGTCTCAATGTATTTATTTAGCACAGTTACAATGTTTGTAGCAGCAGCTGAATCAAGTCTCCAATTCATTGTATAGACATATTTTAGATTTTCAAAGATTTTAGTTAGTTTAGAATTTTAACAGAGAAAAAAATTTAGAGTGGTAAGATACATATAATCTAGTGACATTCTACTGAGACCACGCAAAACATGGGATGAGGTGTAACATGCTGATTCTGAGATCGATCTTGACGTGAGTTGGTTTTGTGGATGGCTCCAAAGTTGAAGGTGGTCGAAGGTTGGAAAAAGCAAGGTTAGAGAGTGGTCTAGAATAGAGTTAGATTGAAGTGAAGAATGGGACAAGTAAAATCCACACTTTTTCTTTTCCTTGAATGCACTCTTCCTTTCTATTTCTGGAGATGAGAAACTATGCATCGGGGTTTTTCTTTACAATATTTGATCCTTTTGTTTGCCCAAACGCTAGGAAAACTGAGGTAGAAAGTAGAATGTAATGGGAGATAGCATAGCATATTCTTCTCTTACGCTTTTGAATGTTGAAAAAGAAAAAAAGAGCCATTATTCGTTTTGTAGGTTCATTATTGTATTGTTATTTTAGTTGTAGGAGGTTTTTCATTCCCAAACAATGACTAACATAATGTGTATGAATGACTGAGATTCTGTTTGAAATGTTTGTGCACCAGTTCAGATTGTTGCATGCTTCAGATTTTTATTTAACCAATGAACTTCACGATTCCCTCTATAATAGGCATGGATTCTTCCCACCATTACTTTGAACAAAACTAGTTTATTAGTATTATTGTCAGGGATCGATAAAAAGTGCTTTCAAAGCTACTTTGACCTTTATTGTATTCAAATGCATTCAGTCTTACATGTTGTAATTGTTAGAGAATAAAAAAATTAATTCAAGTTCAATTTTAAATTGGATTACATAGGATTGATTGGATCATTGAATTATGTAAGCCCATCTTAAATATATTTTAAAATTGATCTCAGTGTTCAGGGTACCATTGCAAAATTAATGCGACATGTGTAGTTTCTTTTTCTGAATAATTTTGATTCTCAATCGAAGTGGTGATATTTTGACAACCAGAAACCATATAACCCTTTAAACAACTCACTTTTATTAATATAATAATCTATAAAATGATTGAATAAAAATAAAAATTAAAATAAAACTATTATTATAATATTAAAAAAGAGTTATTTATAGGAAAGTATCATTTTTCTTCTCAATTTGCCTCGTGTAGTTTTGTCAAACTTTGAAGTGATTATCAGAACAAAAACACGTCACTTATTCTCACTCTGTCCCAGAATAGGAAAACATAAAATCAAAATGTGCATGATGAATTAGGTCAAATATTGCATTATGCATGCTTGTTTCCAAAATGCTATTCCTAATCATGAACAACCAATTCTCTGTTTCAGAGTTTGTCACTTTGTGCCTTCACATTTCTTTATACAATGAAAAAAAAAAAGATTTTAGGTTATGTGCAACTTACAATCCTTTTAATATTGTGTTTGAAATGTATAAGCTTGAAATAAGTGTCTAAACTTCATTCTTGTTTGTTAGTAAGATTATTACACATAATAAAGAAACTATGTCCTGTAAGCAAAATCCTTTCTCAAATTTATTATACCTTAAAGTTATTTTAAATAAAAATAACTATTATTTTTATTTAATTAAAAAAAAAGATAAAATATATCAGTTAATATTTTGTTATTTAACTTTTTATTGTCAATTATAAATAATACAAAGCAGCATAATATTTCAGCTATATTTGAAACTTTATAGGGATTAGGTTGAGGGTTAGATCACAAGCGTTAGAATGAATATCCTATGTGGGCTTTATCGTGTCGGGTTTATGCTGGCCCTTGCTATATTCTTCGATTCTATTGTCTATGTCTTGATCCACTTTAATTTTTATGTGATTGGGTTCATATATAATACGAGTAGCCATAGGTTCAACTACTTGAAGTTTATTTTTTAGATTTGACTTAATCAATGAAGAACAGGAACCAAAAAAAAAAAAAGTGTTTTTATAATGCTAACATTAGAACTTTTATCAGATAAATAAGCAATTACGTTACATATGGCAACCAAAAGGCCAATTTCTAGCAGCAAATGGGGCATTTGACAAGGCCATTCTCGTTGCATTCAAGACACCTGAAGAAACGTTCCTTTTTGTTGTCACCATTGATGGTGAACATTTTGCAGCTTCCATTACAATTGTAGCAAATAACAAACCTCGTGCAGGCACAACCTTTGCAAGGACCATTGGCAAAATCTTTTGGTGTTCCTTCCAAAAGTTTTCCAAGCCAACCCTTCTCATGCAATCCTATCACTTCTTCAGCTCCTCCAATGTACCTTCCCTTGATGAAAAGCCTTGGAGGGATCACTTTGCCACCCAATATCTTCCACAATTCCTCTCTGTACTCCAAGTGTACAGAAACATCCCTCTCTTGGTATGTCATCTTGAAGCCTCTCAGCAAAAAGCGTGTAGTGTTGCAGTCTTGAAAGGTTTTTCTTATGCCTCTAATGCTTGTGGTGTAGAGAATCACTCCTTGGCTTCCACCTGGTGGATATATCTCTTTAAAATCTGTAAGAGATGGGTACTCTTCGCTGCCTGCAATTTGTTGCATACTTTTGCTAGGACTAGAAGCAACTAAGTTTTTCTCAACAAGCTCTTTCTCTTTGGACCCTATGGCGGGTCTGACTTGAAATTCCTTTGTCTTTTCCTCAGGATGCTTATCATCTTCACTTTCATTTAGGCCAATCTCTAGCTCAGGCAGGTTGTTGCCCTTGTGATCTTGATCATCATAGATTAGTGGATTGGAACATTTCTGGGTGCAGCATGCATCTTGGGGGTTGAGCTGAAGGACTAGACCTTGTTTCAAGTTGCTAATGGTTGGAACAAGTCCCAATTTTCCATGGAACCTGCTTTTGATTCCTTTCATATTTTTTCAACACTGGATGGGTATGTGGTATGAGGGAGAGGCTACCAACTTATGGGTTTAAGAAAAGATGAGTTGAGAATGATAGAACACAAGATTACTTACTGAATAGAGGACAGAGAGGCCGAGGATGAGAGTGTTCTTTAAGTTTTAAAGGGTATAAAGTGGTAACTGAAAGTTGTGCAATGTTGGGATGCTTTATTAAGTTTTGAATAATCCATGCATGGTGTGGGGCAAGGTTGACCCCTCACTCCCTTATCTGAGTGCATGACCCATTACCTAACATTTGGTGCCTCAATCATCGTCTGAACTATGAACTATGACGGATAATTTATCAGCTAAAAACAATGAAGGGGCGAAAATTCTCCACCATTGTTAACTTACTAGAAGGGGGAACTATGCTTACTAGAAAGTGTCCTTGGACCACTGATGATGCCTAGTGCGAAGGAGACAAAACAAAGGTATAAAATCATATTCTAATCAGAATTTAGTAAAACCAAACAAACAAGCTTGTAGTTTAGAATTGAATAATTCAAGTTACAAATTTATCTCCACTTTCTCCGCTGTGTTGAAGAGATTGATTCTTTAGTAATAAGCTTTGTACCAATCACCCAAACTAGGTACAAGAAACACTAGAAATTGGCTTTCCCGAGTTTCACGAAATCTCATTCTCTATTTTCACTATATTATGCAAAGCAAGTTTAAGTTTCATATAATCCTTGTAGATATATAGGTATATCATCTTGGCCAATCCAATCACTTTGAAATAAATCACACTTTTCTCTTCTTTCTGCATTACTCCAACCTAGACTAGGATTTTTGGCATAAATAAAATTCCTCATCTATAAATTTGCAAATTTTGCGTATAGTCCTTCATAAATTTTTTATTTTTATTATACCAATAATTAACTCAACATACTTCCAGCAAGTTAATCTCAACTTCGTTAATTTTTAAAATTATTTCTTTATCCCACCCACCGTGCTCCTCCTCCGTCGCCCTCTTCCTCCGCCCCTCAACTACATCTCCCCCTTCCTCACCACACCCTTCTTTTTACCCTCTCCAACTTGTTGGTTTTTATATTTTTTTCTTCTATAATATGCAGATATAAAGATATTTGTTTATATAATTATCTTGCTCCATACAACTTTTGATGTCTTTTTGAGATATTCTTCTCCAATGTCTTTAGTTTTGCACACAGATGCCATAACAAAGTTGTTTTTTAACATTTGGAAGGGTTTATTCATTGGAATGGGTAGCTCATATATATAACATTACACCATGTTGATCAACCTTCTGCACGTTGTCAGAAGATAGAAAAATAAATAAGGAAGTGCTTGTGTTTTCTAATTCCTGAAAGAAATTCAAGACATTTTACTTCAAGATCATGCTGGATTATAGAAGAGGAAATATAAGGGTACAGAGCAGTTTGTACAAATAAGTATATAGATCTGTTTCTAATCATAGGCTTAAACAACCAATGTCAATTAGATATCAGCCACAGGGGAACCAAACCCAATACTAAAACCAAATGTAATGCAAGTTAACTCATGCTTGTTTCCATCGAACATCTTCATCTTCAAAGTGTATGAACCCTGCAAAAACAAGATAATAGATTAGCGTATAACAAGATATGGGACAATTAGGCGACAAATCCCCGTGTAATTAGGCACTTCATGAAATAGTATAAATCTAATTTAAATGCTGAAAAAATGAAGGAAACAAAAAATGGCAGTGAACTTGCCAGATTGAAATCCGACCATTAAGCCTCACCAAGGGAAATATGACATGTCCACAAACATGCAGATGATATTGGCAGAAAACACACGAGTATGTGTGGTTAAGGGAAAAAAAATGACAGAACAGTGAACAAGGAATTTGTCAATACATCATTCGTGAAAATTGCAAAATTTTCCTTGTTGAAGGATCCTATTACCTTGCTGGATTAAAAGCAAGTAGCAGTTTGAAAAATAGTAGCAACATTATAAATAGACAACTCTCAACAAACACTGAAATTGTCATTTCTATATCGGTTAAAGTAGCTAGTCACATCATTCATGAGAACAATAGCAGGAAAATTCACATTAACCATCTCAAGTCCACCCTCCATCCCAATATGTGATAGAAAAAACAAAATTCAAAATTACAAAACACATAGTATACTAGTTGTATGCAGTGGTGAACCCAAATGGTTTTGAAGGTGGCAGTTGCAGCCCCATTGTTTCCTAAAATTACAACTAAATGCATTAAGTTTTTATCTTTTTACGATATATTGACCCCACTGCCAGGTGACAGAGCCATATATAGATATAAGAGTGTGTAGTAGACCCATGTTAAGAATCATCATCAGATTCAGTTGTGTTCCAACCAAGTCAGTCTCTATCTTAAGATGTCTACGTGCCATAACATGAGTGTAAGAATTTCTTTCCAAACTCCAATGACTATCGAATAAGCCCAAATCAGGAAGTAAGATATTGGACTAGCTACAAATCTGCACTTACATAGATAGATAAATAGAAAGATTCCCTCTTCCTCCTAAATACACACACATGCACAAGGAATGAACAGAACATTGACTTACAGGTGGAGTGAATCCAGGTAAAACTTGTGAATGAGCAATCACGAAATCACCAATTGAAACAGGGCAAGAAGTTTCTCCACAAAGGTCATGGGTCTCACTATGTATGTGCCATCCGAAATACGACACATCAATCACTAGCTTCCCTCCAGACAATGCTTTACCTGAGTCATGAAATGCTTGATTTAGAGGAAAGAGGGAAATTATTTATCCGCCAAAACCTCATCCATTTCTACCTGAATAGAATCAATTTCCTTCGAATTCTCAAACAATCTTACTTTCCCAAATAATGACAAGAGCCATGTGGTGAGAACAGAATAAACAAATAAATAAGTATAATAATAACAACCTTTCAGTACACATGCCCTATAAGAGACACCATACGCATGAAATGGATACATTAACAGAAATTTAAAACTAAAAAAAATAAAAATGAAAGGAAAAACAGTAACATAAAAAACATGTTAAATCACAGTACCTGTAGTTGCAGCAATGCTGAATGTAGCAGGCTGGCCTCTTGCGATGGGATCAGGAGATATTTCAACCCCATTGACCTCAACATCATAGTCGGCTTTCTTGTCTGACATAGCAATAGTTTATTCAAAAACGGATAAAACAGCAAAAGCAGTAATAGAATGCAACAAAACATCTCTAAATAATTAAATTACAAGACTAATCAAGGAGAAGAATCCTTCGAAACTAAAAGACAACTTCAAGTAATTATTCAATACGTTAACTCAACTCGGGAGAACTGATTATTCAATTAAACGCAAATTATTATATACATAAAAATCTCCTCAACGGTAAATTTCCCATTGGAATAAAATTGATGTCAAGAAACAAATAAAAACAAAATATTGAGGCATGATCCAGTACAATACAGATCCGTACAGAGAAACCCAATTGTTTAATAAACCATATTTGAGGGAAAGACTAAAACTTTAAAACCACCCTTCAAACCCGAAATCAATAAAAAAATTCAGTTCAAGAATATAGTGCTAAGGTTTAAAAAATCCGCCACCGTAATTTTGGGCGTTTCTGCAACCACAACTCCAGTAACAGGCCTTATTTCTCGACGATCTTCCACAACATCAAGAATTACAATGTAAATGCTACTGCAACTACAAGAGATCATATGTTTGCGGAAAAAAAAAAAAAAAAAACAGAAGAGAGGGTTAGGGAATTAACCGCAGTAGTGAATATCGGTGGCGTTGGTAAATGCATAGAGAAGACAGAGAGTTGAAAAGAAGAAGAACTTGGAAGTCATCATTTTGATGGAGAATTGGCAGCTCAAGAAGTGTGGTTGGAAATAGCTTATGCAGCTTTGCTTCCGCAGGTGAACTTCTCAAGAATCTCCTCTCCCCACCTTTTATACGAAATAGATTCTGTTTTCTTTGTTTAATTTTCGCTGGTGACCCTTAATCATAACAATATTAACATATTTTTAGACAAATGCCAAGTTTTCTCACCATGTTTTTGACGATTTATACATGTTACAGGCTTACAACAAAATATACTCTCCAAGTTTTATGAAATTATATAAATATTTTAACTTTTTTTAGAGGGGGACTTTAATTTTTTTTTAATTTTATTTTAAGGGGTTTAATGTCATGTAAAGAGTATTCTAGTTTAAATATATTTCCCGTCTTTCTAATATTTATATTTTATTTTTATAATATAAAATTTCATTATTTTAGTTATTATAATCAAATTATTGTCAATGATAACTAATGTCATATTTGATCCCATAATTATTTAAAAAGAAAGATTTTCATCCTTTAAATCAAAACACGAAATTTTGGATACAATTTTTTTATTAACCAGACATTTAAAAACAAAAATATCATATATATATATATATATATATATATATATATATATATATATATATATATATATATATTATTTATCATCTACCATGATGATTTTTTTGTCATAATCATTACTATATATTATTAAAAAAATAATTTTAGAAATGTAATATAATTATTATTATTTACAAAAATAAATATATTATATAAAATATTGAATAATATGGTGAAATTATTAATTGAATTCAAATTTTATGAAGTAAAATTTTATTTTATGATCTATATTTTTTATTAAAAAATAAGTTTATAATTTTTTAGATATTTTTAAAATTTTATCTGGATATTTTAAAATTTTAACATTAAAATAAAATATCATAAAATATTAAAATAAATATTTAATAATAAATAAATAAATAAAAATTATATCAGTATTTTATATTTTTATATTATATTACACATATTAATTTATTATGATAATAAATAAAGTTAAAGAAATAATTACTTTTTTTTATTTTAAAAAAATTATTATTAAATATCTTCTTTTTTTAACTTCTTGTCATTTTTAAAAAATAAAAAATTACAATTATGTTATAAAAATAAAATTTGAAGAAATAAAAATTTGAAAATTAAAGAGAAAAACTTATAAGTTTTATTTTGAGGTAAAACTATGAAGAAGGAAAATATGAGAGTGAATGAATAATAGAGAAAAAAAAGAGGATAAAAATGTAAAAAAAAAATGAATATGTGATAAAAAAAAGTTAAAATCGAGAAAATGAAAAAAAAAATAAAAGAAAAAAATAAGTGAGAAATTTTATAAAATATTTATTATTAATTATATAATCATGCATGTTGTCATAATTGAAAACAAGCATGCTACAATATAAAACATAAATATAAAATTTGTTTATTTTAAATAAATTTTTAAGTTATTATTATATATATATATATATTTATATATTTTTTTATTATTGTCTTTTCTCATCTATTATTACTAGCATTTTAGTAATCCGTGGAATAATAATATATTGAAAAATAAAGAAAAATCTTATTGAAATTGTTGCATCGGAGTATCAAATCTTTTTGTCGTCTTAATTGAAAGAATAAAATTTGAAATTTTGTGAAACAACTCATCATAACATTAAAAGAGTGAAAGCAATTTTTACAAAACATATGAAAATAAGGAAAATTGAAATGTTAGTTTATAGTTTGAATGCTAAAGGAAAGTCAATGGATTTGAAAATTAAGAAAAAAAAACCTTTTTTTTTACATAATTAGTTTCAAATTTAAAAGAAAATAAATTAAGACCTGAAATTAAATTAGTACACAAAGTAATCTTAATTCAAAAGATAAAAAAAGCCAAAGAATACTTTGGAACAATTTTGATCTAAAATTGTGGATAATTAAATGGGAAATAAATAATATTTGTGATAAACCATAAAGTAACAACATAGAATATTAGTTATAACAAATTTTTTACCAGTGAAATCCCTCTTAAATTTAAAGGATAACTAATTAAACCTAGTTCATATTAAGTAAATTAGTGTAAAACAAGTAATTTATTATTCGTGCTTTATTTATAGTTCTTTAAATAAAATTTTATTTTTACACCAACACACTGTTTAACCTTCCCATTCTAGTATTTTATTTTTTTATTTAAACTATTTAATAATTTATTAACTGCAGAAATATATTTACTATTTATATTGAAAAGTAGTTTGACTTTACCTACCAAATTGAATTCATTATTTTCAATATATTTCTAAATATAAAGGCTTTGTTAGAACATTTTTTTCTTATACCTTTCCTGAACAGAGGTATATTGATAAATATATTTGTATTCATGAAATTAAAAAAAATCTTATCTATGTATGAACATTTGATAAAAAAAAAACCATAAGGTATTTTAAATTTTATTTCAATAGTAGCGGTAATATTAAATGGTTTAACTGATAGTTATATTTTATGACATTATTCGTAATTATTTTTTTTAACCAATAAGAATGACTCATATTGTTTTTAGTCCAATAAATGCATCTACGAAACAATTATATTTCTCATTCTTCTTATACGCATGTGAATTTCTTTCGAGAAAAATATTGTTTTTTCTTTCTTAGACACGTAGTATATTTTAAAAAGATAAATATTTTTTAAAACAATTTCAAAAATATATTTTTTAACAATTATTTAAAATATATTTTCGAAAAAAAATTGGAAATATAAATTTAATAACTATGCAAAATTTGAATAATGATTTTATCTATTAAATATTTATGAAAGGACCATTCATAAATATTGGTTAAATTATCTTTCATTTTGAATTTAATCCAAACCTTTTTATATATATAGTTCCATTTTATTTATTGTTGAAATTAAGATAATATATATATATATTAATTTTAAGAAAATACAAAGTAAAATCCTCAGGGTGACCCCTGTTTATAAAGTCAAATGTAGGAAAAGCATTTTTGGCATGTAGTGAATACTTACCTTTTACATTCCTTAATTAATTATTAAAAAAAATAGAGTTTAAAAGAAGTGATATGAGACTGAGAGGGTAATTGAAAAGTGCATGGAGAAAATTGATGTGGAGGGTATAAATGTATTTGTCTGAAATGCTGAATAAGGAAGGTGAAATGAGATTCCCATTCTTAATCCAGGCACCACTTTAATGCATTCAAAGCAGAGGTTTTTTCTCTGCTTTGCCAAACCAGACTCTGAGTATTCCTATAAATTCAACCCAAACAAACCTTTTTCTCTCAGACATCTCATATTTATATTTGAAACAAGATATGGATTCAAGAAACATGTCAAAGAAGAACGTGGTGAGTAAGAAGACCAAGGGTCGACAGAAGATTGAGATAAAAAGGATGAGCAACGAGCATAACCTTCGGGTGACATTCTCCAAGCGTCGAACTGGGATTTTCAAGAAGGCCAGTGAGCTTGCCACCCTCTGTGGAGTGGACATCGCTGTCATCATGTTTTCTCCAAGTAACCAGGTCTTCTCCTTCGGCAGCCCCAATGTGGATCCTGTCATCCAACGCTACACGGCGCAGGGCCCTCCTCCCCTCCTCACTCTCGACCTCAACGAGGCTCACACCACCGTCGATGAGGGTGAGCTCCATGCGCAACTCAACAACCTCTCTGACCAGATGGCGGCGGAGAAGAAGCACGCGGAGTGTCTCAAACGTTTGATGAAGGACGTCGAGGACCACTCTTGGTGGGCCATGCCCCTGGAAACCATGACTGATGCTCAACTCGAGAAGTACAAGAAGATGTTGGAGGATCTCAAAGCCCGTGTCAATGAAAAACGTGAGAAACTCCTGCTTGAGAGCACCTTTACTTATAACTCACAAGCTCAGCTTTTTACAGGCGCAAACTCCTTCTCCAGTGTTAATAACACTGACACCATGCATCCGCCATTGTCCTTGTAGACTCGCGTTTCTGCCACCACCAATTTCACAACATGCATGGAGAAAGACCTTCTTAGATGATGCCCTGTTTAAATTCTTAGTATCTGTTGTTCAACTTTTCAATAGTTACCTAGGGTTCTAGTTTTCATTATCTTCAGTCGTATTCTTCACTATCTTCTTTATGTTTTTTTTTTTTTTTTTCCTGTGACCGGAAACTGTAATAGTGCATCCTGTAGTTTCTGCGTGTTTTTGTTATTTGAATGAAAAGGGCATCTTACTGATACGATGATAACCGCATGAACATCTCAATTTATTATTATAAAAATTATAAATAAAATTTATATAATTAAAAAAAATAAAATAATTATTATATTATTAAATAAAGTTATTAGATAGATGTTTGTTAAGAAATTTAAGAGGTAATAATAATAATATATATAGAGAATTATATAAAATAAATATCTCTATATATATGGTAAGAAGATAGATTATGTCTCTATTTTTACAAAGGACAAAAATATTCAACTAGATGGGATTACATATTTCAAATAATTTTGATTAAAACGTATAAAATTTAAGTAATTCTCATTAATTTATTAAATTTTTTAATATTTTTTAAAATATTAAAATTATATTTTTGATTTAGTTTATTTTTTATATTCTGATTTCTGAGTAAAAATATTACAACTGTCATTATCACGTCAGGGTATTGCGTAAATGGTTTGAAATTTAATGTCACCATAATTTTAATCCATTATTTTTAACCAAAAGCTTGTTAAAAAAAACTTTATAATAATTATAATAGAATTAGTTAATTTAATTTTATAATTATTTTACTCATTTTACGATACAATAGATAAAATTAACTGAATGATTATTAATATGTTTATATGTTTTCTTTCTTTTATTTTGATTATATTTTTTTATTGTAATTATATTTCTTAATAAAAAATCATTTACTAAAATTAGTTTATACACAATTTTTTTAAAAAAATTAAAAACTATTTAAAAATTAATTTAAATTAATAAAATAATTTATTATTTCTCTTCTTATTTTTACCTTCTAAATATACTTACAGATAAATTTGAGCGAACAAATATTATATAGTTTTTCATATTTTCAGTTCTCTCTCTTTATATTTCTATCTTTCTTTCAATCTACATCAATTTTTAAATTAGCATGCATATCTAAAAATTAGTTTGGGAAGAAAATATTTAACTGTTTTTCCTTGACCTTTTTCTAATAAAACTTATTTTAATAATTTATTAATTACTAAGAAATATTTATTATATTTATATTTAAAAGTTAGTTTGACCCTAAATAGAAATATAAATTCTTTTACAGCATATTTTTTTTTCTTATTCCTTTTATGGTAAAAAATATATATATAGAAACCTAGTTTATTTGAACACTTAATATGAAGTAATTATGCTGGCATACTCACATTTTTCTAATCTATATTTTTATAATTTAATAAAAAGAGAGAGAGAATTTTAAATTATTAGGTTTTATTAGGGTGAGAAAATAGTTGCACATATCCACAACATTAAATGGCTTAAGTAATAATTATATTTAATAACCCTATTCATAATTTAATAAATTATTTTTCAACAAAAAAAAATAATTTTTATAGTTAACAGTCCAATAAAAACTACTTTCAAAAGAAACTGGTGAATATCCAATCAGAAATCTCCAGAAGAAGTTAATTATAAAAAAAATATATAAAATATTTAAAACTGCTACAAACTTCATTGGAAGCATAAAGTCAAATGCAGGAAAAACATTTTTGGCATATATTAAATATTTACCACTTGCATTTCTTAATTAATTGTCAAAAAAAGTTTTTCAAACAAATTATGAATTTGAAAAGTACATGGAAAAATAATTCACCTAAAATATAAATATATTTATCTCAAACGATGAATATGGAAGGTGAAATGAGATTCTCATTCTTAATCTTGGAACCAATTTAATGCATTCAAAAAGCTCTTTTGGTTTGCCAAACCAGATTTTGAATGTTCCTATAAAATGAACCCAAACATTCCTTTAATACATCTCATATTCACATTTCATATTTCATATCATATAAATTTAACAATACGAATCATCAAATTAAGATATTTAAGAATTTTTTGAAATAATTTGTGATTTTTATTATTTAAATTTTAATCTAATTAAAATTATATAGTTATTGTGTAATAATTAAGTCACTTCTTTTTTGTAATTACCAAAAGGAAATAATAAATATAGTACGAAAGAACAAAAGATGAAATGCACAAGAATTAATCGCCTTTCTAGGTTTTAGTTGATCACGCAAGAGGACTTTAATTTTAGAAGTATAATGGTACAAATTAATTAAACTAATACTATTTTTGGTATCTACTGTAAATTTTGCGTAATCAAAACATTTTTATTTAATTAATGAGATAAAATATTGATAGAGCTTAGGGCCACGTCAACATCTAACAATACTCACAAGTCATATACATATACATTATTATTACACCTCATAATTCATGTCATTTAAGTTACAATATAAAAGATCTTCTAAAACAATCATATAATTAAGGTAAAGATAAACTTAAAGTACATTAATATGCCATAATTTAAAAAAAGATAAAATTCTACGCCTTTGACATATTTGAGTTCAAAATTCAAAGAATGTCCCCTCTTATTGGTCAAGCAACTTTTCTTTGCACAAAGTTAACATCAATCTTTAACATTGAAAGAGACTAATATTTCTTCTCTCTTCAAAAATAATGCTGCACTTTAACATTTTAAATTATTAGGAATTCTTTCCTCAATATTTATCTCACTTGAAAGATACGAAGATATAACTTTTATGTTGATATTAAAATCAAGTTTGATTATATAATGTGCCTATAAAAACATGAAATCATTATTTTAGTACTTGAACACTAAATTTGTCATATATTTCTTTTTAGGGGAAACCAAATCCATCAGTAATAACTAAATTCAAAACTACATTTCATATGAAGATGCCTACGCCTAATTCATGTGCATGAGCATGATTAAAAAGCATAGACTTGTCTAAAAGACATAAACTTATTTACTTTCACCATAACGGTTGTAAGAAGGACAAAACTTACATATGCAGCTCCTTAGATGTTTTTGACACTACTATTTGGTTAGAATTAGAGTTACACTTATCTATGTTCACATTCAATGTAAACTTGTATAAATCATAGCAAAATCTCTTATAAAAGTACATCAATATTTTGTTCCAAAAAACATATTATGAGTACTCTGCTAGGTTCTCAAGCTTGCAGAGGAGGAAGAAACGAAGCATTAATTTCCACGAGTTTCTAGCTTGTACTCATGATGAACCAATATTTGTCAATTTTCAACCTTTTTTTCTTTCTTTTGGACAAAGGGTAGTACAAGAGAAGAATTTACAATATAGAATAAATCAATAAAAGTACTTTATATGAAATTTTGATAATCCTTAAACTTGGTGTGCTAGTACTACAGCAATGAAAAAACATTTCAAACTATGAATTAATCTCGCCTTGTTGCTAATGGGACAACTTCTGCCAGAGGTGTTGAGAGAGGTGTTGGTATAGGGGATGTTCTGCAGAGAGGACAAGTAGGATGCAGCCTCAGCCATGGGTCTATGCACTTTAGGTGAAAGACATGATCACAATCGGGCAATACCCTTAGTAAATCAGAACTTTTGTAATCTCCCAGACATATGGAACAGCTCGTTGCTGTGGAATCTGACTTGCTTAGCTTGGCTTCAGAGTACAGCATCTTGGGGTAGTTCATGATTGTGGCTTCATCTAGCCCAACATCGACTACTGTGTGCTGTGACTCAAGGAATCTTGGGCCGGTGGTAGTTCTTCTCCTTGGAGCAGTTGGCACCTGTCCCCTGGTGCAGAAGTAGGAAGTGAGTGTGATGGTTGTGATAAGAAGAAGAATCCCAATTGAAATTCCTATGCCCATGCCAAAGCCACTTACGTTGCTGGAGCCAAGGAACCCAGATGAATCAGTTGTGTTGTTCATCTTGTTGATGATGATGATGAAATCATGCAAAAGGGCTTCCTAGAAGATGGTTTTGAGTTCAAGGGGGTTAAGAAAAGTGTTTATGTTAACCATGGTGATGGATGAGATCGACTTGGAATGAAAGAAGTGTTGGTGATTTGGCTGCTGCAAGATTTCATGTTACAAAGTCAACGAAAAACGAGAGAGAGAGAGAGAGAGAGAGATGAAGGAGGCTAAGAAATTAAGGGTTGCGTTTGAATCAAGGAAAGACATGTATTTTAGGAATAAGTAAAGAAAACCAACGAAGCACTGCATGTGAATACATTCCACTTTCTCAACGTTAGATTATGTTTACATGTTCAGTGGTTTGTGCAGGTCAACGATCCTTTATGTCACTATTTCCATGTATATCCGCGATTCATTTGAATTCCACAACTATCTTTTAAAGATGATTCCATTAGAAAAACTTATCTGTCAGTGGTCAATCGTTGAGAATGGCCACGTTCCATGCATTACTAGGAAAGTTGTGAATGACGTTTTATTATTTTTTGGCTCATCATTTTGTAGATCAAATGTCATGCTTTGACTGCACTTTTGATCCTTATATTGTTATTTTGTGAATTTCACCTTCTACTTTTTTAAATTTTATGAAAATGTTAAAGTACTCAAGAAGCAAGATTGATTTATCTTCTCCTGTAACGTGTTTGAACTTCGTAATATTCTCAACTCACTCATAATTCTCAGCAAAAAAAAATTAATTTCAAGACGAGATTCGATTATATCATAATAGTTTATAATTAAAAAAATAATTTTTTGGATGCACCTGTTCTAGTTAAAGTCATCACCAACCACACTAATACTGTAATATTTTTTGTTTTATAATAAAATTCTTTAAGGTTAGAAAAGTCAAACTACGTAGAGTAAACAAAATTATGTATGGATCAGCCTTGTATTTAAATTAATTAAAATTTTAAAATTTATTAATAATTTAAGGTAGTGAGATGACCGGATGTAGAAGTTAAAACAAAAATTGTATAATTATAATTTTTTTTACAAAAATATAATGAGAGTAGATTTTGATTATAATTTATAAAATATATGCATATTTATTGTAGTTTTTAATCTAAGTAAACATGTACGTTTTCTCATCATTTAATCCTTTAAATAACATTTAAAATCACAGCTGTCAAACTGGACCAGTTTGACTATCAATTGGATTATTTTAATAAAATATCATTAATTTTTTAATATTAAAAATATTTATTTATAAAAATAAAATGTAAACTTTATTTTAACATGTCACAATAAAAAAAGAAGTAAATATGAAAATAAATAAATTTAATATATCATATCTAATTTCAGAAACGACAATGATGTTTGTTCAGAGGAATAATTTTCATTAACATAAAGTGGTCACATAAGATGTGCATATTGTTTAATGGCATTGTTTTCATCATTTAACTAAATTAAAGGACAAGAACTTGAACTCCATGTATATTAAGAAAATTCAAAATATCACACATTCATAAGTTCCAATGATTTAATGCTTTCATAGTGCATGAAGGGTTACTCAAAAACAATAAACCAAAAGTACAGGTTGTTTTTTGCAATAACATGGGATACAAAAATAAGATATAGTGGTGCAGGAAGAAAAAAGAGCCCTTAAAAAAAACAAAAAAATCCAATCCTTCACATCCAGCCAAGGTTATATGCAGGTCCAGCCCAACAACAGCAAGTTTGTTACAATTTGTATCTATTAATTAATTAGTAAAATTTTAGTCAACATAATTAAATTTTATCATCATTAATTCAACTTGATAAATTTCTCATGAAATATTGATTATTTAATTTTTAAAATAACAATAGAAAAAATTAATAAATTTTGAAATCACTGGGATCAAATATATATAATTTTAAAATAATCCAAATTACACTAATATAAGTATATTTAAACCTAATTCTTATTTAAATAATGATTAAAAATAAGTTTAACTCCTACTGTGGAAGTATTCCAGTAAACGCGTAAACGACGCTCGTTGGTAGTACTTTTCAGAATTCGTTCCAAGAGAACAAAGTCGTTTAACTCGTAAACGACATTAGTTGTTCAACCGGATGAACGGCAGAAGTTAACGTGAGGAAGTCGAACTTCGCACTTCACCGCAGGTCGCGACTCCTGTGGTTGGGGAAAACTTCTAGAATATTCTTCCATGGATTTTATCAGAGGACTAGCGGCGGCGATCGTGGTGGCGGTGCTCGTGGCGACTTTGCCGGCGGAAGCCGGCGACGAAAACCGAGTATTCTCTCCGTGCTCGGACACGCAGGTGCAGAGATCCGACGGATTCTCGTTCGGAATTGCGTTCGCACCCAAGGAAAAGTTCTTCTACAACAACAACAGCAGTGTTCAGTTGTCACCATGCGATACAAGACTCTCGCTCTCCAATTCGAATTCTCAGATCTCTGTGTTCAGACCCAAGGTCGACGAGATCTCGCTCCTCACTGTCAACTCGTCATCGTTCACTGCGGTTCGTTCTCAGTTCCTCTATTTCGTTTTCTTAATTTTGATTTTGGAGAATGATGTAGTTTCTGTCGTTGGCGATCGAAGTAACCGAAGTCAATTTTTTTTTTTTTTTGTTTAATCCATGATTTGATTAATTGGTTTGTTTTTGAATTCTTTTTTGCCTCCCAAAATCTAGCATTGAACTATGATAATTTGTTTTGGAATGCCAATTGACTGGAAAATATTCACGAAACCCTAATTTTAGCTGGACTTTAGTTACAATGTAATTCATGTGGTGCTTTACTCATAGTTGCTGAAACCTTGGTGCGTGTGAATTGAAATCTTTTATTTTTGCGTGAGATGTTTTGTTTATGTCTAAATTCAAGCTATGCTTCTTTGAGTAACTGGGAAAATGGGTATTTGGAAGGAAGCTTACTTTCTCCTCCTGTTCCTAGAACATGAAAATATGGACGGTTTAAAGTGGTCGACTGCAACTCATATGTAATACAAATTGGCCACTCGTATGCTATGAAAGTTAGTTCAAATTGATTTTTAGTGAAATGTGAGATCGAAACCTCTGTCTCGCTCCATTTTCAATTCTCTTTCTATTTTCCACTTTCGTATTTTCTACTTACTCAAACATTTGTTGCCTTAGTTTTAAAGCAAAATTCAAATTTGCTTGGCTCCCTAGTCGAGCCTGATTAGTTCCTGCTCTGTCCAAAATGAATGAGGCTATGAGTTTGGACAAGATCACTAACCAGTCCAAATTGATCGATGATTTGACCAAACTGATTCTTTAGTCATCCGAACTGGTTGATTCATCAGGCTGAGACTTAAGAGTGGCCAAAACACTTAAGCAACAGTTGAGATACCTATGAAGACCCTTCAAAGTTCAAATCACTAATAATCTATGAAGCCCCAACTCCAAGACAGACATTGGAACGCAGTACCTGGAAAGACACTTCAAAATTCAAGTCACTAATAATAATCCACTGAAGTGACAAGATGAAGTAAATGTGTATTTTCATGATGGTGGTAGTACGTATTGGTGTTAGCTCTTGGCTAGAATCCTTAGCAAAAGGTCAAAGGCCCCTAATGGGCAATTATATGCTACTGCGCTGTGTATCTACAATAAACTGATGTCCCAGTTTTGACCATGGTTAGAATATCCTGGAGTTGTTTGGGCTTCATGCAGATGTAACACAGGTTGGGCTTAAGTTAAAGAAAGGCCAGTTCGAAATAGTTCCTAACCCTTGACCTGTGTGGATTGATTTCATCATCTGTTTGGTTAACTTTTGTTTTGTGTCTTTGTTGATGAATTTTTGTTTGATTGTTCTGGCTCTGTTAATCGTTTTCCTTGTGCAGGACACGTACGGCTATATGGTTGCTTTTGCTGGCCGAAAATATGCAGCAAGGTCTCCTCCCGCTTTTGTTGCAAACGGAACATATACTGTTACCAGTTTTACTCTTGTAAGTAGAGGTTTTTCTTTGGAAGTAGTGTTTTGATATTTGTGGTCATAATCATAATCTATACTAAGAACCAACCGAACCTGGTTCTGCAGATCCTTGAGTTTAAGAAGGGCAGACTCCAAAATTTATATTGGAATCGAGATGGGTGTGCTAAATGCTCGAGTAATTCGAAAGCTGTCTGTCTCAATAATCAGGATTGCGCACTGCAAACATCCAGTTGCAAGAGCCACGGAGGAACTGTGGATTGTAGCATAGGTATACAATTGGCATTCTCTGGCACAGATAAGCACCTTGCAGTTCTCAACTCTTGGTATGAAGTGAAAAACCTTCGCCAATATTCACTGTATGGCCTTTATTCAAATCTGAGAGATTCCCTCACTAGCCAGTATGATAAGTTTTTCTAATTCCCTTTAGTACTTTTGTTAATTTTGTCTTGTGCCAAACTGTTGTGATTTTCTCGTGCTAGTACTTTATCCACATCCCAACAACCCTTCTCTTTTCAATATATTTGTGAGAACCTAGAACGATGGCGTGTATATTTGTATACGAAAGTTTTTTTTATTATGCTGGAAGGAGTACAATACATGTGAATTTGTCGTTGACTGAAGTGAACTGTGTTAGAACTGGAGATGCCAAATAGTGTGATTGAGCGATGCATGATTGCATTGAATGTTGGAGGAAGGGAGGATTGATTGAATTAGGAGATAAAGCAATGTTAATGTTTTTAAGAATTTAACGTGTATCAAGCATCATATATTATTGAGCTGAAATTTGAATAATGAGTAGTGTGAGAGATGTGTGATAAACTGATACATGTACATTATTTTGCTAGTGGGCAGCACACATGTGTTATTCTGAGGTTCAGTTAGCTATTGCCCAATGGCATGGGTTAAATGATGAATTATTTAAAGGATCTTTTATTGAGCCGCTTAAGGTCATTAATTAAGGAATATTTAATGTTTTTAGTTATTTAAAGGATTTTATTGACAAGTGTCCTAAAGAATATAAAGTTTTATTGAAAATCACAGTGGGGTGCCTTGGTATGTATATTATTTCTACATTAAAAAGTTGATATTATCAGTCAAACTATTTTAGAATGAAAAGAGAGGACTAAATAGGGTGTGGGGAGGGTTATAGATAAAAGTCAAGCTGTTGTTGGAGAACATAGAATCTGTGGGAAGAAGGTTCGTCCTTATCCATCAAAAAGACAAGGTTTGGTATAAATAAATGAAAGTAAAATCGTTTATGTGGAAGGGAGGGAGCGTGTAGATAAAACTAAGGTTTCAACTGGTATCAGAATAAAACTAAATATAAAGGTGTAGATAAAACAATTCTATTCAATTTGAATAAAGTGTTTATAGATATCTCATGGTAAATAAATTGAATCTTAAGTGTTGTTCTGAAAAATGTGCAATGATTGATCAAAGAAAAATGAAAGTTATAAGCAGGGTTCAAGATAACAAATTCATTAATACTTATAAATAGTTGCAATAGATAATTTAAATAAATTTATTAACAATTATAATTTCTTCTATCTCACATGTTACTTCATTTTTTTTCATCGGTCTACTGAGGAAGTAAGATAGATTTTAAAAGTGGAGAGGGTCAAACATTAGTTAATGTAGAAAGTGAGTTTTATGCTAACATTTTATATATTAAACTTTCTTAATTCAAACCTCTGATTATTTGACATTCACCAAACACACCAAATTTTGAACAAATCAAACATTTGCACTAATAAAATATTAAATACATTTTAAAGTTTTATAAAAATTTGCATGCATATAACTTATATTCAATGAGAACTTTTAATTTGACACTGGAATAATAAAATTTATTGCACACAAAGAATTATAGAAGAAAATAACTTCCCCTTTTTCTTATATATATTTTTCATAATATATGATTATCCATTATATTTTCTATGCTATATAAATTTTACCAACGAAAATTAAATCTTTAACAAATAATTGATATTATATTAAGGGATCACATTCAAGTAATTCGTCTCAAGTATTTTTCATTTTTTTTAAAAGGGAAATAAACAAATCATATGTGACAAAACTAAAAAGAGCACAACACATAGCAAACACATGAATTACATGTTTTAATATTCTAATCCCACCAAGTAATTAATCCTATAAAAGAAGATAAGAATGATATTATATTTGCTAAATAATTATTATTAGTATCATATAACATCAATTATTATATGGAGTTGATGAACACAATGACGTAACTCTCCACTAATATCTTTTGGTGGTCATCACAATAATAAAATGAGGTCATTAAGTTAATTATAAGGGAAGAAGATTCTAAAACATAATTTTAAAACCCTGGCAAGATTCTAAAGGAGAATTCTTTAACACAACTTATCAACCAAACAAATCACTCTTCACAATTCAGAATATTCACTTTGTATCAGTTCTTTTTTTTTTAATTTTACAATTCTTATTATGCTACATAAATTTATCATTTAAACTTACTTTTTAAAATACATTCTGACACATTAATTCTTGTTACTTACTTGTGGTAAATAGTCAAAGAATGAAATAATATAAAATTATATATATATATATATATATAACAATAAAAATAAGATATGTTTAAAACGATTAAAAAAATTTGTGTATCTCGTTACATAATATATAATAAATAAATGCATTTACATGACTTAAATGAGTTATTTATTTTAATTTTACAAATCTTACCTTGTCCCAACATGTTATTTATATTTAAATATTACACAACAATTATTTTAAGATTAAATTGAGTGTTTAACATGCATACTTATTTTTAAGCAATGTTCTTCATATAACATGCTTTTGTATTATCACACTATTTTTTTATGATAAATTTTATTAAATAACGATATTACTTGTCTCCAAACATCCTTTGTAAATCCTACATTGAAGATAACCTAAATAATAACAAATATTGATGTAAAAGATTTAAATATTGAATATCTATTCAATAAATAATATTGTTTTGGTAAATGCATGATTAGTTTATGTTGTAAAAAAATATTATTATATGAAATTTTTTTTAGTGAAGTCAAATAAATATTTTGTATATAAAGTGTTTTCTATTGTAAATAAATTTTTAAAGATTTATAATTGTTAATAAACTTTATGTTATTATTGAACTTAAATATTATTTACTTTTATTATTGAACTGAAATTTAAATTTAAATTTTATAAATCTATATGTATCATGTTTTTTATTAATATTATTATATATATATATTATTACGTTTAAAAATGTAAATAATAATATTTTATTAAAACTGGTTGAATTCTGAGTAATCCTCCAACTAAATATCTGAACTTTAAACAAATTTAGTGACAATTTGATTATAAATTTATTTCCTATTCTTACCAAGTAAGTAATTAATCCAATTATTAAACCTTAATATTTACATATAATTCACTAATAAGATTCTTCCATTCACAATTTAATTCAAACCCACCTTAACATTTGAATAAACCAAATTAGTCACATTCCGGTGTACTTTTATAGATTTCTTAATTTTCAAAATAAGTTATTTATTTGATAAAAATAAATAATTTTTTTTATCATTTTGATAACTTTATTTATTAAATAAATTAAGTAAATTTTTATTCTATTAAGTAAATTCAAAAAGAAGGACAAAAACTTTCTCTACTTTTGTTTTCAAGTTTCAATCCAAAAAGTAATACCTGCTATTTGAAGTCAGGACAAACGATGAAAACAAACAATAAAAAAATGACATATATTATTTAACCTATAGTTATAAAAAAATTAAATAATAATATAAAAATTAATAAATTTGACCAACATTAACATTATGATATATCAAACTAATAAATCATTTATTGTTGTAGATAATTAATATATAATATAATGTTCTTTATAGAACTATATTGAACTCTACATAACTGAATAATTTCATAAAAATGAATTACACTGTTTTTATTTGAACTTCTTGACTTGTTTAGTATTTTTTATAATTAATAAAATATGCATTGGTTAATTAGATAACTAAGATAGAAAATTGATTAATATTATTAAAGTATCATTGTATTTTTTTTCACATCTCAAATCAATATGGTAAAAAACTTAATACAACATTTTTGGTATTGTTAGTAATTTCAAGTTATCAAAAGGATCATATTTTAATCTTATTGTAGTGGAGAAAATTTATTATGTGGGGGTGAAGTTGTCGATATGGACCTACTATGACATTTTGTAGAATCTGAATATGACTAAATTTCCTTTGCATGGGTCCGCATAGGATTCTGTTCTTTTATAATTATAGAAAAAAAGAAAATAACCTTTCCCCCTCAGAAAGAAACACATTCAAGAGTATAAAAGATTATAAGCTTCCACTCTTCTATACCTAGATCAACAGGTACACTGTTAACACATTAATTAACACAAATATCGTATTATATAAAAAAAATGTCTGATTTTTTGTGATTAATATAGCATTTAAGTTCATAAAATTTGCTTAGTTTTTGAACTTTATTAGAAGTACCAAGTTAATACGTGTGAAGAAAAGAAGAAGAAGAAAGAAACAGAGAATTAAGATATCATACTTATCTATTTGGATCACAAGGAATCCACAAAATAACTATGATAATTAACGAGACCACACAATACCGAACACGTTGATGAAAGAAGCTGAACGATATCAATACTTATCCGTTGATCAGCAAAACAATTATAATGATTAAACAGACACAGTAAAAGAAAACTAATTCAAGACCACAATGGCATCTTAGGAAGAGAAAAAAACATGACAACCTCAACTCATTGATATTAACGTGTGGTCCTTTTCTCTCCTTTTGTCTTTCTCTCTTTTTCTCCTCTGTCATACTTTGCTTTTTCTTTCTTGTATTAGTTAGCGGTAAATTAAGTATCTTTGTAACATAGGAAAATAATTATTCTTTCTCTTTTAGTTAGTGGAAACAAATTAATAAAAACTTTTTTTTTTTTTAAAAAGGTAAAGTGTCATGAAAAAAAGAGACATGTGATGCAACAAAGGAGTTGCTATAAGTGAAATTGACTTATTAGAGACAGAAAAATGTTGTATTGATGAAGATAATTAAGATAATGAATCTGAACAGAATCTAATTGAATTCCATTAATAGCTCTTTGCAGAGCCAAGGCTTACAATAATTAGTCTGTTAATATATTTAAATAAAAAAAGTCTGATGATGGACGGCTAGAAAACAGCCCAATCTCAAAGCATGAAGACGTTTAGGCACAGTGTGGTTACTGTAGGACAAAGAGCTAAAATTGACTTGTGATCAATTTTTGTTAAAGATTTTAAAAAAATGGTCCAGTTGGCTACTGTACCAACTGCTAGAATGATTCTGCATGAATGTGACATTACTAGTTAACAAGTATGCACCAGCTTCAAGGTTTCACATCCTAAAAAAATGACCTTAACTTTTGAATTTGCCTTTTGGTAATTAACATAGGTAACACTCTCCGTGTATAATGCAACTATGTCGGGGTTCAAATGCTGGTTGTGAAACATGCATGCGTGAGTTAATTGATAAACTGAAAAGGGTGCAGAGATATGATGTACTTTCTACTTGCTTGTTGTTTGTACAGTTTCCGTGGTCTGAATTAAAATTGCTTTAACAATGTTCATTATATTACATGTATGATACTTATCAATTATCTCTTTTACTTTATATACTTTGTCTGCAAAAGTATGGTCACTCAACTACATTTTAGTTCATCAGGGTTACTTGTTAAACTTTTAGTGATATATAGTTTTTTGCATAACTTTCAGTGATAGATACTTGTACCTTAGTTGACAAATTTTAATACTATCTGCATGAACAATGGTCTTGTGAAGAAATAACTTGAATGGACCAAGATATATATATATATATAGAGAGAGAGAGAGAGAGACTTGTTTAAGTGTCATTGGTATTGAATTTGGTTAGTTATCATGTATAATTATCAGAATCAAAATGAAAGATGTGAAAAAGGTTATTTATCATGCAAAAATAGTAAAATCATGGAAAGTAATTAAACCAAATTCAATACAACCATCTTTCTAAAACCAAAGTTTCAATCTATCTTCTGAAACAACAATCTTCCTAATTACATAAACTTAGAAGAATAAATTGGTCGCGGTAATTATAGTTGTCAAGAACAGAGACATGATCTGTTTGAGCTGATGAAAACAACATGTAATATAGTATTACGACAATCCGCAACAATCCACAATCATAATCACATAGAAAATAACGCAGAACAGATTCTTGAATGTCTACAATTTTGAATTGAAAATTGAGCCAATGCTGCACACCTCGTCACGAGATGATGGGCCACAGAGCCATCTAATGCACCCGATGACTGAATATACAAATCTTGGGACCACTTCTCAATTGAATATCAAATGCATTCGGAACAACCCACCTCAATTTGCACTAATCACAGTATATTTAATAAGTATACATTTCTTAGACATTACCACTAATACCTCCATGACTCTCAAAATATTTCATTTATATGGTCACCCTTCTCAACACATTTTCTTCTTATCTCTTATAGTCTAGTATGAGAACCACATGGTAAATTGATGAAACTTTTGATAGAAATAAATCCACCAAACCATTAAATTTTTTTTAGTAGAATATCCAAATCAACTCATTAAAAAAATAACTTTTACCTCAATATAAATTAAATCATAAATAATTACTTGTATTTGAAAAAAATTATAATAACTACAAAATACGACTTGGTACTACCAAAATTGTACTCTTTTTATGTTTGAAAGTGTTGCTTTACATTATTTTATAATATTACTAATAATTTACATTCAATAGGATACTTGATGTGCGACTCTAATTTTTAAAAAATTAACCATTAAGATTATGTCAAAGATATACTTCTTACCTTTAAAAAAATAAAAATGAATGAATCAATTAAAATATAGCAAATTAATATTTAATATATGTAATATTAGATGATTTTGGTTAAAAAAATGTATATAAAGAATGTAAATTATTATAAAACAATCTAAAAATTAGTGACAAATTAATAAATAATAAAAAATCAGAAAAACATAGTACTAAAAGGAGGCAGATCCTTTCAATCCATCAATGCCAAAGATCATTGGTGATTTGATTTATAGTTCTACAACACATGTACGATTCTTTTTGCCCCCTTTCTCATTTTGCTCATTCTTTGCTCCTGTGTGTAAGTGTACTATGTGTGTTTTGCTTCATTAAGTGCCGACATGACTGGAACTTGTTGGGTGTTAATTCATTTATTACTTCGTAGAGACCGATACTGCTACTCATTCTTCTTCAGCTTTTGCTACTCACTCTGAGAAGTGAAAGTGTTATCTCTTTCTTTCTTTGTTCCTCATAGTTTAGACTCTTGGAACAATCTTAAACTTTTTTTTTATATAATTATATTGGTACGCTATGCTAATTGAAGTTTTGTTTTTTATATCTTTTTTATATTTCAGCTCCTTTTTGCTTGATGCTTGCGTTGATGAGTGGAGAAATCTGAGGAGGAGCAGTGGTTTGTAGAAACGTGGTGGAGGAGCTAAGAGAATCTTGATAACAATAGGTAGACATAGACATGCCACCTTGTTATTTTTTCTCCTTTATTGGAAAATTGCTCACTTTTTTTAACTGAGTCTTATTACTTGTTTTTGTAGCTGTTTTTGAATCTTTCCTTACAGGAAGTACTTTACTTTATCAACCTGGTGCTAATACGTCATCATTTGGAGGCTAGAGATGGCGATGCAAACTGTTTACCTGAAAGGACATGAAGGACTTGTTCACAATTCTGTTGGCCAGTTGTCATCTGTAACTTCAGCTCCATGGTGGAGTGGCTTAGGATCTCAACCAGTTTATGGAGATTGTTGTGGCCAAATCAAGCCCTTTTCGTTGGAATATTCGAACTACGTCGACCAATTTGATGCTAGTAAACAAATGGTAAGAGGAGTTGAGCAATTTATGGATAAAGGACATGGAAACCAGTTTTCCATCTTTCCAGGTATTTAATTTAGTTTGGATGTACGATTTTACTAGAGTTGCATCATTGCATGTTTTGCTTCTCTTGTTTCTAGTAGAGTTGTATCATTGCATGATTTGCATCTCTTGTTTCTACTAGAGTTGCATCATTGCATGATTTGCTTCTCTTGTTTATACCAAATTGCAATGTGTATGAACTGTTATGATAGTTGTAACTATCTTTAACAATTCATGAAAGATAGAGAAACATGCAACTGGTGTCTTATGATACAGAAACAAGTGAATCATACAATTTGCCTGTCTGTTTTGAAGAAATCTAAATCAAGGGAGCTGCAGATTTGGGTGACCTACATTTTTTTTTTTTTTGAAAATTAAGATATACTTTTGCATGCACTAATTTCAGTTTTGCATGTATGTTTGTGTACTAATAGAGTGATATTGGATTCCTTTTGGCACTGAAATCAGTACCGAATTTCCGATATAACTAAGGAGTTACTGATAATGTCTAATGAGCTTATGGTCTTTGAGTAATTATACAATTCAATCTTTGGTTATCATTTTTGAGATATGGACCAAAGAAAAAGATAAATCTTTGGTCCCCTCCTTGCTTTCTGCATGACTTCCTCACTCTTGTACCGCATATTCAATATGAATAAATAATTTTTTTTTTTTTTTTTGAAGAAAAAAGATTGCAGAGGTAATGTTTTTGAAAACAGGCTTGAATTTTGAGGCAACCGTTTTCCACAGTTATTCCTATGGAGCTTCTGCTCTGCCTTCTGGGCCTCATTGGCTTCTTAATGTACTTTGCTAGAAAATCAATAGAAATACAAGTAGCTGTCAAATGGAAAGGTAATTTTTTCAAAAAATATCCACTGCCCTCTGGGGGGACATCTTGCATGGCCAATCAGATGATGGCTTAGCATTAGTTGTAGAATGAGTTCAAAGTTGAGGAATGCTCATTAGGACAAAGGCTGCATTAATAAGAATAAGATGCATTTATTTATACTTTAATACTCATTGTAGCAGAAACAGAGATAGTGAAGAAAATTGCAGTTATAACTTCAGAGTGAAGACCATTTTTTATGATTGAGCCAAATTCAGGGACAATGGTTCTTCCCCTCTCTTTTTGTACTGTTTCAAAAGTTCCCTAAACACTACATAGTCTTAAAAAGAGATGATAAAATTATAATCACAAGAAAAAGTAAGTTTCATCACTCATTTTTCCTGATGACAAAATGAGATTATCGCCTCCAGTAACATTTTTGGTTGCTTTAAAGTTTTATTATTCCTTTGAAATTTTTATAAGTGAGAAATTTTGTTGCATGCAACAATTGGAACTTTCCTATGGCTAATCAGACATTTCTTGTTCAGATGAATGTAGAATGTTGGGTAATGCACAACATCCTCAGGCAAACTTATCACTGCAGCCATCACTTGCTGAGCTCCCCAACCATTTCGATATCGGGTTTAATCAGCCAATGGTAAAACTTCTCATAAAACTACCCCTTTGTCATTTTAGTATTTTATTTCTGCTGGACATGATTTAAAATGTTTGGCACGTTTTCCTTCCTAGATCTGTGCACAATATCCTTGTATGGATCAGTTTTATGGGCTCATCTCCGCTTATGGACCTCAAATTTCGGTTTGTCTTTACCTCAACTAGTTTCCTAATCTATATAAACCATGTAGTTCTTTTAACATGCTTAAATAGGAATTTGCGTTATTTTGGAGTGTATGAACATGAAAAAACCAGAAACCAATACATGCAACTATATATCCATGTTTAGCATTTAAATATAATCTAGTGAATTGCAGAATGTGTTACTGGGTTTTATATGTCTGTGTACCCTGGATTCACATAAGAAGAGAGAACTCAATGAAAGAATGACTCTAGTAATTTTTAAGTTTGAGTAAATTTCTTAAACAACCACCTTTGTAGTTATCATTTGTTTACCACCTTTGTATTGTTTTTCCTTTCTCTTATGAATTCAGAGTAATACATGTGGTTGTTGTTGTTAATTCATTATGATATATCAATATTTAATAAATTAGGGACGTGTAATGCTTCCGATCAACATGGCATCTGATGATGGACCAACATACGTGAATGCTAAGCAGTACCATGGAATCATCAGACGCAGGCAGTCACGTGCTAAAGCTGTACTTGAAAATAAATTGATCAAACGTCGCAAGGTATGATCACTTGCATGAGCATTCCAAACATTTTGTCATACCATGAAACTCAAAAGACAAATCACCCACATTCTCTTCATTTTTTCCCTTTCATTGGTATGATACGAGCTGTGTTTGTCTTGCAGCCTTATATGCATGAATCGCGCCATCTACATGCAATGCGGCGACCAAGAGGATGTGGTGGTCGCTTCCTGACAAAAGGGTCTAGTAATGGAAATGGTGGAAATGTAAGCGAAGTGAATAAAACCGGTAGCCTGCAATTTCTGTCTAGTGCCTCTCAGTGTTCTGAAAAGGTGAAATCTAAGGTTGGAACTTTGAATTCACCAAAGGAGACAAATCAATGCAATCGAAACATCTCTTGTCCAGAAGTGAGAAGCATGTATAATCGGGGAGTTTTTGATGGCTTTTCTGTCAATCCTCTTGGATCTTCTGTCCATTCTATGGCAGACATGATAGGTAGTGAGCATGGTATCACCATGCCCACTAAATGGGTTGCAGCAGTGCCAAACAACTGATGCAACCTTAGTGTTTGATTCGCAATAAGACTAGTGTGTTTGGTGTGATATTGCACCAAACTTCTTGCTTGCAAACAACCAGATGAAGAAGTTCTGTTGCATTTTCTTGTGTTTGTTTGTAACAATTTTCGTTCGGGATCTTGCCTCTCTTCATCGATTAGGCAAACCATTCTTGGCTATTGCTTCTTTGGCAACTCATCCTTGGCTCACCTTATTAGTAGCTAGTGTTGTTTTTTACCTTCTGCACAGGCCTTCCATGGCATGGTTATACATGCTAATGGCTATGCAGGAGACTATTATGTGCTGCTTATGTTAAATAACGTGAACCTGGTTTGGTGCGTGCTTTTTTAGTCGTGTTAGGAGTGTCGTTTGTGCTGAATTTCTGACTGTGTGGAGCTATGTAATATGTCACATAGAACTCGGGATTGTGATGTTAGTTAGAAAAATAAAACATTGATATCCAAGGCTAAGCCTAAGAGATGAGTTTGTTCAAGTACTGGTGTGACATGGTATTGCTAATAATTTTCATATAGATCGTGGTTAGTTTAAGCCTAAGAAATGGGTTTGTTACAGTAACATGCAACATTAATAACCAAATAGTTATAAACCATCTAATTCCATTTTGGACAATGATACTTTAACTATATATTATCTTTTTTATTTATAACCATTTGATTATCTTGTTTTATGTTATATTTTGATGATTATATTATTATAAAACAATTGCCAAATGGTTGTATATAAAAAATGGATTCTCAAGTATCGTTGTGGATTTTTGTGTGTGGTTTTGAAGTTAAAGGTTAACAAATAATGAACTAACTCCAATATTATTAAACTCTTGATTAAGTTATTTTTTCAAAATAAATGTTCAATTTTTTTACTAATGTAATTAGGGTTTTGATTCTCCCGCGGGACCTCAAAGTAATCCTTTATGCTTTGTTCTTCTAGGTTGATATAAGACTAATTTTTGAGTCATGCTAAAGTTCCTGTGTCTTATCTCCAAGAATGTGTTTCAAATTTATGTTATTGCCCACAAGTATGTTGTCATGTTACTTGTTATAAAATAATAATAATTATGTTTATTATTATCCTATATAACTATATCTTCAAAAGAAAGTTATCATTTTCATTAAGATATTATTTTTGAATCTTAATTAAATCATCTTTATGATTACAAAATTCTATTATACTATATTGTATTTCATGTTCTAGTCTGTAAAATACAAAATTAATAAACACAATATTTAAAGAAAAATCATAAAGAGAACCAAATTATAAATGAGTTAAATGAGCCAATGCCAATTTTTTTTAATTAAGGCGAACTCAAACTTTTAAATTATTTTGTTTAAATAAAATAATAACCTTGTCAACCCAAAGAAAATGCATTTGAAAAATATTTTACGTGTGTGAGGTATAAAAATAACATAAATTTGTTTATATGCCCCGTTTCAGAATAAGTAACTGTCCTAAGTCAGCATTCATGCTACAAACTTCACTTTTACTTTTAATAAGTGGAAGTAGTTCATGTAAACATGTACAAAGGAGTAAAAGTATTGAGTAAGTTACTTCCTATTTTATTTTTCATTTTATTGTAAAGTAATATTTTAATAAAATAGTCCATTAAAGAACTATTGATGGCTCTTGTTTTTTTTTAAAGAATTGTGCAGGAACATGAATCTTGTTTCAGCATGCATTCCATATGATGAGTAGATTGCTTATTAGGGGAAAATTTGAAACTACCATTAATTGTTGAAAGAAACTTTCATTTAATGTTCCAGTATGATTCTTTGCTTGAGGTCTTAATCTCAAATTTTGCTCCTGCCTCCATTAATTGTTGATTGCTTATCAGTTTTTTTTTTTCTTTTAATTTTTGGAAGTGAGAAAGTTGACTGCATTCAACATTGGAATTTTCTAATTAACGGACGTTGATTTATTGATGTTAAGATTAAATAATATATTATTAATAAATAATAAATAAATATAAAAAGATAAAAAGACTGAAATGACAAAAGAATAAGATTATATATTTAGGTCAAAATCTTATATAGGAGTTAGGGAAGAATGAGATGATGAAATTAATTAACTTTCGGCTTGTAAAATGTCAGGTGATGTAGAAAATCTTAAAAGCAAACTTATCACTGCAGCCATAACTTGCTACTGAGCCCCACAATCGTTTTGAGATGGGGTTTTATCAGCTTATGGTAAAGCTTCTCACAAAACTACCCCTTTGTCATTTTAGTATTTTATTTCTGCTGGAAACAACATAAAATGTTTGGCATGTTTTCTTTCCTATATCTGTACAAAATATCCTTACATGGATCAATTTTATGGGCTCTTCTCAGCTTAGGAACCCCAAATTTCCGTTTCCTCTTTACCTTGACTAGTTCTGAATCGATATACATATTGGTTTTATCTATGTATTCAAACATGAGAAAGCAAGAAATAAATACGTACGCTTATCCATCAAGTGGATTGTGGAGTGTGTTGTTGGTGTGTTTATATTAATTATGTCTGTACCCCAGATGTAGATAGTCATGTGTGCTAAAAATCCAGAACAAAGCATAAAAAAAGGAGATACAAAATGTTGCACGTAGTAGAATTCGTTGAGATTTGGCGAAAGCAACAAAAAGTGTTTATGGAAATGTCTAGTCCTAACGTTCTTATTCATGTCAGAATTTCCCGCTTTACTTGCATTTTACCGGGATAAAAAACATGGAAGATATTCACAAAAATGAAAGTAGCTTCTGCGCCCCAACTGATCTATCCTAGTTTCTGTCATAGCTTGATTTACAGTTCATTCAAGCGGGAAGTGAAGTTTAGAAACTCATCCTCATTGCATGGAATTGTGAGGCCACCCGTTGGATGATCATATCCAAACTCTTCTTCAGCTTGGCTTAGTAAATTGAAATGAAGGTTGGTTCAAGTATGATACTGGAATCACAAACCGTCTCATCTTAACTCCAACATAGACTGCAAGATAACCTTTTTGGACTTCAATTCCCTTGCGAGTTGCTTTGGATGCTGAAAATGATCCATGTCTAGTAATACCTGGGATGCGGAGAGCCATTGTTTTTTGTTTCTCCCACAAACAAATAATATACTGAGTGATGTCAAACTTGTATGAGGATGAAATATTTGAATTCTTATGCTTCAGAATGCAAATGAACTTGGGCTGCTTGAGGACGCAAAAAGTATTGTATATATACAGTCCCTAATGGGAACTCTGCAAGTTATAGCAACTGCAATATAATTCCACAATGAATGGTGTTTGACAAGGCCATGATGGGTTCCAGGGAGGGATATATCACATGGTATTGTCTTAGAGACCTCATGCATGGATAAATGTACCCATATTCTTATTACCCTCTAATAAAGTGGCCAACAGATTTATCTACTTGAAGTTAAATACATCAGAAAAGGTGAAAGCTAATTCTTGTTCACTTATTGGGCTCGAAGACATGTTTCTTTAAATAATCTTATAATGCTGTTGATGTATACGTACCATGTACAAACTAATATCAGGGTGACATAGGCAACCTGTAAATGATGAGGCTTGAGATAGCTCTAAACATGAGTGGAGATAAGAGAACCAGCATTGAACCTGTGATCATGAGACACTATATGAACCACTTTTTTTTGGACGCCAAACTCTAAGCGAAACAGCATGAAATTTGCATAAATGAAGATTCCAGCCCGCACCACCCTTAACAAGTGTGACATACTAACATGATCCAATTAGACTTCCTCTTGTAGATACATGTTTCGTTGATTCTTAAAATAAGTCCTCGAAGACAACACCATATAAGTTGTCTCTGATTTGGCCCATCATTCATATCTCATATCCCTCCTTGATCAATTATTCATCTGTCTAGTGGTTTCTTACATATCCCTCTATCTATATATGTATAATTCATGGCTGCAAACATTTAGGATCAGCACAGATCATTCACATCCTAAAGCAATCAAAATTCAAAACCTTATTTTCAGAACTTCTTAGAAACCCTTTCGTTCTCAATTTTCTCACACGGTGAGTACAACAATGGGCTTTCGTTTACCTGGTATGAGAAAGACATTATTTCCAGCAAATCAAGCATCTTCAAAAGTGGGTATGTTGGAGAGAAAATGAAACGGGTTGTGATCCCTATATCAACTTGAACCAACCTCCATTCCAAGACTGGTTGAGTCAAGCTGAGGAAAGAGTTTGGGTATGATCATCGCATGGGTGGCCTCACAATTCCTTTCAGCGAAGATGTCTACCAACATATAACTTCTTGTTTGAATGCACAATAAATCACATATCGACATAGATTAGTTGTAACATTTTGTTAAATAAGAATATTCTCAACTTGTAAAGTTGTCTTTTTCTTGAGAATTTGGGAAATGAAAGACCATCAGAATGACAAAATCACAGTTTGTCATTTTTCATGTGCATTGAGAATGAATTCAACTGCTCTCAATCATCTCCACAGAGTTATTTTGTTTGTTAGTAACAATGTTCCATTGTCCCTGCATGGGCAAGGTTGAATGCAGTAAAATTTAAAGTAGGAACAAAACACTTGATTCCAAACAAAGAGAAAGATAAATTTAGTTGGGACAAATTAAAATATATTATATTAATAAATTTTATAATATATATAAATCTCCTCAACTTATATCCCAGATAAACTGCAAGATAGCCTTTTTGTACTTGAACCTTCTTAGAAATGATGATTGCCTGACAACAAATAGTACAGAGTACAAATATCGATTTTTAATACTTGAGGAATAAGATGACTTGTGTTGGTGAAGGGGTCTACTGAGGGACAAAGGATCACATGGTACTTTCTCAGGGGTCTCTCTCAAACCTTCTGCGATAATTGCCATCTCACACTTCTTTAAAAAAGATGATTGTCCTATTCAGACACAGTACTATACAACAATGAATCTATCATTCTTGAACCAACCTTCTTTCCAAGAGTTGTTGAGTCATGCTGAGGAGGTGTTTGAAATCAATATTTTTAACCTTTAAAAATATGTCAATTTTTACTTTATTTCCTGTGATTTTTTTTTTCATACTTTCAGAATTTAATATATATCATCTTAAGCTAAATAAATAAAATTCATTTTACATATTTTAAGAGAGTGTGCATTTTCACATTATATCACATTACACAAAACAGTTAATTAGTGCAATGTAATATTAGGATAAAAAATAACGATTTTCAATTTTAGAGGGACTAAGGAGGATTAACTTTACAGAGACTAAAATATATTTAAACTTATTATATATGATTTTTTTAATAAAAAAGAAGGATTTTTATCTATTTTTTATGTGATGCTTCTTCGTGGGATTTAAAACATTTTTTTAAATCATACTACTGTTTTAATATGATATGTTTTTTAATGTTAGTTTGATATGATAATAATTCTTTTTTATAATAATTACTAATTAGTTATGTACTGAAATGGGAAATTCATAAGAAGAAAACAAATAACAAAATTGCTTATATTATTTTTAATGATAGTATTATATAAAATATTATAGTTATCTTAAATTTTACCGTGTTGTCACCAAAATGCACTTTGATTTGTGTAATTTTACAAAATAGAATATGTAAAATTTTATTTCGCAGTCAAAAAAATTCAGAGTACTTTTACATCCTTTAAATGTTTATGTAAATCCTAGAATCCTTTCAAATGATTTCATATTTTATAAATACTTTAAATTTTAAATTACAATAAAAGTTTTCTAAAAATATTTAAAAATAATTATATTCTCAGAAAATCTTTTAAAATTCATATAATTTTTTAATGTAAAATATCTTTTAAAATCTTAATTGAAATACACTTCTTTATTTCAATGCCCCCTTCACCCATTTAAGAGAAAGATAAATTTATTTGGCACAAAATTAAAACATATCTTGTAATAAATATACCAACAAATTTAAAATTTAAGTGCCAAGCTGAAATCTCCGATGAGGTACCTTCCTTGCCATGGAAGGTGCAAAATAATAATGGAGTTAACATTAAGGTTTAAATCTTCCCTTGAGTCTCACCAAATGAGGTATAAACACAAGCATGAAATTACAACAGCACAGCAATAACATCTCCAGTAGAATTCCTGCACTTAATTTCTAACACATGCTGATATAGCCTGTTGTGTATCAACTGAAAGTTCATAATGATATGAACATTCATTGGCTTTGGCGAAGAAAAAGGTGTCTAAACAATTATGTCTTGTTTGTTGGTGTTGTTGAGTGAATGTGACGAACTGAAGAACCTTGAAATGATATGAGACATGTATTAAACACACTGTTCTCAAGGTTTTATGTTGTAGATAACGATCAATGCACAAACAAAGATTAGGTATCATTAATTGATCACATCTCATTTGATTTACTGCCCATTCAAGGAGAAGTGAGGTTTAGAAACTCATTATCTTTGCATGGAATTGTGAGAGTGAGGCCACCTGGATGATCATATCCGAACTCTTCTTCAGCATGACTCTGATGTTTTAAATCAAGGTTGGGTTGAAGAATAAAATTGGAATCACAAACCATCTCATCTTATCTCCAATATAAACTGTAAGATGAACTTTGTTGAAAAATATGCTGAACTAAATGCTTAGTGAAGATTAATTGTTTATTGAACACCTTCTAAGAGTGTTTAATAGTAATTGAGAGACTTTAAAATGTCTTCAAGCATACCGAAGAAAATAAGAAAAATAAATAAATAAGCAATCTCAAATTATCTTCCTATTGTAAAAAATTTTCTGCAAAATTTTTAGTATAATTTATCATAAAACTTTAGTATTATTCATCATTTTTGGAATACCATCAATAGACTTCAAGGCAATTGTGAGTTCCTTCGGCAGCAGAAAATGATGTCGGTCTCATAATTCGTGGTATACAAAAACCCATTATGTTTCTTGTTGCTCCGGAAACAAATAATATGCTGAGTGATGTCAAATGACTTGTATGAGAAAGAAATACTAAATTCTGATGCTTTCTGTTGTTTGAGGATGCAAGAATAGTGTTATATAGTCACTAATGGGAACTCTGGAACTGCAATCTAATTATACAATGAATGATTTTTCATAAGGCCACGATGGATCTACGTAGGTACAGGGGATCACATGGTATTGTCTTAGAGTCATCTTCTGTGGATCACTGGGAGTGCAGACATTAAATACATCAGCAAAGGTGAAAGCTAATTCTTGTTCACTTACTGTGATCAAGCTACATCAATGATAGACAAGTAGAAGGCATACTCTAGACATCTCACATGTTTCTTTATATAATGTACCAACTAATATCAGGGTGACATAAGCAGCTAGTAAATGTTGAGGCTTGAGCAGAGCTAGTCGATAGCTTCGACAAAATAAGGTACTATGAACCACATTTTTTGTGTACGTGCCAACTTCTAAGCAGCACAACATGAAATTAGCATAAATGAAGTTTAAGGCCCCACCACCCCTCAATAAGTGTGACAGACAACATTTTCACATCAGACTTTCTTTTTCATAGATACATTTTACGTTTATTATTAAGATTAGTCCATGAAGACAACACCATATGCTTTGTCTCTCATTTCGCCCCATTACTCCAACCTCATATCCTTCCTTAATCAATAATTAATGTACCAAGTAGTTTCTTATCCTTTTATCTATATATATTCATTGCTGCAAGCATTCAAAACTCAACAGCTTAAGACTTCTCTTAAACTATTCCCTTCTCAAGTCTCTAACAGAATCAGTACAACCATGGGTTTCGTTTACCTGGTAGCAGAAAGAAATTATTTGCAGTCAATCAAGCATCTTCAAAAGCAGTGAATGCACCAAAGGGCTACCTTGCACTCTATGTTGGAGAGAAAATGAAGCGGTTCATGATCCCTGTGTCATACTTGAGCCAACCTTCGTTCCAAGACTTGTGGAGTCAAGCTGAGGAAGAGTTTGGATATGAGCACTCCATGGGTGGTCTCACAATTCCTTGCAGCGAAGATCTCTTCCAACGTATAACTTCTTGCTTGAATGGATAATATATAAATCTCATACTTTAGGAGGCTGACTTAGAATAGAAGTAACAATTTTGTACACTAGGCATCTTCCCAACTTGTAAAGAACTCCCTTTCTCAAGAAATAGGGAAAAGAAAAACCATCAAATAGAAAATAACCAGTATCGTTTTTTATGTGCAATGAGAAAGAATTCAATTGATCAAGCATTTCCTCTATGCTTCATGTTCATTAGTTACAATGTTTCCTTCTCCTACGATGTTTTGTTAAGAATTCAAGTGTGAATTTAAATTTCACATTAGGTAGAATTGAGAAAGTTGAATAACTTACAAGTAATAAAAATCCATAACTAATGCCTTAACATTTCCATAACTAATGCCTTAACATTTTTTGTTAAGAGTGGTAACAATTCCTTATGTGAGTTTGGTTCATCCTATATTGAAAAAATATTAAGTGATTGTTATACTACTTGAAATGTACTTCTAAAACTTTATTATGTTTTAGAAGAAATGATGTCATTTTGGAAAGATATTCTGATATAGATTTGGGAGATTGTTTTTTAGTAGCTAAGCAAAAAGCAGTATAAGAGTGTTCTTTATAGCGATAGTCAGGGTGTCATTCATCTTGCATAGCGATGAATGTTCTTTAACGTGATAGTCAGAGTGTCATTCATCAAACACATCTAGTTGAAATATCACTTCTTTATAGAACTAATAATTGATGATATTTATTTTTGGAGAAGATCTTTGAGTTAGAGAATCATGCATATATGTTGACTAAGGTGGTAACTACTGAGAAGTTGATGTTTTGTATAACTTCAATTGACCTTCATGGTTAATTGTTGAGAAGGTATTACACTAGCTTGGGGGTATTATAACTTTGAGGGTTTACTAGATTTATTTTTTAGTGTGCTTGATGTGATCAATCTCCAAGTAGGAGATTGTTAAATATGTGAAGTCTGAGAGTTATTAGGTCTAACCTATTTACTTATTTTTTTTTATTATAAATACTCCTGTAATTGTAAACATAATTAAGTGAATGAAAACTATCTTCTAGTGTAGCTATGGACGTAAATCATTTTGACTAAACCACATAAATTTCTTATGTTTTTATTATCTACTTTCATCTTGTAATACATTTGTGTTCTCCAACAATTGGTATAATGAGCTTAGATTTTTTTTTACGCAAGTAAGAGCAATGGTAGAAGATGGGAAAGTGAAGATTGACAAATTCGATGGAAGTGATTTCAGATTTTGGAAGATGCAAATTAAAGATTACTGTATCAAAAAAAGTTGCACCAGCCTTTGTCTGAGAATAAACCAAAAATGATATATCAAGCAGAGTGGGAGTTGCTAGATCGACAAACTTTGGGCATAGTTAGATTAACATTGACAAAAAATATTGCCTACAACATCGTCAACGAGAAAATGACTTATGGTTTGATAAAAAAAATTTATCAAACATGTACGAGAAACTATTAGCATCAAATAATGTATTATTGATTTATCAGTTAGTTAATACGAATATGCGAGAATGTGTTAGTGATACAGATCATGTGAATGAATTTAATTCTTTATTGTCAAGATTAGTGATAGTGGATATTAAATTTGATGATGAATTACAAGTCTTGTTATTGTTATCTTCGTTGCCTAATAGTTGGTAAGGAATTGTCATGACAGTAGTCAGTATATCTGGGATTACAAAATTTAACATTTGAAGAAATTAACGATTTAATCTTTAATGAGGATGTTCATAGAATGAATGTTGGAGAATCAACAAATTCTTTATTAACCACAGAAGGTAGAGGTGAAAAGCCTGAAAGAGGGCAAGGCTCTCGGCATAGTAGATCCAAGTCCAAGAAGCAAGAATAGTCCAAAGCTCGCAATGATATTACTTGTTAAAATTGTCAGCAGAACAGACACTTTAGGAACCACTACACTACTCCTAAAGAAAAGAGACAATACAGTGAATACAACATAAGAAGACAGTAATGATGCGTTGGTCTATTGTATTGAGAGCAAATTTGAATCCTGAATCATGAATTCTAGTGCATCTTTTCATGTTTCTCCTCGCAAGAACTTGATGAAAAATTTCAGAAGTAAGAATTTTGGCAAAGTGTGTCTAACAGATGATGAAGCTTTAGACATCGCAGACATGAGAGATATAAATCTTAAAACTTCTATAGGTATAGTATGGACTCTAAAAGATGTCAGATATATTCCAAAACTCAAGAGAATGTTAATCTTTGTAGGCATGTTGGATGTTCAAGGATATCGAGTCATATTCAGAGAAGGTCAGTAGAAGATGGTGAAAGGTAATCTAATTGTTGCTCGTGGCTAGAAGAAAGGAATCATATATATGACAGAATTATCTGCAAAAGAAGTAAATTTAATTAGTGATAATGTTGGTCATTCTTGGACTTTGTGACACCAAAAACTTGGTCACATGAGCGAGAAGGGTATGAAGACACTAGTCTTAAACGGAAAGATTCCAAAACTAAAAAAGGTAGAAGTTGATTTCTGTAAACCATGTGTGTTTGGAAAGCATAAGAGAGTTGTTTTTCTAAGTCAGGAAGGATGTCTAAGGTAGAGAAGTTGAAACTTATTCATATTGATGTGTATTAGTTAACATTAATCTCATAATTGGGAAGATCATGATACTATGTCACCTTTATTGATGATTTCACTAGAAAGATTTAGGGAAACATAGTATCGTGAAGACATGGGAGACATACTATGTCACCTTCATTGAAGCAAACACCTAAATAGTGGGAGGATCACAATACTATGTCATCTTCCTTGTATCGAAATTCTTCCTGACAGTGGGTCAGGTAAGTATGTCCCGTTATGATTCGAGGGGATGTACCAATGTGAATGGACTCTCACACGTGAGGGAAAGATTATTAAGGATTTAAATATAAGTTTAAATCGCACATTTGATAAAAATGGGAAAGTTGAGTAACTTATAAGTAAGAAAGACCTATATCCTAATGCTTTAAGGTTTTTTATTGAAAGTGGTATCAACCTCTTATGTGAATTTGACTCATATCTTATTAGTATTGTAATTTTATAAGTGAATCCATTCAAAAGACCCTCCATATTTTAATTCAATTTGGAGGAATCTCTCAAGTTTCATCAAGGTGTATATAATTTTGCACTCATGTTCTTGCATTCACTTAGTAGTTGAAGAATATTTATTTACCATAGGAGAGGATTTGTTTTTCTAATTTTCAATAACATTATTAAAGTTTAGTTAGAATTTGTTAGAGTTTTTAGCCACAATAAAAGGAACTATGGATTATGATGGAGATATGTAATCCCTAATATTACATAACAAAAACAACCTAATCATTCCCAAAATTACTATTAACTAATTAATGAATAAAAGAGAATATTATTTTTATAAAATTATGAATAATTAAAAATAACAATATAACACAATGTAAATCATAAATCATAAATGTAAAATATAATTTATATATTAAAAATGTTTATTTATAATAAATTTCAATTATATATAAATCATATGATTGAAATTATTTACTTACTATAAATTTTAATAATACAAAATAAATATTTATTTTATGCTTAAACACATGTTAAATTTTTATTAGAAAATCTAATCAATCAAAGGAACGTATTCATTCCTACAATGAGTCCACATGGTCACAGTTACAAATGGCTCCTTTTCTATTTCCAAACCTATGACTAGTCGAAAAAACGTTTACGCTGCCTTGTGGTTCTCCATGGCTGCTTCTTCCCTTATCTCCAACATTTCACTCTCTTTTAACTTTTCATACACACTCATAGTCTTCAAACCCCAAAACCTCAAGCCCCAATTTTCCATTGCTTCTGCTCTCTCACATTGTCATCCTCCCCTGTCTTCTGTTTCCTTCCAAGACACTAAAAAACCCCTTCAACTTGAAACCCTCCAAAAACCAGAGCCAAAGGCCTCAAGCTCAAACCTATCAGCGAGGCTCTTTGTGGGAAACTTGCCTTATACGTTGCCCTCTTCTCTGTTGGCTCAACGCTTTGGAGAGGCTGGCAATGTTGTATCCGTTGAGGTTTGTGAATTATTTTGGTCTTTTCTTTTTCTTAAACTCCTATTTTAGGTTTTTTGGTTGTGGGGGTGTTATGGTTAGAAGTGATTGTGTTTATGACTCTTTTTTTCCTTTTTGTGGTTGAATTTGTAGATTGTGTATGATGACATTATGGATAGAAGTAGAGGATTTGCGTTTGTTACAATGGGGAGCGTGGAGGAAGCTGGATGTGCAATTCGAATGTTTGATGGCTCTGTAAGTCCCAGTCACACTCTAATATTCGGTGATTTTCAAGTAGTCCAGATTTCAAAGGAGGGTTTTCGTTCATTATGCTACTGTCTAGACTATTCTATTTGTATGTATTATGAGATTGAATTTTGTTCAGATGAAGGTTAATTTGGGATTATAACCTTTGATTGGAAAATAAATGGAATGTGATGAATACACCCACATGTTTTTGGAGCTGTACTCGTTCTAATTCGCAAACTGCGATATTAGAACTTGGTTATAAGTTATTTGGAATTATAATTTGAGCTTATTATGTCATATTGGTGGTAATTCATTAATCTTATGTAGATGCTGAAGATGGAGGCGTAGGGACTAGAGTTATAACTTGATGCATGGTTATGAAATAGTTTGATCTAAATTCAGTTTTTCATGCCTTTTTATCATTATCTACTATGTATATATATATATATATCATTTTTTATCATTTTGGGTCTTGATTTAGGAAATATCATATAGAGGGCCACCGCTGGGCCATGAAAAGCCTTTTATGCCAACTCAGCTTTCTGTTCAGAATTGTCATCCATCCTAATTCCGTTGTTTGCTGTGCTATTCAAGTGAACAGAATTCATCTGATGGTAATGGCTGTGATGATGGACAGGAAATTGGAGGTAGGATTATTAAGGTAAACATCGCAGAAATACCCAAAAGAGGCAAACGGCAAGTAATGGGTTCAAGCTATAAAGGCTTTGTAGACAGCCCTCACAAGATTTATGCTGGAAACCTTGGTTGGGGTCTGACTTCACAGTGTCTTAGAGATGCCTTTGCTGAGCAACCAGGCTTCCTGAGTGCCAAAGTAATCTATGAAAGGAACAGTGGAAAATCTCAGGGATATGGGTTTGTCACTTTTAAAACTGCTGAGGATGTAGAGGCTGCTTTGAATTCCATGAATGGTGTGGTATGGAAAATGTTAGTAGATTAGTTTTTCTAGTTTGTGTTCATCTTGTGATATTAATTTAACTGTGTAACCACTTTCTTGGTATGTGTAACATACTGTTTTAGGAAGTTCATGGCCGGCCCTTACGACTGAATATAGCTGCAGATAAGGAGACTTTTTCTCATCCCATAATTCATCAAAATGCAAGAAGTAATTTTGATAGCATGGAACTGGTGTTTAAGATCAGCAAGTGAGGTATGTGATTGATCATTGTTTTTACCCACAAAATGTGCACATAATATTCATTTAAATTTGTGTAATATGATTTTCCTCACAATTTCTATCAGTTGCTAGTCATATTGCATACACCAACTACACCTTCAGGCAATTGTGAGATGAACCTGCATTATTGAAAATGTACTGGATATCAATATGGGTCCATGGTAACTGTAGTAATGAAGGCAGTATAGGAGGCAGCAGCATCTTTTTACGTTTTTCTTGCATCCAAGCACAAGCATCTTCCATGCACACCTTGGCCACACAGTAGGGTTAACTTTTAGTCATTATATTCCTTGAAAGAACACAATATTATACCTCAAAACAAACATCCCCTTTGTGCTAATAAATATAAGCATAGTAGATGCTTCAAGTGAATGCTTTCAGAATTTTGGTCAAAAATCAATGGCTTTGATGGATGTCGGAAATCAATCCTATTTATCCCATTGGTGGTGGAAGAAATATTTTAAATTATTGTACTAAAACTATCATAATTATTACGCCGAAAAAATCCTTTTATACTAAATTCAGGTATAAGCATTTTTCATTGTTACTAATTTGGAATGAACAAATCGTTGTTGTTTCTTTTTCTTCTTCTAAGTTTTGTCGACTACTATTATTTCTAAATCTCATTATTTTTTATTTTTCGTATAACAGCCTATCTAAAGCATCCTTATTGATGCTAACAAATATACAGGACATTCAAGGCAACCTTACACTCAAAGAAATATAGCTAAGGTAAGCTTGATTTTATTTTTCAGGGAGGGTTATTTCTTCCTTATCCTAACTAACATTATATTTAGAATAATTTTTTACTCAAAAAATATGTTTGTTCACTTGTCCTTATTGTTTAGTGAAACAATTGATGTTTTTTTTTATTAGACAAGTCTTTGATGAGAATCTTGGAAGGTTGCTCTTGAATGAGAACCGACTATCTCAAGCTCCAATGAAAGAATCTATGGCCAATGGCTTGCACGTGCTTGGTTAGGCTTGTACATGTTTCTTGGATGAATCTTGGAAGGTTTATTGGCTGGCTTTTGGTGCAGAAGTTATGGAAGCTTTGGGGAAGAAAAGGATCGACATCTTGCTTGGATCTTGATTGATGGCTTTAGGTGTTCTTTGTGGGGTTGTGTTTGGTTGGTTGTAGCAATTACTATGAATTGTTTGCGATGTGTTTATGCTGGTGTTTCATGAATATTCATGGCTGGACTAAAATTCGGAGTGTAGGTGTGGGAGTTTTGACAATAATGGGGGTGGTTCAAGGTGGCTTTGATGGTGTTTGGTTGGTGTATGGAAGGTCAAACTATGGTGGTGATGCACAACTCAGGAGAAGAAAAAAGGCAAAGAAAAAATGAGACTCGAAGAAAAGAAAGGAAAGATTAAGAAATAATGATTAGCTTTGATGAGGTTAACCCTGACACTCGAAATAAGAATATGAATGAGAAACTCCATACTCTTCAGAAGCACTCAATCCTTTTGCAAACAAATGCCCTCAATTGGCTTTTCTCCAAAGTAAAATGTTTACAAGATGGCGCAGGCAGTCCTTATATAGGACACCTATAGGAAGGGAAACACTCTCCCTCTATTACATTTAACCAAACACAAGTTCACTAACTAATAAATCTTATTCTTACATCCATCTTAGCTAACCTTATGTCCAAACAAAAATCAAGGTCTTTTACAAAATTTCTTGGGGAAATTTATGGATAAGTCTATGACTCCACTTGTTAAATCTATCAAGTTTAAGTTCAATTTTTGTATGATTATAAATTGTTAAGGTTTCAACATAAAACCAATTGGCAATATGTAGATTAGTCTAACACGTATTTAAACCATACCAAATGACATGAGATAGATGATATGTGACTTTCAACACACTTCCTCCAACGAAGCTTGCCGGACTAAGCAAAAGGTACTTTTGACCTAACTAATGGGTAATTTTTGGTTCATAACAATAACTGGAAAGATGTTACGTTTTGGCTCTGATACTATATTAAGGTTCCAACATAAAATCAATTGGTAATATATGGATTAGTCTAACATGTATTTAAACCATACCAAATGACATAAGGTAGACGGTGTGGGACTTTCAACATAAATGTTTTATAAAAATAAACTATTATCTGCAAGGTTTGCTGACGGAGTTGAATGACCCATCCTTAATTTTCTTTCATATCTTGAAGTAATTCATTTTTATCTATGATAACATCAAATAGCCCTTTACTAATAGTTCTTTTGGAGTTCTTGATGTTATACACAACAAATTAATCAATAGGCACTACAATGAAGGGATATTTAATGATGTAGATAATACCACTTCCCTTCCTATGACGAAAGGTGTTAGTCCTTTTCTTCTTCTTTTTTTCTTATTCTATTGTTAATATAATAGAAAACAAGGTTTTTGTAGTTGAGTGAGAGTACATGTTAATATACTCTCACACAATAATTTTAGTTAGATTGAGATACATCAACTTTATTTCATTTAAACCACCATAAAACCTATGACATCAAGCTTTGGTAAACTCTCTCGTCATGCAATTCATCCATGATGCTTGTAAGCACACCGTACGCAACGATAACAATAACGATGAATTTGAAAGTTGGGATCCATCCAAGTGACTAATGTAAAATTATTATTAAGAAAATTCTCTATCGCAAAGTAATTTCAAATTTAAACTATTGAAACAAATTTAATACTCTTACAAAGATAGAAAAAGGAAAGATAATTTTTTTGTCAGAAATATATAGTGATTACTTAAAGTCAAAGATTTTCCTTTTTACCAAACGCCCCATCCCCAATTATAAATTTTGGTTTAAAAATTTAAATATCTTTTTTTTTGTGTTACTATTATTTTTTTAATTTTATCTCAATTTAGTACTAGTTTTTTTAGAAATGAATCAGTGGTATTCCTTTCATTAACATTATTATATTATCTAAAAGTACAATGTGACTTTGGCGTTGTAGAAATAATATACATGACACGTTTATGCTAACATTACTTATCAAATGATATAAATATAACATGTTAACATCACGTCATTATCACGATAATAAACATCATCATCCTATCAACATTAAAGACTTTAGTATAATAAAATTAAAAAAAAAAGTTGTATATATATATATATATATATATATATATATATATTCTCTAAAAATATTTAGACTAAATTGTATATTGAGATTGATCTTTCTCTAAAATGCATTCCATATACATACATACATGCTATGAACAAGGATAAAGAAAGACAACTACGTAAGTTTTACAACAATGTAATATACATACATACATACATATATATATATATATATATATATATATATATATATATATATATATATATATATATATATATATATATATATATCTGCAAAAGAATATAGTTCTCATGTTGGCTTCTAGAAACCAAAGCAAAACTTGTAAATCTTCAAACATTGAACGTGGAAAATGTAAATTAATTAACCAAAAATATTACACAAGCATGAAAGAATTGACTTGACCAATAAGATAATGGAAACAGCGACGTTTGAAGCAGTCAACGGAGTTGGGAGGCAGCAGAAGAAGGAAGAAGAATCAATTTCTGAGGACAATGGGGAGAACTATGATTAAGATGATGATGATGAGCAGAAGGATGCCGATGCAGCTCCACTTTCGGCTGTTTATCTGGTGCTTCCTCGCTACATGGATCTGATGGACCCCATCTCGCACGTACGAGTTGGCACGTGCGACGTGGCTCTCTATGTCGTCCAATTGTTCGCCCTGCGACTGCACCAGCACGGCCATGTCCAGGAACACTTGGTGCAGCTCCTTCAGGTTTCGCTCTATCTCTTTCACTGTGTCGTGCCTCTCTTGAATCTCTTGGATCGTCTCCATCACGCTCGCTCTACCTTGCTGCGAAATCGCTTTCTGCAAAAACGTTTCACTCTCTCCTGTTCCACCATACTGTCCACTGATTAACATATAAATCTATATTCATGCAATTGAACATGATTCTGGGTTTAAAAACATGTCCCAAACCAATAATGTTTTGACCTGATTTCTTCAATTTAAAAGTGACCATTATAATATCGTGTCCAAAACTATCTATATCAAAACACTATTGATTATATATGTTAGATAAGATTTCTACTTTTCTTATTTAATTTCTTTCCTTATCTTTCTGTCTCATGTCATCACTTATCACGTTAGTATAAGAATACATGAAATAAAAAATTTGAAAACTGATACACACCAGTAGAAATGAGAAGGTCGATGGTTTTGTCATCAGGGTTCTCTCCGGTGACGGTATAATATCTCCGCTGCACGGTTTCCCTGTACTCTGACGATATCTGTTGTCGAAGGCTATTGAAGCTGTCCATCGAGTCCTTCAGCTTCTTCCTCAATCCGTTCACCACGGATGTTCTGGTCCGGTCTGAGGATGAACCAGGTCCAGAACCAGGCAAGTTCCGGCTTGACTCGTTAGACCGGTCCAACCCTTCGAGCTGGACCTTGACTACCTTGGCTTTCTTTAAAGCCAGGGTTACATCGGCGTCCATGGTTGAGCGAAGCTCTTTCACAGCTTTTGCGCTGTGAAGGGTCTTGCTCCTTTCGTGGGAACCACGTAAGTTCTCATGGAGACGATCTAGCTCTTTCAACTCTTCTTTTACCGGCTCAACTTCCAAAAAGAACTTGTCCAGGTTCGCGCCGCCCTCCACGGCGGACATCTCCACCACGTGGTGGTGGCCAGGCGAGACTTGCTCGTTGTTGCGGGAGAAGGAGCCCGAGAACAAGTCGTTCATTTTGGGTTTAAGGTTTTGATATATGGAGGAAGAAAAACCGAAAAGAATTATAAGATCAGAGAAAATAATCTGAACGAACGTGTATATATATGAAAAGAGAAAACTTTCATATGGCTATATAAATGGGAGTGGCTTTCGAACAAGGTTTGAAATTTTCTTTACTGATAATAAAAATGATAATTAGGTTAAAGCGGGGAAGACTGGTTCAAATTGCAACAATTTTTTTGTAGCATAGTACGTAAGGAATAATGAAAAGAACAGGGTTTTATTTTATGCAAAGTTGATGGGTCTTGCACAAATGGTGGGTTTACAATATGTTATGTGTGAAAGATAAGAGGGTGTGGAATGGTAGCAGACAGAGAAAGTGATGACGGGTCAAAGGAGGTTGGGACCGGAGAAATGGGTTTGTGGGAAATTTCGTGGGAAGGGCAATGGTGGAATAATGGAGAAATAGAAGGCTTTGAAGGAAGAAAAATGTTGAGAAAAAGGGGATTTTGGTTTTGCAGAAGAAGTAAATGGTAATATTAGTCTTTCTCCGCGTCTTCTAGTGTTGGGGTGGTGATTGGGGAACTCAAACTGTTTCAATCAACCACAATGGAATGGTTTCCACGTTTACATTCAAATTTGTTCTCATCCAAATATCTCTTTATCTTTATATTTAATTCCTTTTTTTACAAAAAAAAACATAAAATTATAAAAATATAACTATAATTAATATTTGATTCTTAATTACTTTGTTTTTGTTATTTATTTTAATTAAGAACAATACAGACAAATACTTAAATTACTAGAATTTTTTTTCTCATGCATAGTTTGCTAGACGATGGGCGCAAGTCAATGTTAAATTTCCTGTAATATCTTTTTAATATTAATTATATTAAACAAATTTTATAATTATATGATAAATAACATATTATTATATATAATACTATACCTAACATCAATCTAAAAAAACTTATGGGTTACTTTATATTAATTAGCAATTAACTAACCATAATAAAATTGTGTAGACTAGGGTTATTTTGCTATTTGAATATATTTTACATGGGAGAAAAAGTTGTACCATAATCCATGATTTCTCGAGTAACAAAATATGATGTTTTTGTCCAGTGTATATCCATTTAGTGGTGCTGTTCCAAAAATTGTTTTCAGAATAGACATGATGTTATTGGGTTCCTCATTTTTTATCGAGTCAAACGAAACGTTTAGGTTTAGTCATGGGTAAGTAGACGACGAAACAAACCCAAAATAGGCATTATTTGGATTTTGGTGAGTTAAGTTAGCCGGGTCAAGCAGCCCCAACTGTTGTTAACGATCCTAGTAACGGAAGTTTCGAACGTAACCCCAAGCAAAAGACTCAAAAGTCAACAAGTCAATGAAGAATTTTAACATGTAGAAGTTTCAGCACTGTAACCATGATAGATCAAAAGCAAATCACAATTATACTAGAAGTCTATAATGCTACATATTCCCAAGGTTCGTTTCACCACTTTCCACTTATAAAATTAACCTAAAGGACATTAAAAACAAGAATTTTCTGCTTGATTGCCTAGAGTGATGTATAAAATAAGACAATACTCGTAAATGCCCTTTACCACCATTGTCATACTCCACTCACCTGTTTTCAGCTGCACCACCGAAGACAAATTATGGAGATGTACATTGATACCCCCTCATAATTTGTTGAGTTCAATAATTTCTATCTTAGTTACAAAAGTAATAGATCAGTGGAGCATGTAACTTGAGTATTAATGGATTATAATAGCAACAGATTCAGTTGAAACTGAGTTGAGCTTTTGTCTTATACTTGCAGCTGCAGATATAGATTTTGAAGTAGATATTTGTATACTCATCAGTTGGAATAATTGCGATACAGCTCTGCCACTAAGTTCAATGGACCCTCGTGAAGAGAAGTGTAACCATGTCATACAAGACAGTATACGGGAAGAGTAAGATACTGTACATAATATTTAGGGAAAGTTCTCTCTCTACATATATATAAACCATCAATCAGCAATACAAGTGTTCAAACTTATAAAATAATTACAGAAAAAGAATATGATGCTCAAAATAATGATCTCCAAAAATCTATCTCAACATAACAACCAACCATTTTCTTCCCAGATTAAGCCCTCAGATTACTGTTCCATGGATTGAAATAAAACTGTTGTTCACCCCCAACAGATTTCCTTTGAAGCATAAGCCAATATATATTTCCTTCACCCCTGCTAGATTCCAAAATATAAAAGCTCAGTCTTCAAATCAAAGTACCACCATGGCCTAATCCCAAAGGTTAAGCACTGGCAGGAGGTGGAGGAGGAGGTGGTGTTAGAGCTGGTGCAGGCTGATTACCACCATTGCCGCCACTACTGCTATGTTGCCACGGCCTCACAGTGAAGAGCACCACAAACAAGACGATCACCAGAAGAAGTATGATACAATAACAGGTCCATTTTCTGGTATTTTTCTGGTGCTTTCGTGCAGTCTGCAACTGCTCAGCTCCAGTGCGCACAAACGATTGAGCTCTTGCCACATGGCTCTCAATATCATCCAACTGTTCACCTTGATGTTGCACCAATACTGTCATGTCAAGGAACACCTGGTGCAACTCCTTCAGACTCTTCTCCAACTCTTTGACAGCATCATGCCTCTCTTGAATCTCATTGATGGTGTCCAGAATCCTACCCCTGCCTTGTTCTTGAATGGCCTTCTGAAGGAAAGTCTCACTCTCACCTGCATAAAAGTGAAAAACACGTTAAGACCTCCCAAACTTGCATCAAATCATATTAGACAAAAATTGAATGCAAACTCAAAATCACGAGGACAAAAATAATGCTTCACAGACTTGAATTTGGAAGACCAGAATACCAGTAAATTATCATCAGCATTTATTTGCTCCTCAATTGAAGCAATGATGGAGAAAATGAGAAACTAATCATGACTACGTTGAAAGACCAAGTTTCCTGCTAGTAAATTTTCGTATCTTTTTTGTAGATTTACTGTTTTATTTCAATTTTTTTAATATATAAATTCAAAATCCACTGAGAGCCAACCAAAAACGATTTCAGAAAAATACTACTTTAGAGCCTAAAACCAAGAACCTCCTTTAGAAACCGAAACCTTGGTTACTGTATTTCAACTTGATGTAACATCTTAAAGATTCAGAGATCGGTTATTTTATTCACAACACTTCTCTCCAACATTATTGTTTTTTTTGTATCTATCTCTTTCTCGCATCAATAATCTTATCACAAACTCAAACTCTTCTTTTCATCGTTACCTCCTTGTATCTCTCCTTGATGTATAAAATAACGTCCAAGTATAATTCCTCTTCAAACAATGATCAATAAATCATACCTAGTTTACTATCCACATAAGATAATCCTATTCAACTCAAACAAGATTTCTCCAAACATCAAATCTCTCATCCTAGGTATTTAACTGAGACACATATCTTGTATTCAAACTCAAGACTAATTATTAAGTTAAAATGATGGTCCAAGCGATTTGTGATGTATGGGCCAATCAACATTAAAGGAGTCAAAACTCTAACTAGATCAAATTTTATTTCTATCTACAGGGTTAGAAGAGTAGATGAAAAGAACTGAGCTGGCTCTCACATGAAAGAGCCAGGCAACGACCCCACGACCATGACGTGATGAAATAATACTAAATGAAGTTAAATTTCGCCAAAATATATCAAATTAAGACAAACATATGCTACATGTGGTACTCGATCCCTTCCTTAAACAAGGTATCGTACTTGAAGCTATGGAAAAAACTGGAGGAGAGAACCCACTAAAACCGGCCGATTAGTCATAAACAAAAGCAGGGGATACTCAATAACCGTAACAAACAAATAAATCCGAAACAAAACCTTACCGGTGGAAATCAAGAGATCGAGCGTGTTATCATCGGGATTCTCGCCGGTGACGGTGAAGTACCGACGCTGCACGGTCTCCCGGTACTCCGACGACACGAGCTGGCGAATCTCGTTAAAGCTCTCCATGGAGTCCCTCAGCTTCTTCTTCAGCCCGTTGACCACGGAGGTTCGGGTCCGGTCCGAGGAGGAACCGGGTCCACAGCCTGGTAGGTTCCGGTTGGCGGCGTTGGAGCGGTCGAGAGCCTCGAGCTTGAGCTTGATGAGCTTGGCCTTCTTGAGAGCCAGCGAAACGTCGCCGTCCATGCGCGAACGGAGGTCCCTGACGGCGTTAGCGTTGTGCAGCGTCTTGCTCTGCTCGTGGCTGCTCCTCAGACTCGCCGCTAGTCCCTCCAACTCCCTGAGCTCCTCTTTCACGCCCTCCACGTCCTCGAAGAACTTGTCAAAGTTCACTTTGCCGCCCGGGGGGCCATCCCCGGCGCCGGACATCTCGATCACGTGGTGGGGGTCTGGGGAGCGGTCGCCCCGGAAGCGAGAGAAGGAACCGGAGATCAAGTCGTTCATGGTTGGTGGTTCTTTTTGGGATTGAATAATGAGTTGAAGGTGTTTGTGAAATTGTGAAAATTGAGAATGAGATTGAGAATCTGAGTGTTAACGGGAAGGGGCTGTTATTAGTATGGAATTTTTCAATTTGATTCAACAACTACCGCGTAGACGGAGCCGTGCGAAGAAAAGTGAAGTCAACGTGGGGTTTAAGATGACGTGGATGAGAGAGAAAGAGAGAGATAGGTTGAACTGGTGAACCATGGAACCGCGTCCAGTTCTTCTTTATTCTTTACAATTCTCATTTCATATTTTATTCACTTATACAATAATTTATTTTTTTAAGTGTAATTAAATAACATGTATCTTAAACCTGTGTGGTAAAATCAGAAAATAGTAAAATATTGTACTAAAAATCATTTTCTCTTTTACTTAAGCGTAAAGAGAAAGCGCGTTTGGAATGGATTAAAGGATATACAATAAGTTAAGAGAGGAAAGAGCACTTTTACGGTAAGATTATTTGTATTTCATTTCAGTTTTCAACCTATCAATCAGCGTAAAGAAAAAGGCACTTCAGGGTTTATTTCGCATTAACTATCCATGATTAGTTTATTATTTAAAGAGAAAAATATCTTACCTACCCACTGTTTGAATCAATAAATAAATAAATCATTTTTTAGTGCATAATAACATGTTTAGATTTTGTTATCTTCCAATAGAATGAAGGAAATAATGAATTTATACTGCAAAGTAGTTTATAAATAAAGAAAATGTAATTAATGTACAATTGTTTTACTAGTAAAAACAAAACAGAACCAAAAATAGTAATTGTTGAAAAAAACATTTTGGTTTAAAAGATAAAAAGTAAAATCGTTTTAACGCTTGTAAAATAAATAAATTGTCAAGTTCTTCAAAGACGTGGATATTTATGGTTTTAATATTATAAATGGGTTTGACTTAACATGTTTTTTAACCTACTTTTTTTTTAATGGGACGTGTTAAGGGTACGTAGCTCGTGTATAGTATTTTAAACCATAAAAATTGGATCATGTAATGTGGTCATGATGTAGTCTACATGGTCCGAGGAACTTTTAACAAGTTTTAGTTTTAAAATTTTTATCTAGAGAATTTTAATTATATGTTTCAGTTATACTTTATGATTATATAAGTTCTATCCAATTTTATACATTCTTTTGAAAAAAAAAGTTTTTTTTTTATGAATAATTATGCATTGATAATGTAATTTCTTATTTGGTAAGTAATATTTTGTCTAACAAAATATTATATTTGTATTAGTCATTTTTCAAAAATATATATTATTTGTAGTTATATGTATTTATATTGTTAACATTATATGAAGGTGGGGCAACAAATTGTGTGATCTATTTTGTCATCTTATAATATTAATAAAATTAACGTATCATGTTTGATTCTTATATGTGGTGTCTTGTGTGATAATTTCATTGTTTACAAACTAAAATGACAAATCCTTTGACAAAATCATTAACTTTGGAATTAAGAAACTTAATTTTTTCTATTTATTTTAAAAAAAGTAAGATATTTTTTATATATATAGTACTTAACCATAATCTATTTTTTATATAGTAAGAACATTTCCTTGTTTGTCCTGTTCTCTTTTCTTAAACTAACAATGTTTTATCAATCAAATGTCAAAAACATATATATATATATATATATATATATATATATATATATATATATTTCTTGTTATTTATTTATCATCCTAATAACATTTTAATGATCGATTTTTATTTATGAAAAAGTTATAATATTATATTTATTAAGATTTTATTTTTGAAATTTTATGATAAATAATTAAATGACAAAATTAGTTAAATTTAACAAAGAGATTTGACAAGTTATATTAAAAGTAGAAAATAAATTAATAATTTTAATTATTCAATCTAACTTATCAACTCAATAAGTTAAAGATAAGATAAAATAAACTAAATTATTAATTTATTTTAAAAATATTTATATATTAATAATAAAATAAATAAATTATAAATAAAAATATTTTTTATATGATATTATTAAAATATAAAAATATATTATATTTAAATTATAAATAAGTAATTAAATTTAAATTATTAATTATAATTATATATTTTAATAAAAATATTAATTAAGAAATATAATTTTAAAATTATTTATATAATTAAAAGTGTATTTTAAAAAATTAATATAAAAAAATATATTATTTTCTAACTGATTATCTCGCTTTCACAATAAAATTTGTAATTTATTTCGCTTTTGACAAGAAAATTTGTAATTTATTTTAATTATGATAAATTAGTTTGATGTATAGTTTTTTTTACGAATTATAAATAAAACGAATTAAAATAAACTGTCCCAATTTTTTTATTTTATAAAATTATCAAAATATATTTTATTTCTTATTTTTTAGATTTTTCTTATTTTTCACTGTAGTCCTATAAAGTTTTTTTTAGATATTTTGGATTAATTTAATCTCACCAAATAAAGATGTATTTTTAAACATATTTTTTATTAAATATCATACATTATTTATTTTTAGATGAGTGAAACATTTATCCATCATCATCTGGAAAAACAAAATTACAAAATAACTTACAAAATAGTGTTTGTTAAGAAAATTAATCTTATTATTTTATATACTTTAATTGTAATTTATTTTATCAATTCACTATCTATTTTGATGGATTAAATAGAGTGAAAGTAGTCTTTAAAGTTTGAATACTGTAACTTAATTTGTTGGAGTCAAATGTAAAAGGAAGTTTTGAAGGAGAAAAATAAAAAAACTAATCATCAATTCGTGGTATGATCTAAACCAATTGTATAAAAGAGATACTATTTTTATAAAACATAAGAGTAAACTCAAATATGATAATTATACATAAGAGATATCAAATATTCAAATGTTTAGAATTTAAGCATATTGTTTCTAATTACCAAACTAAAAGAAACATGATCTTGATGAAAAATTGATTTTTTTTAATCTGTAATTCTCTATATTTAAGTGGTAATTATTCAGTTAGACTTGTATAGAGTCTCTGTTAAACAACCTATTCTTCCTCTCAAAAATTTCATCCATATTTATCACTTTATTTTCCTCTTATTATTTCACTTTGTCATTACATATATTATTTTTTATTAAAAATTTTATTTATAAACAATCCAAGTTGATTAGGGTTTTGATTTTTTTATTTATCAAAATGGTTGAATCACCTTTCTTAATAAATAAATAAAAAACTATATAGAATAACCTACATCATTTTTTTTATCTTCACCGTAGATTGAAAAATCAAAACCGGTTAAAACTATTTTACAAGTTTCATCACTTGTCAATCAATATAGAATTATGAATCTATTTTGGTAGTACATTTTAAAAGAGAACCTTAATTATCATAAGAGTAACTTACACGTTCAGAATTATTGAAGATATTTTGTCCAAAGGACATGCCGCCAAACCATTAGCTCACTCTGTGGCCAACACGTAGCTACTGGCATTGCCAAAGTGGACTTTTTTTAATGATATAATATTATTATAATATATATATACTTAACATAACCTCTAATCAATTTATTTCCTCAATTAAATCTTTTTTTTTGTATTTTAAATAAAAATAAAAATAATATAAAATTAATAAAAATAATATTAAAAATAAAATTTTAATTTTAAAATTTAAATAATATTTATATATAAAATAATAAAAATAATATATTATTTAAATATATATTAAATTATTTAAATAATTATTAAAAATATTAAATAATAATTTTGTATTATATTTTTTATATTTTTTTTATTTTTGAATAGGAAATTTAAAATTTATATATTTTTTTATTATATGAATTATTTAGGTTATAATTTTAGAAAAAAATAGAATAAATAAAAATTTAATTTAGGTAATATATTAAAAAAATTAAATATTATATTATAAAAATTTATGTAATAGTTTTTATTTGATAAATTATAAATATTATATTAAAAAATTCATGCTAAAATTAATTTTTTTAAATAATAAAGTAAAAATATTATTTAATTAGTTAAAAAGTATTATTATTAATATAAAATAAACTTAAAAATAAAAAATAATAAAAATTGACAGAATTTAATGTATAATATTAAAAATAACATAATCATTGATAATAAAAATTGAAAAATAAAATTATTGACAATAATGTTAAGAAAATTTTAATATCCAAAGTGGTGTCCAGGTTCCACAACGAGAACGACGTCTATTACGTTTTGGATTTCGTTGGTGTGGTTGTTTTTGAATTTCAGAAAAAATTTGTGGAGGGTTTTCTTCTTCATGAATCTCTAGATTTTGGAATGTAGTTGAGAAACTACCTGGTTGGTTAGCATAATCTGGTTGATAAAGAGAATTGATGTAAGCTTGAGCTGAAGCTGGAGTTGAAAAATCTACTCCAAATAAGTTTGAGAAGATATCCTCTGAGGTTGTTGCAAAAGAATGTCTTCTGTCAATTGTGTTTGGTTCTGACGTCACAAATTGTTGAGGTAAGGAAATAGGTTGTTGAGGCTCCTCATACGATGATATGGAAGTTGCATCAATTTCAAAAGGCTCCAGCCCGTGGTTGTTGGCGGACTCTTGGATCTTTTGAGCAATTGTGGTACAAATAGAAAAATAATAGAATTGTCATTGTACCATTGCATGTAATCTATTGTGTGAAATAATGTATCTTGCATTAAATGACCCACTAATGTCAATTGACGTCTATTATTCCATATATCAATCCAGTGAGCATGTTTTGTTATCCAATTTTCGTCATGTCTAACTCTCATATCAATGTTGTGTAGGTCATCCAAATTATTTGGTGGAGAAGGGATTTCTTGGAATAAACCAAATTGTAATTTCACTCTATCAGATTGGTGTCATTCAACAATTGCAAAACAAATGATGGTTGTACATGTAGTCCACAATTGGGCATCCCTAAATGCTTGAACTGAGATTGATCTTTGCAAGTCCTTATATGGGATCCATAAAAACTTCCACCAA